ACCTTACTTTGCTCATCATGTTTGGAGTCATACTGCTCCATGGGGTACTGCCTGACCTGGACAATAAAGACAGAGAAACACATTTTACTGGCATTACAGTGACTTTTTAAAATCTCTTTGTTTTCACCCAATCAATCAAGAATAAAAATTGTAATTGTATGAGAGCCATAAAAACACTTTCATGCTTTAAAAAAAGATAAAACCTTTAGATGAACAAGCACCAGTGAAATATAACATTTTTACATGCTGTATTTTCCGGACTATAAGTCGCACTTTTTTTCATCCTTTGGCTGGGTTTGCAACTTATACTTGCAGTCAAAGGTATTTCTGTGCTCTACCTTGCCATCTTTCAAGCCACTGAGGTAATCTCTAGCTTGACATTCCACACCGGCAGAGAGGTTTGCAGATGGGTTGGCCCGGGCTTTGACGAGCGCGTGATGCAACGCTGGAACAAAGTGGTTCAGCTGTGGCATCACAACGTCTGAGGCATCGAATGAATGTGAAGCTTTGAAAACAACAAAACTGCAATTAATGTTGAAATAGGATTTTTTAATTGTAATGTTGAAGATGCATTACTGACATACAGGACTGTTGTTATATATGCAGGTTTAAAACCATTAAGCCTACCGTAATATTGTTGTACTGTACTGTACTCACTTGATTTGACCAAATCTCTGGTCTCTGGAAAGACAAACAAGGCCTGGAGACACCTCTTCCAGCTCTGTCCTCGCTCTGGGGTGAGAAAAAAAAATACACATCACATTTTTTGCTAATTCCTATCTTTAGTGCTAAAATCATGAAGATGTAAACAACTGTATGATTTTGAATAATCAACCACATTAGTCATCACTTCATCTTTTCAGTCCCACGACATACCAGCAGGTGTGGCCATCTGAACACTGGAGAGCAGAAAGAGAAACCCTCGCTCTGAGAGAGGAGTCACAAAAACCTGTGAAGACAACAGATCATTTTCTTCTCATTCTCTGATAAACAGTTTATCTCACATCTGTCAAAATCAAGGCCCATGGGCCAAACCACCTCATTTCAGAGATTTGTAATGTTAGCGTGAACACTACCTACCACTTTCTTTATCTCCATTTCATGCAGCAGCTTTGATATAATGCCTGTTGAACGACCTTGGTCGATCACCTCCAGAAGCCTGCAGCAGTGACTGCCTTTTGCAACTGTGAAATCAGAGAAATCTGTAGTTTAGCATTCCTGTGCATTTATTTAACAGGAAATCATACAATGTACAGGCAAAACATTTCAAGTCATAAACGAGGCTGTGATATGTGACTGCATATGCAAATTCAGGTTAAAAGTAATCTTTTAAAAATTCTCTAAGTAAGTAAGTACTAACTAAGTTCAAGTGACAAGTGAAATACTTCATTAGCCCTTCCTTTCCCCGACTTTACCTTCTTGGTTTCCGTTGTAGAGGTTATGGGAGAAAATGTCAGGGGAGAGGATCTTGACTGCTTGATCTATCCTCATCACACAACCAATTTCCAGTCTTTCTGGTCTGAGGACAAAATATTTGAATAAAATATGAAGGAAAGCTGAAACAGAGCACAATCCTGATCAGAAAAACATCTCTTATTTGGAACTACATATTCTGAAGGCACAGGTTTATAATTTCTGAACTTGTAATTCCTTAAAACTCTACAAATATTACTGTGCAACAGAGCCATCTTTTTTCACGCTGAAGACAAAGAGACATGGATTATGGCATCATAAGGTTCTAAGACACTTTGCTGAAATTGTTGGTGCAGACAGGTCACTACTCACAGTCTGTGAGGCAGGAAAGGAGGAGAGAAGGAGCGAAGGGAGATCTGACAGAGAACACGCTCGCCCTTGACTAAATCTCCGCTCCACACAGTGAACTCAGCTCGCTCTAAATTAATGAAAAAAAAAAAGAATAACAATACAAAGTTTTTATACCATGAATTTAAAGAATTGAAATGAACTTAACATTATTTTCATCATAGTTTAAGTCAGTTATAAGGAGACCAGGGCTCACCTTTACTTTTCTCCACTTTCTCCACACTTATTGTCCGGTTTAAGGTAAGAAAAAATAATATAAACCATCACATCACATGTTTTGTTCTAAGAAATTAAGAGAAATACTGTGCAGTATTTGAAATTCCAATGTTCATACCTGGGAAGAATTCTGTCTTTCTCTCTAAACTGAAAGGAGACCACAGCATATGGACAAACTTGACGAGGCCGCTCTCGTAATTCATCGAAGGAATACTCATAGAAATATTGCTGAAATAAACAACACAAGGACAAAATCTGAAGGTCTGGAGTTTATTATCAAACAAGTCCAGAGCAAACAACCACCGTGTATATAATGACTCATCAGAGACCAGGTGAGTGCAGTTGTTACCTGTGTGAACTCAAAGGCCCGGTATGAGGTGAGCGACGTCACATTGCTGGCATTCTTGAATATGTGGCTGTCAAAGCGAGGTGTAGGGTCTAAGAGGTTTTTAACATTTTCATAGATGCTTTTCACCTTCCCCTGGAACCAAAAACAGAAAACAGAGGGGGCTCAAACATGTTCATTTGTCACCGTTGTCATGACGCAAGATTTCACAAAAATCAGAAGTGAAAGTGAAGTGAGCAGTGTGTGGGGACGGTGCCATGCTCAGAGCACCTCAGTGGTAACTTGGCAGCTGGTGGACTCGAACCTGAAACCTTCCAAACCCAAGTGTGGTTCCTTAACCTCTAAGCCACCACAGCCCCAGAACCAGATCAATTTTCATTCATTAAATTATGTCCACATTATAATCATATTACACATTTACATGTTTAAATATATGTATGAATATAAACACTATGTATGAAATACGCCTCTCTCTCTCTCTATACATATATACTGTATATCCCTCTATACATTTGCATACATACATACGTATATGTACACATATATATACACATCACCATCACATTTACCTTTAACACTTTGAAGACAACGATCTCCCCTGTGGCCCCTGGGGTCAACGGGTTCACCTGCAGCAGGTCAGAGTATCTGGATAGATACACTCCTTCAGAAAGATTCACAAAAAAAAATTTAAATTCATGTGAAACAACTTAATTCTGTTTATTTGTGTGAAAAAATATCAGTCCACTATTACCTTTATTGGGGTTTCCAAGTACTGTGATCCAGCTCTGACTCACATACAGCCCATTCTCACAAAGTTGAGAGAGCTACAGTTAGAAGGGTTACAAAAATATAAATGAGGTCACACCAGCATAGAACATTGTGTAGTAATTGATACAACAAATGAACAATGATGATTAAAAACACCACACACACAATCTAAAACAACTGTGTTATTTCACTCTCATAAATATAAATGCAGTTAAAATAAAATGCAGCATATATAAACATCTGAGCTGGCACTACTGAATCTGGTTTTTGTAACTATATATAATTGTAAAAAGTATAAATGAAGTATATAAAGTATAAATGTTTAATGTTATTAATTGTATTAACTGTGAAATTTGACAGAGAATAATGTACACAAAAGGTTTGACTAACTGAAACTAAAAATAAAAATCTGGGAAATAAATGATAATAATAATCTGGCTCCTGTGTATTTTCAGCACAGTACAACAACAGTGCAATACATCTTTACCATTTGTATGGATACTACAGACTACAAAGTAGTCCCAGGGTCCTGTGTCTTATCAGATAAAATAACCCTCACCATGGCAGTCTCAGTCAAGAGGAAGCAGTAACTCTCCTCCATCTCTTTGTCTGTCCTGCCATCAGCCTTCATCTCTTTTCTCTTCTCTACAAACTGAAACACACAGAACACACCACTAATGCATCAGCGGCTGGACTGGACACACACTCTGTCTGTAAAAATCATTGTCTTTCATATGTTGTCGACAGCAGAGGGCATTGAAAAAAGAGCAAGTTTGGCTTAAATTTAAAGGAAGGAAGTCACCACACACCACTGCATGCAACCAAATGTGACCTCTGTTGTGTTGTGACCTCTTAACCCATCACCAAAGTGAACAGTGGGCAGCTTTAAGCGCCCAGGGAGCAGTGTGTGGGGACGGTGCCATGCTTCCTTAAACACTAAGCCACCACTGCCTGTATTAAAACTGTAATGTCGTCATTTAATTACAAGCCAAACCCTAGAAATGAGTTACAGGGAATTTTATTTCTAATCAAACTCATTACTTAAAAAAAGTACACAAACAAAAAAGGTTGAAAAAAGCTGAATATAGTGTAGACAACTGATGATCGTGAGTCAAGAACATTTTTTATATAAACCAGAGAGAAACACAATGTTGACTATTGTAATTCTCATGCACATCATCATTCCATGTAGATGCTGCTCTCACCTCTTTCTCTAGCAGCTCACTGTGAACAAGCCGAGGTTTGGAGTAAGAGAAGGAGCCGGCAGATCCCGGGTCAAAGTAACCAGAGTTCAGGATGTTCATCATGTCTTCAAACTCTCTGGATTCACAGGAGACGTATTGTATGGGAGCTGGAAGACAGACAACAAAATATATGGGGGACAGAGTACACTTTGAACCACACATGTCACTTTTCTACAAACTGTGTAACAGAAAAAAAGTTTGACACTCTACGATATAGAACAATATCTATATCTACAAAGTATTCCTTATATAAATACACCTTATCTTACTTGATTAACTGCAGAAGGTGCTGCCCATTTTAGACTGTGTGTAAAAACTGTATATAGGCTTTAAGGTGTTCCTCAGTGCAGTTCTGAATGTAACCATTGACCTGCACTGCTTGCTGCAAGTAAAACTATAAAACTTTGAGATCTCATATTTGATTCTTAAATTTAAACTCTTAGTGTGTTAGGAAACTAGGGTGTGAACTAACAGCATATTTTGCAATTCTATCTACCAGAGAAAGTTTCCTGACAAATGCTCATCAAACACCTATTTGGGAACAGGTGTGTGCCATGATTGGGTATAAATTCTCATCCATTCACAAGCAAGGATGGGGCGAGGTTCACCACTTTGTTAACAACTGCGTGAGCAAATAGTCAAACAGTTTAATCGGAATTTCATCGACTACAGTCCATAATATAATCAAAAGGTTCAGAGAATCTGGGGAAATCACTGCAGCAAGGCCAAAAACCAACATTGACTGCCCTTGACCTTCGATCCCTGTCAGGAAACGTTCTCTGTTAGATAGTATCTAGTATTGTACGAAACGCCCCTGGTTGTTACCCTTGCTTCCTAACACACAAAGAGTCAAATACGAGATCTCAAGTTGTAAAGTTTTCCTTGCAGCAAGGAGTGCAGGACAATGGTTACTTACTTAGAACAGCACTGAACTTCTTAGTGCACAAAGCCTTCATACAGTTTGTTGGTAAAACATTAACAGTCAGTGCCTTCCCTGCATTACTCTGCCATAAGGTGTTCACACACCTCTTCTGGGCGCTGATTGGTCAGAGTTAATACAAACAAACAAAGATTCTCCAACAATAGGAGCCGTGTGCATACGCTGAACCACTCTGTTCAGTTAGTCAGGTAAGACCAAAGACATGCAGTTCAAATATTTTCCTCTTGGTATTCTTTTGATCGCCTTATTAAGGCAAAGAAACTAGTTCAGACTGGTTCTGTGACCTTTCTCCAAGTGTGACGGGCAGTGCTATCTGTACCACACACCGTGCTTCGGCACTTTTCCATTTAGTACGACATAACAACAGCATTCAATAATAGTATAAATTGATATGGAAATGTAATATAATGAATATGTTGCAAAGGTTAAATAAATGTTTTCACAAATCTTGACAATCCCTCAAGCGGCACTGTATCAAAAACCGACATCAATGTGTAAAGTTCAAAAGCCAGCATCTGTGATGGTATGGGGGTGTGTTAGTGCCCATGGCATGGGTAGCTTACACATCTGTGAAGGCACCATTACTGCTGAAAGGTACATACAGGTTTTGGAGCAACACATGTTGCCATCCAAGCATCATCCAAGCATCGTCTTTTTGATAGACACCCCTGCTTATTTCAGCAAGACAATGCTAAGCTACATTCTGCACCTGTTACAACAGCGCGGCTTCATAGTAAAAGAGTGCGGGTTCTAGACTGGCCTGCCTGCAGTCCAGACCTGTCTCCCATTGAAAATGTGTGGCGCATTATGAAGTGTAAAATACAACAACGGAGACCCCGGACTGTTGAACAACTGCAGCTGTACATCAAGCAAGAATGGGAAAGAATTCCACCTACAAAGCTTCAACAGTTAGTGTCCTCAGTTCCCAAACCTTTATTGAGTGCACACTGTTTTTTTTTAAGTATTTGAATGAGAATGAAGCATCAACTAGGGGCTATTCTCTTCTATTCTATCAAAAGCAATATAAATACTACAGTAATATTATATTAATATGGTAAGTGTTAAGCGTTAAGTGTTTCTGAGTCACATCATTTATAATTTTCCATCTACAGGTTATTATTACAATGAAACAGATGGTTTTGGCATCCAGGGACCACAGCTGTTAATCAACCAATTATCGTATGCAGCCTTTTGTGTCTGCTGTGCCAGGTTCTCAGAAGACACACAAACTACACCTCTTCTTTGGTTCTGATCTCATGGGAGTTGGACACTCAGTTCAAGCCAAGCTTTTTTAGAAATAATGCAGGCATCACGTCACAAAGTGCATTGGTTTAAACAATAAATATTTTGTCTCTGAAGTGTTTTTAAGTCAATTTAGCAAAGTACAGTACTGTTTCAGATGAACGCTTGAAACAATATCCTATCCAACTTCCACATTGACTTATAGCGTGTATCTGTATTTGTGTTTCTATATTTTACAAATATTCGGATGCAAATATTATCACCGTGAATACTAATAATAACGGTGACACTGATTTGCCTGAAATCAAATGATATCAGTCACGCCACTGTAGACGTTACTGTCACAATTTGTGATAATTGGGACAAATCGAGTAGTCACATTTATAAGTAAAAGAATGTGATAAATGTTCATGAAACTTATCGCACCAAAGTAAACATACAACAGTAGTGTAGTTTCACTTGACACCTTTTATATCTGTTATGGATGCTTAGCTGTCCGACAACAAATGCCACGCAGGTATCAAATCATTTAAAAAAAAAAACATTTTGTTGAAGTATATAGTACTTGCAAGCAAAAAACGTGTTCAAACTATTAACTGTTTACATATTTTTCTGAAATTCCGAGCATTTGCCGACCACTCACCCATCTTCACTTTAGTCTTTCTCGGTATGTGGAACTTGTTCGGCTCCTTCGGCATATGCCTCATGTGGACCAGCTGCGGTGCCGAGTTCCTACGGTTCATGATCCCGCCAGCAACGCTCATTCTGTCTGCACCAGTTTGATTTTCCTTAGGAGAATGTATCTCGATTACCTCGCCATCTTGCGGGCTAACGTTAGCACCAGTACCCGGGTAAGACACCCTTGGGCGAGCTGCCGCCCTCCTACTCCCATTGTTGTCCATGGTTAGAACCTATCTCGAAGCGACGGCTCTCTCTTCTTAACCGTCACTCCGTCGCCGTTCGTCAGCTACAGCCCCGGAGTGACACCGTTGTTACCTTCGGATAACGTAATAGTGGTCAGGATCGAAGCAACACAGAACAACCATGTTTTCCTGGAGTCTTCGTCTTCTTCGTTGAGGTTTTCAACAATGTGAATAAAGCCTTGTAGTGGATTTACTGCACTCTTCTGGCGTCAGTTTGTCATTGCAACGTTACCCTTTTTAAAATACAGTAAGAGTTGTCGAGCGGCCCAGTTTAAACTCACCGGTTGTCCGTTAGTTTAGACTCTAAACTAACATCCCTAGTACTTCGGATTTTCAGCACAAAACTGATGTGGCGAGTAACCTTAACATTAACAGGTTAAAACTTTTAAAGTTTCAGATCTCAGTATTTCAGTAATTTTTTAAATGCACTTATGTTCTTGTCTTATCATCTACATGACAACAGCGTCAAATGTGTAATTTGACAATGGAATTTAACTGAATAACCACATTTTTGGGAATTACCCTACAATTTACTCTCTCTTTTTATTTAGAAATTCTGTGAATTTAAACACAAGCAAAGACATTTGTCAGAGATAACCATTTTATTGAGTTCATGGATGACATCAAGACAATTATAACCAATAGTTTAGACCTTGTGTGTATATACATATATATACTGTTTGTATACTGTTGTGATAACACCCCGGTCCGCGACAAAAGGTTCATAAAACTACAAATCATCGAATCATGGAGCAGCAGCGCCACATAGTGGTGGCCGCAGGGACAACCATGATCAATTACCAGGACAATAACAATAATATAATTGGCCACAAGAGGCCTAACCTCCACTCCCCCCAGACAGGTATAAAAGTGCAAACCATAGAAGTTATTCTCAGAAGAAGTTAGTCTTTGAATTTGCTACTAGCAACGGTCTGGAAATCTCTGTTGTATGAGGTTTCCTTCAATGCCTCGTCTTATTTTGCTCTACCATTGGACCTGTGTGGGTTTGGCGTTTTGTTATTGAATGAATCGGCCATCTACCGGCTGTTCCTTGCCTGGGACTACCTACGAGCTGATTTCTTCAATTTTGGTGCTGTGACTACGGGGATAAAAAAAAATCCTTCAATTGGTGTCGTGTTCACGAACAAAGGAGAGCCAAAACGTTCAACTGGGCTGTGACCCAGATCCAAACATAGCAAGAATCTTTCAAAATAGAAAAATATCTTTGTTTATACAGTCTTCGAGAGACAGACTATACATTCATTTCATATAGTACATTCTGTACAGTGCATCAACTTCCTGTCTGGAGTGCCGTGACTGAATCCCTGCAGTGGCTTCACAGAACAATGTAAAAAAAAGACAACAACTAGTGTTAACATAATGCATTTGATTTAAAACATGTCATAAAAATTGAATGAAAATTCCTGCTTGATTTTGTTCTAGAAGTTTTAAAGATCCATAGATTTAGAACCATTTCCTTGTATCAAATATATAATACAATCCAAACTTCTACATAAGGGACATGAAATTCCTTTTTGTAGATTTTTTTTGTAGCTGCAGAATGTGTTGAAGTTTTAAAAAGAAATTAAAAGGTAATACAAAAATATATGCACCATCATATCAGTTTGTTGTATCTGTTTGGCCATATGTTGCTGGTTGTCTTTCACCCTGGAAACATTTTGCATTATATACTGTGTTTATTGTCGTTTATTGTCTTTCAAGGGCCAAACCCTGTGACAGCCAGGGGCAGTGAACAGTAAATGCTACATATCACAATATATGAAGAGGCAGTGAAACCATAAATACATGTCATCAAGTGTATCAAAAATATTCAAGTGTCCACCTTTGTATTGAAATTCCTGCATTTTGGTTTGATTTTTCCCACATGGCGACTGACATGTTGAAGAGACACAAAGTTGTTTTTTTATGTGCTATTTGTGTTCATCTGAGAGACATGTTTAAGAGACATAAAACCACCTGAGGAAGAAAAAAAACAATCTCCTGTGATTGATGTATATTACTGGAGGACAACTGACTTCCAGTCATTTTTACAGCTTCCACTGGAGTCATTGGAGACTACACACCGTCTTTGTAACACAGTTCCTAAAGTGGTTCCCTTAATATGGACATCGCCATCCAACTGCAAACGAGGAAGCATCAATTGTAGAATAGAAGGAGCTCAGCAGGTTTTTTTTGCAACTAAATGTGTCTTATGTGGTCGTTTCATATTTGTTGTCAGTCCCTTGGTGTTTTATTTTTCTTGCCTTGCCTTGCGTCCCTTGGTGTTTTATTTTTCTTGCCTGCTCTGATTATTCTCTCTCAGCACCTGAGGACCAGCTCCTCGCCCGTCACTGTGTCAACCTCGGTGACGTCCATGACGTCTTCCTGCTCTTCTTCTTCTTCCTTCATGTCACTTTGCACCTCCTCATGGACTTGTTTCTCCTTCTGAGTGGTAGAAGCAGCACACGGAAGCATGGAGGAACCATCACTGTCGATGTCACTGATCCTCTCCTCTTCATCCATCTTCTGGTCTTCTCTGGTGGTCACCTCCTCCCCCAACATCTCATGGCAGGGTTCCAGCCCTGTCTCCATCTTACCTATGTTGTCTTCAGTGATTGTTGGGCTGGGGTCATCAACCATCTTCACCTCACCATCTAATTCAAGCTCTGTGCTACAATCATGTGTCTCCATGTCCCCGACCGTCCTAGTTGTTGTACGATCTTCTCTGGCCTCTTTGTCTGAACTTTGATCTCTAAATCCATTGACATGGTTTTCTCCTTCCAAGCCAGGCCCTGTCTCCAGCTCCCCACATGTGCCTTTTCCATTAGCATCCCTCGAAACAGATGGCAAAATCTGTGTTGTCCTGTCGAGTGGCCCTACTTGTCCCTCTGGTTTTGTCTCCAGACATTGTCCTGTAATTGGGGACTGGTCTCCAGTCAGAGCTGCGGCCTCCTTTGCTTGTCTGATACAGTTGATCCACTGCTGTTTGTTGAAGGCGTCACTGGCCTGGAAATAGTGGTTCTGAAGCTGAGCTGCAGTACGATATGACACCCTGAAGAAGTTCTTGGCTGTGAAACGCAGAGTGACAGGAGTGACATGAGTCAGATTCAGCTCAAATTACTGAATCAGTTATATCTTATTGGCAAAAAAGGCTAAGGCTACAAACTAAAAAAACATTTTACTTTAATAAGACAGCAGTACATGTCCACTGTTAAGTTTTCTAACATGATCTGATAGGAATATTGGTAAATGAGGTGAGAAATATCCAATCATGTTGTACAATCCTTAACAATGGATGTGCACTTCACTTTAATTCACCCACATTACATAGGGACTAATAAGAAAAAAAGGATTAAAAAAGGATTTGTGGGAAAACTGTTTTTTAAGCATTATAAATTAAGTTTTGCTGTTCAAAGTGAATTTCTTCCAATTCTGAGTCAGGCTTGGTTTTTTTATGCTGTGTATGTGTGTGTGTGGCACTAACTGCGCTCTGTGTTGCTGAAAGCTCCTCTGATGGAGCCGCCCACTCTCATCTCCCCGTCTGACAGGTCCTCCAGGTCCAGTAGACGGATGGGAATGGGCTGGCGGCAGAGCTGATAGCTGACTGGCTGGTCATTGAGTGCCAAAGACCTGGTGATGACCAGGACGTCCTGGAACAGAAAGACATGGAGCTTCTGGACAGAGACACAAGAATGGAGAAGGAAATGAGACGTTAGTGAACCGGCATTAGGTCAACCCTCCTGCCATCTCACATACTGAACCTTCAATAGACAACAGTGGTGTCCTAAATCCACTGACCAGTCCTCTGTTGTTCTTCAGCTCTCCGTGGCAGCTCAGTGTCTTGGACCGGTCAATCAGTTCATCTTTCCACCCGTCCTCCGTGTACAGCAGACGGTCTTTGTAGTACTGGCACTCCGACTCACCTGTACACCGGTTGATGTCCGCAACCACATTCTGAACCATTTGCATCTGCAAACAGAATACATCATATTTACCAACATGGTGAGGTAGGAGCTTAAGCTAAAATACAAATAATTTAGACATTACACAAAATATACAAGATTTTGTCATTTTTGAAAAATATTTTTTTACTCAACTGGATCTGCTAGTTTTGGTCATTAAAACATAGAAAAAGGTTCTTACCGCCTCCTCCAGGTGCTGCCGATCTGGGTGGTCGTTGGGTGTGTGCTTCAGGATCTCCCTGAGCAGCAGTGGGTATTTTACCAGTCGGCTACGAGGAATGTCCAGGAAATTCCAAAGGTCCAACTTCCTACTGAAGGGTGACTGGAGGCAGCGCTGCAAAAAGTCCTGGACTCGTCGATCCTGCTTCTTCTGGTCCAGCAAGGACTTGGCCTTCACTTGGTTGCTACAGTAAGGAGTGTAGGAGGAGAGACATGGCAGCTGCAGAGGAAAGAAATGAAGTTGTTGCATGAGAGAGTAGGAGACACGGTCTCATGATCACCAATATATGTTAAAGTTAAAAAAAAACACTGACCCAGTCAGTCAGGATGTGTCCAACATGTTCTGTGGAACCATCGGGTTTTCTGGCGTCTCTGAGGCGACTCAGCAGGTCTGAAGAGAACATGAAGACACCAATCAGACCAGAGAGGTTGCATTAGAATCCTGGTTCCTAAACTATTATTTAGGAGACTTCCTTAGAGAGACATGCTGTACTTTAGGGCTGGGTATTGTTGAGAATATCACAAATTGATTGTGATATTCTCACAAGTGATTCAAATTAATTTAATATTGATCTAAATCCCAGGGGTCAAACTCAGGCATGCAGGTCAAATCTACATTACATATCTGGAGAGAAGGGAAAACATGCACATTTCCAGTCAATTTTAATACATATTAAGGTTAAGGTTAATATTAAGTTTGGCCCACAACTTCCTCCCAGTTTTTAATTTAGGCCCACTGTGAATTTGAGTATGACACCCTTGATCTTAATGATTCAATATCGATATAGTCGAAGTAGTACCAGAGTAGCAGATAATTTTTTAATAATTATTTATTTAGTTTGAGTTTGGTGTCCATATTGCAGGCCTGTGATGTACCTGCACTATTAGGTCATTTTTTCTTATCAATTACTAGACATTTCAGGTGACCCCATTTGAATTCCAGGCAACCCACTTGGGGTAGCGACCCTAGGTTGAAAAAACACTGTCTTAAGCAAATGATTTAAGTGGAGAAGCTCTGACACACCTTCATGCAGAGGTATCAGCGAGTCCAGGTTACCAAAGATCTGGTTCAGCTCTTGCTCAGTCATGATTGACAGCTTCAACATTGGGTCACGGTAAGCCTTCAGCACACAAGCAAACACAAACGAATGTCATTTTATTTGTAAATATTAACAGTGAAAAGGAGTCCATCAGGTAAAAGACTAAAGCAGTTTTCACCTTCTTAGCCAACCGCAGATCCTCCACTAAGTCCTGTTCACCCTGAGCCAACTCAAAGATAGCCTAAAAGAGGAGAGGGAGGAATTTAGGCTGAAACTCCAATTCAGATATTATTAAAAGTCAATTTGTGACAACTGTGAGTCCAACAGGTGCATTGTGTTTCATTCTTCCTACCTCTTGTCGTTTTATCTCTTTTGGGCTCAGAGGTTGAGTCGCTCCCAGATGAACATCGAATGTCTCGCTCCAAAGTTTGCTGTCCCTGCGCTTGGCACTTGGCGCTGCTGTCATAGAATTTCTAGGTGTCACTGTGGAAGAGGACGGATTTGTCACTGCGATGGTCCGCACCTTCATCGTCGCAGACGGAGGCGGTGGAGGCGGAGAGGTTTTCTTGATCTGACTGCCATTACGAAGGCTTATAGATCGCTGTCCAGATGAAGAAAACACAGAGTTCAAATGAATCAAAAAATAAAGACACAAAATCCTTGTTTTAGTTGAAGGAGACATTTAGATTAGACTTGTTGGAGCACTTAAGTCACTCACTACACCTCGTGTGTTATTAGCTTACATCAGTGTTTTTCAGCCCTGGGGTCTCGGCCCCACATGAGGACACCTTGAATTTAAATGGGGTCCCCTGAAATGTCTAATTAATTGATTTTAAAAAATACTAATAAAAATGTATTTCAAATCGTTCTTATTCCTTCTAAAATGATAATAAAAAACACCACACATCGTCTTAAAAATCTATTCTTTCACATTCATAAATAGAAATCTGAGTTCATATAAAATGGAAAAAACCACTGACTCACACGAGCTTGAATCAGAAACAAAATGGTTGGTGGCATCATTTGTAATACAGCTCACATATAGTTTGAGTTTAATGAAGTTTGATTTTAATGTCACATAAAACATCAACTTCAGCACAAACGTCTCTCTCTGTGTCTGTTTCCTTGGACAAATCGGAGGTTTGTGTCCATAGTGCAGTCCCGTGACTTACCTGCAGTGTCAGGCCAATCCTCTTCAGTGGGGTGGTTTTGACAGGAGGCAGCAGACTGGCCAGTGATGCCACCCGAGATACTGGTTTACTGCGCTTAGTGCTGGGCTCCTGAGAGAGAATAACATATTCAAACCAAATCACTTACAAATACAAGAGCGTGTGGACTGAAGTCCAGACAATGGCTCCACATCCTGTTTTTGAGCGCGTGTGTGTGCGCGTCCGCAAACAAACAACATCCTGTTTTTGAGCGCGTGTGTGTGTGCGTCCGCATGTGTGTTTGCATTTGTTACCTATTCAGCACAATGTCCGGCATGTCACTGAATTTTTTTTAATACAAGCATTAGTCATAACAAAGAACAAAACCTGGTTGTGATAATTAACATCTGATTCATGAGGCCAAAATATAAGGATTTCAAATATAGTTGGGTTAAGATTAGGGTTAGTCATAAAATGGCAATAACTAAGGTTAGGAAATGAGTTTTATTATATAAATGTTAATTATAAAATCAAACTAAAAATAAAATTATATAAAAAAAAGTTGACATGTGGACCTTGTGTGTACTTCCTTCCCAAAAATGAATCAAAAACCTGAACATACTGCCTAACTCCAACTCTATCCTAGCTTCAACCACAGGATCAGATCACACACAAACACACACACACACACAATGAATCTCCCATCTGCCTTGCAGCCCACAATCAGCTGACACACTGCACTGCAAAATGTTCTTTGAGCCTAAACTTAGAAACCAGCTGATCAATAATACCACCCTGTGTGCCCCATTTTTTTTACATTTTGTTTTTCACTGCTGATGAGACAAAAGTTAAAAATTACCTTAAAAATGTGCATTAATGAGGTCCCTGAGTTTTCTCTTCAATACGCTGATGACACACAAATACTACAGTACAAATAGAGAGTAACCTGAGCCGAAGGACAGACGGTTCAGGAGTGATGGTTTTTAAAACATATTTTTTATTTAATTTAAACCTTGTTTTGTGGAAGCACACAATTTAATTTATATTAGTAAATAATTTGATTCCATTCACTTTATTTACGTATTTTTGAAATATTAATAAGTGAACCACAGCTTAACCACTTCATCTATAAACCAATGACTGATAAATTCTTACCTCCACCTGTTTGCCCATGCTGCTCTTCTCTTTGCAGAACTCAACAGAACATCCAGACCTTAACTGTTCTAACAGCAGCCAGAAAAGCTCAGGCCAGCACATGTCCAACCATGTCCAGTACAAGTGAGGATCCAGACATATATTTATTTAAAAAAACTGCAATCCAGCTGAGTACTGTTGTATTTTAAGAAAATGCAGTGAAAGAAAAATAAAATCCAAGAGGAGACTGTGAGAGGTTTCAGTCATTTTCATCCATTCAGAGAAGGTGATGTTGAGAATGTGGTCAGATACCTGACTGGTGCTGATAACCGTTCTTAATAATTGAGAAAAAACAGAAGCAGTTTCTATTGTTTCTTCACTAGGTGTTAAGCATCAAAAGGCAAGTAGTCCGTTAGCAAAGAGAATCATTTCATCACTATGCTGTTATTATCAGTTACAGCTCAGACCCTGCTACTGGACAAAGGAACGAATAACTCACTAGGTGTTAAGCATCAAAAGGCAATATCTGGCAATAATAAGAGAATCATTTCATCACTATGCTGTTATTATCAGTTACAGCTCAGACCCTGCTACTGGACAAAGGAACGAATAACCCAGATCCAGTTCAGCACCTCCACTGACTTCTAAACAGTCCATGTGGATCAGCTCCTTCCTGGTGGTCCAAGATAAAAGAGTCTGGTAAAAATGTGGTCCAAAAACCTGCAGTTTAGACTGTACGAAGTTCTGAATCCCGTTCCTCTGTCTGACTTGTTTTTAGAATTCTCTTGTGAAGGTCATTTCTTTACTGACTCTCTCTCTCTCTCTCTCTCTCTCACACCCTCTCTCTTTCTCTCTCTCTCTCCCTGTGACTCACTTATTGGCTCACTCACTTTACATCCTTTCTGCTCGTTGCAAATATATATATCTAGAAAGAATCTTCTATTTGTTTTATGTATGTTTGATTAAGATCTAAAAACTAAACATCATCAATGAGGAAGCCTGGGTGATGGTTGTTTGCACTGAACTCACTTCCCACACTGTTACTAGGAAAGATCTCTAAAGTAAAAAGCAGTTCCGTATAAAACCATCAGACATTGTCCTTCTAGGGTGGGGTTGCCTACTGACACAATAGCATCTTCTTCAGTGGTTGAAATTAGAAGTTTATCTCAGTGGAAACAATGTGAGTTTCCCAAAGACAGAAACACGCCACAGTCGACACCACAGACGAAGCCCGGGGCAGACCTTTGTCATGTGGGCATTGTTTCAATGAAGACCAAGGTTGAAGACAGTCCAGGGTGTTGTCTTTACAACAATGCGACGACAGAAAAGAACACAATATAACTATACATGTCTGTGCTCCATGTTTTTAATAAATATTGTTATTTTTAATAAGTATTAAATTTTAGGGCTGGTCAGGTTATCGCATCAATATTGGGTTAATGCATTCATTAATGCTGACTGTGTTTAAGACAGTGGGTGGCAGGAGCAGTGCAGGCTCACGATGGGCATCGTGTAGATAGAATTCCCGTCTTATCGCATTCACCGTAGTACTTTGAGTCTGCAGTATCACTTAAATTCAATAACATTTTGGTGCCCTAGGTGAGATAATAATTTGGCACTCCCTATTGCCCCCTTATTGTAATTGATTTCTTTACTGAGATTAAGTTACTGCATCACTGACTCCAGTCCCAAGAGCCTGCATAACACACCATTGATGCCATCACATTAAAAAGTACCTTTATGTTTGTAAAAGTGGTAACTCGTAAACTCATTTTGCACCTCAAATTGCAGTACTCTTTAAATCTGGAATTTTAAAGTGCATAAAAATCCACTGTATCTGTCCAGCATTTTATAAACAAATTTAAATTCTTCAATGTCACACAGCACTGTGCACAGCATGTGGTACTGGAGCTGCTTGGCCTGATGGGACTTTTCTGCTCAGCCTCTCATTAATCAAGGCAAGTGGCCTGCAGGCGGACAGAGCTGCGTCCTTGGTTTGGACCATTATTGTGTTCAGCCACAGAACATTTCTCAAGAGCTGAAACTTGGTTGATGATTTAAGTTCTGTATAATAACAATTAGATTATGGTGGTTACTGTTAGACATAAAATGCCAAATACATTTAACTTAAAGTCTAAATTCAAGGATTAAAACAATTATAATGATAACCCAGGAGCAGATACTGACTGTGAAACTTCACTAAGATTTTTTTTTTGCAAATTATCACAGAATTTCCAGACAACTAATGAATCAAGTGGTTCCAGTTGTACAACTTTTATTTATTAATTTAATTCAATGTTCAACAAACAAAATGTTCGATGTTATTTCTTTGTCTTTTGAAAGCACTATATATATATATATAACAATATATGTTTGTGTGGTCACTGTCAACACTGAGGCAGGGAATTGTTCTGAGTTAGCATACTGTCTTTTCTGGGGAACAAAGAACAAGAACTTGTAAAGTGAGATCACTGTCATAAAGTAGAGCTCTTTTGTCTGAGCAGCTTCTGTGTGTCATTTTTAAAAGATAATCCTCCGACCGGGGGACATTAAACACCTCATTACGAGCTGACAGTAGCTCACCCTCAGAATGAGTCAGGCCATTGTTTGATGATAGGAGACTGTGGATGCCCTGAAATAACAGCTGATCCCAGAAAAGAATCAAATCTGACCCCATTTTACACTGACTGGGAAACATGAAATATACAGTACTGTACGTAGTATATGTTTTATGTTTGTCTCCAGATTTACTTAAGGTGTAAAAAAATATACAATTGATACCCCCCTCAAAAAAGAAAACTGGTGATATTTGTTTTCAAAATTGTTTTTCTCCCAGCCAATTTAGAACAGTTGTGCTGTTCTGTGTTCACAAGTTCAAATCAATGACTTGTAATTAACCATGTGACCTAGAGGACTTCGACTGTTTTTAATTAGCTGCTGAAATTATCAATAACTTCTCACTGGTGCCCAGTAGAAACCATCAGAGTGAATATGTTGACTGTTCAGAACAACTGTAAGAATTATTTAGCCATTATATATAATTAATAGTTTGTTACATCTATAGCCACTCAGCAGTTTCTCAAGCTAACGTGTCGTTTTTATAAATTAACAGGGTTTACAACGTCCTTGTCCTTGGACTTTTCTAAAAGTGAATTATTTGTCATTGTGACGCAGCACACACAACCAAATGTGACCTCTGCTTTTAACCCATCACCATCGCGAGCAGAGGGGCAGCTTAAGCGCTCGTGTGTTTATAGAGCAGACATGAATCTGTATGAATCTGAACAGTGTCCATAAAAATTGAGTTATGACTGAATGACAGTGTTGTTTATTTCTGTCTTCATTTTGAGTTCTAATGGATTTTGTATACAAATGTAAGCAATAATGGCATAAAGGCTGAATATTACAATGTTATTGCTATACAGAATTTGGCAAGTGAGATGATAAAATATATATATATATATTTTATTATTAATCTCTGTTCCTATATATAAAACTCTACTGTTAAAGGTACTGGTTTTTATAAAAGAAAATATAAACGTCCCTTACATCAGATAAGGTGGTCTGCAGGTCCTGGTTTTTCAGTCAGAGCACAATGTGACTGTATATGAGTCAGTGACCAGCAGTAGAGAAACAATGGGGCGTCCTTTGTCTACCAGAGCTGGTTTGAACCAACACTGAACTGATGATTTGTTTGTCACACTGGAGTGTATTGAACAGGGTGGACATCCTGTGTAAGACTGAGTAGAGGAGGAAACGCCCAGGAAGGAACGGGCTGCTGGCAGACGGCTAAAAATACAGACGCGCGCACACACACACACACACACACACACACACACAGAGGAAAGGTGGTCGAACACGAGGGCTGATGACCCCACAGGGTCTACAACAATTTATGGTCAGATACGGGACTTAAACCTGTTTGGAAACAAACAACATATGGATGGTCAATTTGTCAAGTTATCAGCGACAAACGCGACTGATAACATAAGTTCTAGCTTTTCCTTTTAAAGTAAGTTTCATTAGAATAAAAACACTATCTTCTCTGACCTTTTCTTTTTAAATGGTCACTGGTTTATTCATCTATTCTCTACTTTTACTGTCCTTTCCAGGGTCACAGAGGGCGGGGTCAAATGAACAGCCAATCCCAGCAATCATTTTGGTGAGGAAAGGGTACACCATGGACAGTTCTCCTGTCCACCACTGGGACACATAAACAACCATTCCCACTCACATTTATACTTATGGCAAGTCATTTTTTGTGCATTTAAACCATTTAAACCCACCATTATGAACCATGTACAATAATTACAAAAGGTCAAACTTTCCAAATCAATAGCAACATTTAGAGAAAGTAAAGATTTGACTTACATTAATGTCCAGGCTGCAGAGACTGAGGGAGTCAGCATCTTTGCTGGCCTGCTTCCTTTTTTTCTACAACACACAAAACACAACAACAGGAGTTCATGGGACTGCATTTTATGTTTATTCTACTGTATTATAAGTATTGAGAGATGACTCAGATAAAATTAGTTTCCACAGATATGACATAAAATATTTGGACATCGCAACTAGGGATGTCCTATAATATCGGCTGACAGATAATATTGGCTGTTATTAGCATAGTTATGTAATATATGTAGGACTCATTATTGGTTTTTCCTTCGATATTGAAAACCTGATAATGCAATGCCTGGGTTTCGCGAAATGATGTGTGCTCTAAAAAAAAGCCCCGGTGACAGACCAGTCAGATGCCTCAGTGCATCAAGAACTTTTATTGAAACACTATTGCAGTAACTCGTTCTAAACACCTTTATTGCTTTCAACCCAGCTTTCCCCAAAAACACCTTTTCCTCCTCTCACACTCTCCGCACTCTCTTCCTCACTACCTCTCCCATACCTGTAACTGTTAATTCATAACAAATGAACAGAACATTATCAACGCTAAACAAGCCTCTAGTCACTAGATGGCAGCATTGCAGCTCATTAATCTATATTGATAATCAGGGGGTTGTATGCAGAATGCGGGTGACAGCAACTCTTACAGTGGTTTGTACAGATAAATAAAAATATATTACCCAGCACTCAATGGTATTTCAATTTTGGAGGGAGTGAAAAAACTTCTGTCCCCTAGGGGGGACATTTAAAACACACTCATACTCAAAATAAGTGATTATAGTTTATTAAAAAAAAAAAAACTAAAAATACTAGGTGAAGTGGTGCCGAAGCGCCCTCTATGGTCCAGCTGCCGCAAATTACTAGGTACAAAAAATGCACAATATCTACAAAAGTTAAAATTTATGGAGTGATATTAAAAAGCAGCTCAAAATAACTGTTGTACATAAAATATAAGTAAAACTTTTTTTTTTTTTTTTGCAGAAATGTCACAGTCCAAACAGCTGCTTGTACCATGGCTGATGACACAAATAAACAGCGGAAAATATCCCGGTGTCCAGTGGACAAACGTAGAAAAGAAAGAATTTTGCATTCCGTGGAAGCATGCTCTACGACAAGACTCCTCCGACACAGACTTTCTTATCTTTAAGGTAAACTTATTTTGTTGACGGAGAATATGACAAAAAATATTCTTCCTCTTTATGCATTTCAAAAAAACGAAACAAAAACTGAAAAGTCAGTTTTTATTACAAAGACCATAATGAAATATAATGGACATTTTGGTAAATGAATCAAAAGGAAAAAAATAGAGAGGTACCAATGGAAACGAGATCAAATCAGAACAAATCACATTGACATCAACTTTTTGACTCGTGGGCCACAATTGTCCTAAAATTTGACAGGGATGGGGCGGGTCAGAAACAAATAGATGGAGCGTTTGTGTGAACTAAGATAAATGACATGTAAAAGTCATGCATAAAGGCTAAAATGCTAACATGCTTTTATCATTTTCTACGCCTTCTGGTTGTACTTGTCATGCACATATGACAACAAACACCACTCATTAATACTTGTTTTAATTATTAACAAAGCAATATTTAATTTCATGAGCAACAACATTACAACCTGAACTCAGCTCATTAATCTATATTGATAATCAGGGGGTTGTATGCAGAATGCGGGTGACAGCAACTCTTACAGTGGTTTGTACAGATAAATAAAAATATATTACCCAGCACTCAATGGTATTTCAATTTTGGAGGGAGTGAAAAAACTTCTGTCCCCTAGGGGGGACATGGCTTTAACCCATCACCTTAGTAAGCAGGCGGCACTTAACCACCGGGCCACCACTACCCTGCTGTATCGGTCTTGGTTAATATCGGAATTGTAAATGAAGTGTATGGACAATATCGGATATCAGGTGAAGAACTGATAAGGTAAAATGAGTTGATGGTAAAAGAACAGAGAGGGGCTTTGCACTAAGTGAGGGTAGAGATCAAAAAAGGGCACTGAGGTTAAAGGACTGGGAAAAGAGGGGGCCGAGGAGAAGAGTAAAGAGAGTAGGAGCAGGATGTTGAGATCAGAGTAGTGGAGTATTAAAAACAATCCCAGGAAGTCTGCTGTTTGTTCACTATTGTGTGGAGAAGTTGTTGTTGTTGCCCAGCCTTATATAACCTGGCAGACTTTACCTTTAACTCCTCATCACTACATCCACCCAACAGAGGAAAAGGAGGAGGCGTCTGCCCCTCCTCTCACCCCCATGTCCATATATGGTCTGCTAGCTATATAACCGTGCAAAGAGAGGTGATAAAAATTCTGTGATTTTTTTTAGGATTATCTTCATGTTATTTATACCTTTTATATTTTTGGGAAAGAAAAAAGGTTATATAGCACTTTGTCTAATTTATTATTATTATTCATGTATTACAGTCTTCTTCTTTTACAGCTTTTTGGGGGTAATGGTTCTTCACTAGTTCCACAGTTATTATCTGACAAAACAAGCATATGGAATATCTTAAGCTATGTTTCTTTAAAGTAAAATGCAGTTACTAACTTTTTAGTTTCAGTTAAACCAGTGGAAGGTAAGACTCTATGACTCTGAAAAAGTGAAGAAATAAGGAGAAAAAAAATGAAAAACATTAAAAACAAAGAGTTTAAAGCAAACACCGCAAATGTGTAGTTAAAGCACACGTGAACTACAGCTTTGCTGTAGGGCTAATGTTCCTAAGGTCAACATAAACACTAAGACACATTGACCTGGTGTCAGATGGAGTTCCTCATGATGAATAATGATTAACTCACTGACTCTGATCATCCTGATTAATGAAGGAAGTGGGAGATTCTATTCTCATTCAGGACACACTCACCCGATAATAAACAAAGAGACAGCAGCCCATCATCAGGACCAGATCTGCTTCTCAAACACAGTTCCAACGATAAACGATGTTCCTTACAAACATCTGCTGTTCTACTTCTACCAAAACACGAGTTTATCCCACAGTCACATTGGATTTCCTTTTTCGTCTACTCCTTAAATCAACTCCATCATCTGGAACAACTTGTCCTTATCTCTGACTTTCTTCACTCCTGGTTTCTCTCGTCTCCTTTGCGTTGTCTTCCTTTACAGTCACATTTTTGGTTTCCTCTCTCCTGTGCTTCTGTTATTCCATTGTCCTGGCTTCCCCACTGGATGCTCCTGGAGTCCTGTGTCAGAATCTTCTTCTTCTGTTTTTCTCACTTCTCACTTCGTTGGTCTTCTTCTCTACGCTGCCTTCGTCCGTCGTCCTCCTGCAGCTCCTCAGGTCACGGTTTGAGTGGATCAACAGACACTCAAGAACAGGAACTCTGTACAATGCCTCTGTATGCATATGTATGCGTGTGTGTGCGTGTGTGTGTCCAGGCTGTCCCCTCTGGACAAACAGGAAGTGACAGCCATTGGGGGAAACAGGTGTCTATAAATAGGAGCTACAGGAGACAGTGAGACACCAGTGGTGGACACTTTGACACATAAAGATCATAAACTCTCTTTAACACCAATAAAGAAAAAGATAAGAAATATGCAAAAAATAACATTTTTAAATGCAATTTACTGACCAACCTGCAAAACAACATGGTTCATTACTTGTTTCATTTAATGCCTGTTAGTCTGTTCTATGGGTGAAACCCAATGATATGAATGCACGAGGCACCAGATGTGTTGATTTTCTTTTCTTTTTTTGTTTCCTGTTGTTGTTATGATGAAGTAAAATATCAGATGTTTTATGCAGGAGATGTGTCCTTACCCCTCGGAGGAACCAGCCATTATGAGGGAAGAGGGAAGGAGGAAGTTTTCCTCGGCCACTTCGACCTGACAGATGGACACGCAGAAGAAAAGAAGGAAAATGAGACATTAGAGGAGAGAATGAGAATGAGAATGAGAAAGAAAAGAATGAGAAAGAAAAGAGAAAGACAGAGAGGAAAGGAAGATTAATAAACAAACAGTTCCTCAGCAGGGACCATGACAGTGACTTCATCGCCTGATTTACAGGCATCACTCCACAAATACATTGCACATTATCAACAGACTGAATATTTTATTGAGGGCAGATTTAATGATCTGTAAATGCTGTTTTAGAACTTAGATTTAAAAGTTTAAAGGCAGGTTTATGATCTTTTGTTTATAGTTTTGTATTTGAAATAGCTGTGCATTGAACAAAAACCATTAGTTTAATAGACCTGGAGGGACTGAGTTTGAACCTTCATCTCCATCTAGTGGTTTTCACCAGTCAGTGCAAGTGTGCCATTAAAATCAACCCTTAGACACAAACAGTAAGTTGAACTCCTTTTATGAAGAACAGGCTCATATTAAAGATTTTCTTTTTCTAATGCTACATTTAAATGTGTTGTGGAACGTTCTAGGTTCTACACTACCTTGTCTCCTCAGCTTAGGATAAATTGTCTGAGGAAGGACATCCCAAATGTGCAGAAATCACTGCATGGAGTTAAAGTGCTGCGAACACACTGAAGTTTTAGTCTGACTTTACATATAAAAGTTAATAGAAAGTTAATAGAGTTAATAGAACAACAGCAGAATTGTAACGATAAATACCCAATAAATGTACAGAATATACACATCAAAAATAATGAACTGCTACTGTTATATATTTTTTAAATAATTTATAAAATTGACATTTAACAACTAACACAACAACTTTTTTTGCCAAATCCTAAAATTGTTGGAGGGTACATTTTGTCATTTCTTTATTGTTTTTATGAGAGTAATCTATCTTCATTACTAGGTACTTATTACATAACAGAATATGACTCTCAAAATGAATCCTTCCCACAGCATTGTTCTCTGGGAGTCCTAGTTTGAAAGTACTTCCTGTCTTCTTTTTTTTTAATCAATGAGGTAGCTGTTCTTAGGGTTGAGCCACTGATTCATTCTTTGATGACTCCACCATGACAGGAATGCTGGACAGCTGGTCTGATGACATCACCTCCCAGCACAGCCTCTGTACCCACCTCTGAAACTCTGCACTGGTTAAAAATTAAACTGGAAAAACATATCAGTGCAGGATGTCAATAAGACTAAAGACGCATCCGCTCCCACCTCGAGTGACATGTATAATGTCAGAGCCTTGGGCCTATGTGTGTGTGTGAGAGAGAGAGAGAGAAAGAGAGAGAGAGAGAGAGAGAGAGAGAGAGAGTTTAACTCACAAGTATAGTTTTTAAAATATGAGTAATGTATTTCTGACTAATTCATTCCTATAAGTAGCAGCAGTCTTTCCAATGAGGCAAATTATCCCACCCCAAACACACACACGCACACAAACGATGACTATTACGATCAAAGGTGAGTTTGCGTCAGGCTGTTGATTATGTCCCTCATCTCTTGTACTTTTTTTTATATCTCATCTGTTTTTAATCTCTCTCTCTCTCTCTCTCCCTCAGTCCCACTGTAAACACACACACACACGTAAACAGAACACTCAGTGTTTGTGTCCTGTACAGAGCCTGACTTCTGTTGGACTAACCCATGGTCTGGAGTGTTTCTGTGTCACTAACGTCCAATCAGTCTGTTGTTCAGCGGTGGTGAATCAACAGACACATGACCGCACACGACAGTAGTTCTTTGTTTGTTGACCTGATCCCACAGACACCGTCCTGCAGCTACACACACTCACATCAGTGTTGACTCTCCACAAACTACAGAGCTGCGGCTTCTGCAGTGTCTTCATGCTGCACTCACACATCAACAAGAGCTGACTGAGGGTTTCTGTCTGACATCTACTCATCATCATCTTCTCCTTCCACCCATCACTCATCCATCTAAGAATCCTCCATCCATACACCTTTTAATTATCTATTCACCCATCCAACATCCATCAGATCATTACATCTTTTGAGCCATCAATTCATTCTGTCATTATCTCTTCATCCATCCATACATCCATTTTCTAATTTATTTTACTCTTAAAATCTCCATGTTTTTCACATTCTCTTTTATTTTGAAGTCATGTCACAAGTGTGCTCCTTGTTCATATCTACTTCCTGTGGTCTGTGACTCTTTGTCCTGTTGTTTTTCTGAACCTGTGTCCACTTCTGCCTTGTCTCATTCTGTCTCTGTTCTTCCTCAGATTTGTTTTTAGGTTGCCCGTTCACTTCACTTTAGGACAATTATTATTATTTATTTATTTATTTTTTTTTGTATTTTCTTTTGTATGTTTCTCTTAAAAACACACGTCAAATCCTGTTTGGTGCATGTGGTTTGGAGGTAAATAAATCTTTAAAAACCCCACACAGTTCAGTGACTGGTCAGACTGCTGACATATAAATGCTGACTTGTCTCCACAACAGGTTGTATGAAATAATTTCCCACTGAGGAAAGATGTGACGTTCAGGAAAGAGCGAAAAAGGAAACACTGTTAAAAGATAGCTTAAGCTTAAGCTAAGATAACTTAGACAGAGTTAAGATCGAGTTAAGATAGCTTCTGTTTTTAAAACTGTTCTAAAAGAGTTTGAAAGTTCACATTGAAAACCATGACTGCAGTACTGGATCTGCCATATAGTGCTGGAGGTACCACCAAGGCCAAGTGTACCACAGAACCACTCCATTCACCATTCACAATACCACGACAACCACAACTGTCTGATTTATGTGGAAAGAAACAAAATATCACAATACAATGTATTTACTGTGCAGTATGCACTTTGTTTGACTAATTTCACACAAATGACTGTCATTCATGTGAAATTCATTGACATTGTGGAGGAAATCTACTGCAATATTTTGATTTTTGCAGAATCCTTGTCTCGTGAGATTAACGTGGCCAAAAGATCTTGAAACTATCATATCACAAGGTACCTGTCGATACCCAACCCTAAATGCAAGGGTGTGGAAAAGTACACGGTGTTCTGATTTTACAACATTAACTTTTTCTCTGAAGTGATAACCTCTCCGCTGCAAACAACACTGGCAGACAAAAAAGTCCTTCATATAAGAGCTGTAAGGTACGTTACATAACAGAGAAGAAAAAGTAAAAGAACAAAGTACAGTAACACTGCACACACACACACACACACAAACACACACACAGGTACCTGGTGTAACCTGCAGTTCAGCATATTCTAGTCAGAATCAGAGACAGAACAAAGAACCGAGTAACATTTTTTTGTTCCTCAGCAGCAGCAGTAGAACCACATTCCTCCCATAATCAACAGCCTTAAATTACACTATAGACACATTAGAGATGCACCGAAACACTTAGGTCAAAACATTCTCAGACAGACGACCTCCCACAGACAGACGATGTCTCACACATCTGCACTGACACTTTGACATGTTTCATTCTCATGCCTTTATACTGTAAGTAACAGTTTGATCACATGCACACTCCACGCTGACTCAACTTGCCCGAACTCCAGCTAGATTAGCTACATTTGGCACACACTGCTAAGAGACTTCCCATGATGCATTGAGCTCCACACCTCTCTCCTCCTTCTTTGTCTGTGAATGTTGTTGGTTCTGTTCTCATTCTCTGGCAACAGAGGCAATACCATTTATTATATCAATATTATATTAGTCATACAATTCAATGAGAGGATTAATTGTCAGCCTTGTGTATGTTTTCATCGTTTTCCCCATTATGGGTGTGACGGGCACTTTCTTTCACACTGATGTAGACCCAGCTCTTTGGCACTGTCTCTGTTTCTGACACAAACGGTTGAACAAAAACGACTCCACCCTTCTCCGTTCTGTGTTTGTGCTATTGAATCAGGACAGTTAGTTTGGACAAAGAAGTATGAACAGGCGCTGTGCAGGTGATTTACGTTTTGAAGTAGTTTTTATTAAGACTCAGGTAAATCAAGCAGCAAAAGCTTCACGACAGCAGGTGGCAATACTGCTTGGAACATTCATCCCAGGATAATATTACTCTGGCAGTCAGTTACTGCTGGTGTACACATGTCTGTACTAAGCACATTTTATTGTCTCTAGAGCTAAAAATATTGCTTGTAATGGCGGAGAAAGTGTGGGAAAGAATTTCATATTTAATATATTATATATATATATATATATATATATATATACATATATATATACATATATATAATTGTAATATTTTAAATATGAAATTGTTCTAAATTCTTTCCCAAACCTTCTCCGCCATTACAAGTAATGGTGGGGTTAGAGACACAGTAAAAGTCATTGGGCGGTGTGAAATAAATGGAAGTGAATGCAGTGTCCTAACAAAGGCAGCTGGGTAAACCTGAGTGTTGGTGTTTGTTTTGTAGACTATAAGCCACTGCCAGGCCAACTTGTGACTCACTAAGTTGCAACCAAACCTCCCTCTCTCTCTCTCTCACTGTGTTTCTCACAGAAACAAAATAAAATGTCACTTTTGTTTATTTTGTTGTTCTTTGCCAGATTTATAAAAAAAATCATTTTCATCTTGTATGAACAAATGTTCAAAGCATGTTCGTGTCAAGTATGACAAGTGTCTGTTCTGTGCAGTTTAGAGTTCGAGGAGACTTAATTTCCTGTGTGATTCTTCACATTGTTCTTCATTTTACACTACAAGATAAACTTAATTTTTTTCAATTTCACGTTCTCTTTAAAAACCCATTTATTGTGTTCTTACCTTGAACGCCGCTGACATCCATCACCTGTCTGCATCGAGGTGAAACGGATTCTCCTAACGATACAGAGAACGAAAAAAAACAACAAAACACTGAAAAATGAGAAACTAACTTTCACTTTCGTCTCTGCTCGGCCGAACGAACATCCAGTCTTTCATAAGAAACAAGTTCAATTCTGCAAATTCCCATTCCGAGCTTCTGCTGACTGTAACGTTCACTAACTCTTAAGGCACGGTCTAGTGGAAAATAAGGGCATGAGTCGTTTCTGGTAGAGCCTTCAAAGTAAAAGTCTTAAAACGTAAAATTTGAGAGGCTCTGAACGTGTATGGCCTTCAAAGTAAAAGTCTTAAAACGTATTTGAGAGGCTCTGAACGTGTCCTCTGCTGGAATTTAGCGGTATTGCAAGTAGACTTGATTTGCTGACCTGGCATTCGAGACAAGGCTTTAATTCTAATACGTTGTCTTATTGGCATTTTTAAAATACATTTCGAGCACACACTTACATACACACGTACGCACTTAATTAGACGCAAGTTAACATAAATAGTCCACGAACAAGGTGCCATGCTAATGAAACAGTCTGAGCAAAGATCAGATTTTACGGACTTCATTTATAATTTAATAACTGCGTTTGAACTCACCAACGCTTCCTTTTAATTTACTGTTGCGCAATCATAAAATAACATGCGTACGTACTTACCGTTCTGTACTTGTTTCAGTACAAGCTTGTTTAAAAGTTCTAGTGAGAAGAGCCGTGCTTTTATTTTGGAGACTTTTTACCTAAGCGCGAGTTTCTGAGGGTTCCGATGTAATTAGTATTGACAGAAGTTGTCGTCACACGAACGTGCTGTTTACTGTGATAAAGTGAGAACGGACTAAGTGGATTTCATTATAGGAAATTGAAAAATTGTTCGGCACCAAAATAACAGATATTTACGGACCATACAATAGTCAAAAATCCTCTTTTTGATTTATCTGAGGTGACGTATTTATCTACTTTAATTGAACAAAATGATGTGTGGAACTTACAATAGACTGAAATTTTTATTTCCTACATTAAGGTACTATAAAACAGTACATTTCCTTTAAAAAACTGGCTAACTATACAAACATGTTACAAAGCAGACATTTCCAAGCAATAAAAAAATACAATTACTATTTACAGGTAGGAAATGCTGACTCTTCCCTTCCAGTAATCTGAGCTCTGCAGCTTCTCTGCTTTCTAAACTTCTGCTGTGAGAACAAAGTGATTACAAAACAATCCATCATTCAGAGTGTCAGAACACATGCATAAAAATGAAGCAGAATATATGAAATGGAAGGACTTTCCAGTGAAGCCAAACATATTAACAATGACTTTAAACAGTCATTTAAGTCAACAGTTCTGGTTAAATTAATATTGACCAACAAAGTGATTTTTTAAGTTTCTGGGACTTAATTTCTTCTTGGTCATTTTCTTATGTGATAAGAAATATCTTGCATATTGAGTTTTTAATATTCTTTTAAACACTTTGACTTTGGTGTGCATCAATGACCAAACACTGAGTTTGTGATAAAAAAGAAAGCACATTTTTTCACACTTGATGTATGTGTTATTTGGTGGGGCTCAGAAATGTAATCACTTCTATTATAAGTCATCATTTAAATATTTTAACATTTTCTGTAAGGTAAAATCAAAAATGTTATTAAAAAGAGAAAAAAAAATCCCTTCTAACAAAAATGCTCCATTTCATAATAAGGCACATTAGCTTGAACACATGTTGAAGCTGTTGCATGTTAGTTTTATTGATCTGGAACATTTTTGCGTGTCTTTGTGCTCCTGCCTCAGGAAAGTGCCTGTACAAAGTTCCTGTGTCATGCTGTGGTACCAGATGTCCACTCATGAGTCAGTCACTCATCGTGTTGAGGCGGTCTTTGGTCTATGTGGTCCAACATCCAGAGACGCTGCACCTTAGGGTCCTCCAGGCTTGGTCATGAACAGCTCCTTCACACTCGTGGACTCGGTGTTCACAACAGGTTGTTGATCAATTGCTTCAGAATGTACTCTTTACTGAATGAGACTTTGAGGGTTTTTTGTGGATGAGGACTGACAAAAACTCAACAGTTTCCAAAATCTTCAACAACTTTTCAGTTGTTCTGTTTATGTCCGCATCCTGTTCGGGTAATGATGAAGGTTAGGTCCAGCGATGACATCATTAGGCTGCAGCACTGCTGGCTGACCGCAAGGCTGGGTCCTCATAGTGATGCCACATGAGCGAGTCCCTCACTGTGCTCCAACTGGCAGTGGTGAAGGTCAGCTTTACAAACCGTAGCCGTGCTGCAGCGCAGAGACGTGACAACAGACGGCTCCTCATCCCCTGCCAGGCAAATAAGACCAAAAACATTTGTCAAGTTCATTCAAATGGAGGATATGTTCACAGTAGTTTAGCACCCACATTTCTAGGCTGTCACTGTTGAATGCACACTGAGGTTTGACCTGTGGTCTTTACTTGTGTTTGAGGGAAATGTCCTGTCACCTCGTTTTAAACAAAACCAGTCAAATTGCCCTGGACTTGTCTTGTAAATTCCACTGTTGCTGCACTGCAACTTCTGTATTTGTCTTCTATATTTTTTCTTTTGTATTTGTATTTTCCAGGAACTCTGTTGAGGTCACCACCCCTTCAAGAACACCGAAATAGCTGCTCGGCGAGGCCTGACCAAACCTATGGGGCGCCGACAGTTACACTGTGCTTGAAATACCCTAAGTACTTCTATACAACATGAAATGGCTCCTTATGAGACACCATGCTCTGTAGAGTTTATACATTTGAATACGAAGTATGTACTAGAAATTGTCTGCAGTAAATACACAAATCTTTGGTCGTCCCCTTGTTTGCCCCCCTTACCGAGACCCGAAGAAGAGGATTCGCTGTCAGCCACAGAGCAGTTGTCAGCTTGGTCATGTGACAGCCCCTCCATTAAAGGAATGGAAAGCTCTGACGAAGGAACAGATGAATCGTAAATGCCTGAATCTCGGGGAGGTGGGAGGTCTGGAGGCGACAGATGGACATCCTCTATCTGGAGAGAGCATAAAGTGTCTGTGAGGACAGTTGGAGCAGAGGACGAGGATGATGATGATGATGATGATGAGCACAGAGTGTCTTCATTTGAGAATCCAGACACTCCAGAAGTTGATCTAAAGAAAAAAAAGAAGAGGTATGTAAATGTTTTTGTCAAACTAGCGATAACAACATGTTATTAAATATTTCTTTTTCAAGACAAGCCAAGGAAAAACTTTGGAGAATGCATGAGTGAAATTTAAAAAGTCCAAGACTACTGTCAAGTTCTAAAACTACTGTCAACTTAGTGAAACAAGTAGGAATGGAACAAATAACAAATTAAAAAAACATGATTAATAAAATGTTAAATTACTGCTTCTTTTACCTTGAGGTTGGTCCCAACGTTGACATGGAACAGTGTGGCAACACCGGACTGGGACACAGACTAGTACTGGTTCCCAAACAAGGGCTAGGACCTGGACTAGGACTTGGGCACGGACCAGAACTTGTGCTGGAAAAGGGACGAGAGCCTGGTGCCATTAGGACAATATTCCTCTTGGGAATGCCGTTCCCATCATCCAACGACGGCGTCCTCACCGCCACTTCATTGAGCACCAAGCCAGAGTCAAACCTCTGCTCGGGCTGGAGTGAGGAGGAGGAGCAACTGGCAGGTTTTGGAGGAGGAGTCGGACCGGGCACAGAGGGGAGAGGAGAATGTTTTGAAGCGGAACCTGCTGCAGGAGCCAACTGCTTCTCAAACCAGTCTGGGTTCTGGCTGATGTACTGGTGCATGTTGCAGATGCAGACGTAGAGCGAGCGTCCAGATTTACTCCTAAAGTAGTTCCTCCTGGAGATGTTGAGAGGCGGCTGCTCACGTCCAGCCAAACTGCTCGGACCAGAATAGAGTCGAATGAAAAGCTGAGGCAGCTGATCCATCAATTTAATCCTAATCAAAGAGAGAAAAGAAAGATTTGTTTTCTGGCAAGAAAAGGGCGACATGTAAGAAAATAAAAAGGGAAGCTGCATTTACCTGGGAGCCAGACTCAGCATAGTAGGAATGTCATTTTCTGTTGAATAGTCAAAGTAAACGGTCAAAAATCGGTTCAGCGCCTGAGTCTCTTCGCCTTCCCTTTGCTTGGCCATACGTAGCTTTTCAGCTATCATAGCCACAGCCACGGTGAAGAGGTCACTGCTGGATCCACCGCCGGCAGAGCTGATGCTACTGCTGCTGCAGCGACTGACGGGCGTTTTCCCTCTACGGCTTTTCCTCTCCACATAGTAGCTAAAAAAAGAAAAGAAACATGCACCAGTCAACATAGCAGAAAGTCAGAAGCATATGAAAAGTTAAATAACAACGGAGAAGAGACAAAAGGGGCAGAAGTTGTCTTTTAGGAGGAGTTACAACTTGGAGAGAAAAGAAAAGAATTTCAGAAAACGTTTTGATTAGAAGAGTTAACCAACAACAAGAACGTAAATAAACAATAATGCTATTAGGATATGCAAGATAAAAATACCAATACTAATAGTAGGACAATTGTCTTGTTTCCAGGGCACTCCTAAAAGTACCCGCTGGGCTTTAGCAGCACCTAGTGGACATTGGTGGAACTACCGTAATTGAATCTAAATATCAGAGATAGTTTTGTACCGTAGGCCTTTGGAGCAGACGGTGATGATGAAGTTGGCTTCGTCCAGTTGTCTGCTTAACCATGACATCTGACCTTCTTTGCACATCTCCAGATGTTCCCACAGGTCGAGCACAACCTGAACAGGAGTAGGTAGAATGTTAAATTCACAGCAGAAAACATCATAATGAACCACAAAGGATCTCTAAGGATCAGAGTGTTTAAATACTGTATTTTTCTATACTACTTATAACTACTCATTTGACACGACACCATCCTGTTTATTTCTTCCATGTTAAAGTAATTGTAAATTCTCTGGCACTGACAGTCTACTGTCTCACCTCACAGTTGCAGAAATCCTGCAAGAAGAAGGCAAAGCTCTGGATGACACTGGTGTGTTTGGGACAGTCTCTGTTAGAGTAACAGATAAAGACTTTGGGACGAGGCCACGGGCGATCTGCGTTCAAGGCTGCGCTCTGATTAGACGATTCACTGCTCTCCTCATCCAGCTGGCTGTAGATGTTTTCTAAAAAAAAAAAAAGAAAGAAAAAGTGATCAGAGCAGAGTTAGACTTTAAGGAATTGAGCATCATTAATGCAGCATAATTCACTCTCACAGCACTCACCTTGCTGTTTCTTCCGACACATGACAGTGAAGAGAGTGGCGAACGCAGACATGATGACCAGAGGAACCGTGATGGCCATGGCACGAATAGGCCCCGCCCACTGGGAGTGCACTGTATGCAAGTATGTTTTGATAGTTATTAATGACCCTCCGTCATACTGTATCTCCGGATCCTAATTTCTTTTAATTAGCCAAATCATAAGTAGATACAATTCCATCAAATGTGTGTGTATATGTGTGTACTCACCCTGGCTGACATGGTACTGCGTCTGCCTCCTGGTCGTGTTACTGTCGTCTCTCAGCTGACAGTGAAATAAAAAGACATTAGCAATGACAAAGAGGAGATCTGTTGGATTAGAGTACAAAAACTCTGGGAATAAGGTGACAAACTTTTAAACGTACCTCTACGGTGTATGTTCCTGGAGTAACATCCTGCAGGACGCAGGTAGCCCTGGGCTGGTTCATGTCCTGCACACAGTAAATGTATTTTAATTCACTTGAATTGTTTTTGTTACATTTTTTGTCCTAAAGACTGTAACAATATTCATCAAGTGAGGATACAGAGGTAGAAAAGAGACGACTGATTTTAACTTTGACTTTAACTTGTTGTTGCAAATGGAAACAAAATAAAACTACTTTGGTTTGTGGAACCAAACAGGAATAAAAACACAAACATTAAAATAGGTTTTTTTATCAAAAAAATAGTTTATCCTATGTTTACCTGACGTAAATACAAAGTTCATACTCCTCAGGAATAAAAATATCTCTGCCTTACTGATTTACAGCGCTGCAGTTTGAAAGGTCCATCATGCCGCAGTTTGTAATACAGGTAGTAGAAGTTGAAGCCAAAAGAGGGTGGAGCCTGATCGAAGGCCACGTGGAGGTTGGAGCCCAGCTGGGACACATTCAGAGTCTTTGGTTTCCAGACTAGATGGACACACACACACATAGACAGACAGAATCAAAAGTGAGGCCCAAAATCATGGACAAGAATTCCTTAGTATATTAAAATATTCTTTTTTTATTAATCACTTGAGCGTCACAAGGCTCATTATTCGGTACAACAGCTCTCCCTACTGGTTGAAAAATAGAAATGTAGTGTAGTGTTTAAATGTATCGTTGAGGTAAATACTTAGATGTGGATGTAGTTAGAGTGAGAGTGCAGAGGAGAGAACTCACATGGTTTACAAACCAAGTTGTCTGATCCCAGCAGGACTTCACACGCTGTAACACACAGAATCAGATATGATTAGACAAATTCATCACTTTACATTTTATTTGTTTACAGACTCAGTACATCTCATTTAGAGGCATTGTCAAGAAACCCAGGGATGTATATCTGGATGTAGACAGAACGCTGGAAAACTGTTGTTACTTTGGGGGAACTGAGAATCAAGCTGTGGGACAGTACTGGGTCAATCCGTTTCAATGACTTTACAGGAGTACGGCACTTACAGTTGGTCCGGAGAAACGATGGTGGGAAGAAACTCTCGTTCATTAGACTCGGGAAAGGAACAACACGAACCATGTAGTCAGTGTCAAAGGTCAAACCACTAAATGGTTGGCTGCTCAGCTTCTGTGGGAGAAAGAAAAGAGTTAATTTACAACAAAACTAAAAATGTTCCTGAAACACTAAATTGTCTCAATCATTTTCCCAATTTTTCAATAGAACATAGTGTCAATTTCATGATTTCTGCTCTGATCTGATGACGTACAGAAGGAGAGACGTCACACAGGTGAACACAGTGTATGACTGACAGTTCAACTGGAGACAATTGTTACAGTACAACTGTCTTGATTTATATACAATCTGCCTTTGTGTGCAAATATAAACTAACTAAAATACAAACGTCCAAACACCAACAAACACAAACAGGAAGTTTGTCAATAAAGGGACATCTTTTAAAAAGATACTTTTTTTCTCTGGCGTGAGTTTTGGTTTTAGAGCAACTCTGACATCCCAACATTTGGTACTAATTCCAAAGTGTAGAGGCGGCAGATGTTAAAGGCAGATTCAGGTTTTTGTCTCAATCAGATAATAATGTTCACATGTTTGCTGAGAGACTCTGCTGGCAGTTATTAAGCAGGTTTCCTACTAAACAGACGGAACGACTGGAGGGCTGGTTACACACAGGAAGTAATTGATAACATCCACGCATATCTCTAAATCCCTTTCTCTGTGCGTGGATCTTGTGCTTGATTACTGATGATATGACTTTGCAGGAAAGTTCCTGGCTCACAAAAAACAAACCGTCACTCTTCGGCTTTTCATGTGACATTCTTATTTCCAAGCTTTTACTCGTACCGTGCTCTTGTAGGAAAAGTTGAGCTGCCGCGGGTCTTTGAGGATGAGATGTTGACACTGTTTCCCTTCTGGATTCTTGTCCTCCAGGTAAACCCTGAAGCCTTTAATATGTTCAATGCCTGCAGAGAATAACCATAAGAATAAGAATATCTCCTCCAAAGTTGTTATTATTTTGTCTCATGTCTCGCTGGGACAAAGCTAACCAACATTCTATTCATTCACCAACTAATTAACATGTTAATTAATTTAGCATTCGAAGCTCGGTATACACTCTACAAATAAAGTCATTTGTTTAAATAAGGACATACAGTACTGTGGGCTGCAAGTCCCTGATGTCCAGCCTACAGTCCCAGAAAAAATGAGAAAAAAGTAGAAGTTGGTGCGACATCTCTGTTTATTATTACATGATGTAACACATTTCTGATTGTGCTTTTTTTCACCTAAAAAGTTTGAGTGTTTTTGACTTCTTTGTCTTATTGCTTATTCTGTCTGCATTTAACCTAATTTATTTGACATTACTTTTGGTCATTTCTTTTACTGTGCGTTCATGTGTTCTTTTTATGTTTGTTTAAACCTTTTCCTGCCCAATATTACTGAGCTTTTGCTTCCCCTACTCCTCCCTCCCCCTGGAGAAATGCCTGTCAGGACAGAAGAAGAGAGAGAGGGAGGGAGGGAGAGAGAGAGAGAGAGAAAGAGAGCGAGGAATCTGCCTGAAGAAAGAAAAACCTGTCCTGCTGCTTTGGGTTTTTTTTCTCCGCACACAATCAAAATAAGTGGAAGACAAACACGGATGTTATTCCCGTTTGAAGAACCGCTGCAGTGTCTTTCCATGAACAGCGTGCCTCGCAGAAGTATTTTTGTTTTTGTTTTTACAAGTAATATCATACAAGAATCAGTGGTGACTCATCATTTTGGTAAAAAAAAAGGAAAGTAAAAGAAGAAGAACCAGATGTTTAGAATGCCTCCAGGGAAAATGGACTGTGATTATGTGCACAGCTACCAGCATCCTCATCAACGCCATGATCACTATCAGAAGCATTACCACAGCAGAAGCACTTGGTTAGTTGGCAGGGCTCTACGTTGGCTTCATTACTTCAGCAAGGACTGTTAAGGATGTTGTTGAAAACTAAATGAAATTGTCGTGACTAAAAAAGCAGACTCATCATCACATCATTCTGTCTACGGAAAAACACGACAGTCACAGCATTGACATGAGCTGATGTAACACTATCAACATCACCTGATTTCACCTTAATGAATCCATTTAATTTATGAAACCCATCAACGCTTTTAAGCCTATGTGAAAATCTAAAGAGCCAAACAACAGATGTGGACACACCTTCAGAAGGTAGAGTTGAAGAATATCAGGCTTTCATGGCCTTGGCTTCAAACCCAGAACTATTCCACTCGTATCACACACATCCTTATAACAGGACAAAAGGATCTTTTCACGTGACATTACCACATTTCTGGACAATTTCTTTCCAAGGGGGACAACAGGAGACATTGACACTGACTATCAGAGACAGAGAAAGAGTGGAGAGACCGAGTGAGAGAGACAGAGAGAAAGAGAGAGAGGGAGAGGTCACCTTACACTGTGCACATGCACTCACACACATTCCTTCATGGTCAAACAGCGGTATTGTTGTTTGAGATGCGATCCTCTCTCTCTTTTTCCTCTGGGGGTGATCAAAGAGATGTGCAGAGATGCACAACACACACACACACACACACACTCAAAGAGCACTGGCTCTTCTTACACTTTGAGGTTCTACCCTCCCCTGTGCCCCTCCCTCAAACTGCTCTCAGAAGAATCTCACAAACAGACAAAAGTGTGTCACACCGTTAGACCAACAGCAGGACAGGGAGAGTCAGTGTTACCTAATGGACTTGCAGACCAGTGGACCACCACTGCAGCCTGATCCTCACAGGACAGGTGGCTGAAGGAGACGTTGGCCACCTCGTGGATCACATGTTTACCCGATGGGTAGTTTATCGAACAGTCTGCAAAACACAAGCAGGCAAAAACAAGAGATGATTCAAATATTACAATAGAACTTTACATCCAGGTATTTATTATGACTGCAGTCTGGAAAAATAAAGGTTTCTATTGAATAATCAAGGGACAAAAATGTCTGGTGACATTAAAGAGATTCAACTGTAACAGACACTGTACATCACAGAACGTCCATGGTCAAACCTCAACACAACGTACAAAAGAAAACAAACAAAAAACATCCCATGTCAATAACAATCTGAAAATGTTTTTTTGAAAATGTATTAAACACTGAAAGTTCATGCAGAACTCTGCAGCTACTTTGGCTTCAGAGCTTGCGGCTTCCTCTTGTCGTGTGACTGAATGGATGCCAGTTGTCGGTTGAGCACTCGTAACTAGATATTTTCACGTATCACGAACAAAATCTTGCAATAGTTGCAGGCTTATAACTTGGAAAACTCGTATTTCGGGGAACTTGTATCTAGGGGCTCCACTGCAGTGAAGAAAATGAGCAGAAATATCTTTGATGTGTGGGCTGTTGAGAACTCTCCACGTCCCTATTAATAATGCTTCATTTTGAAACATAAATGAAAAAGAAAAACTGCTCATCCGTGTTCACCTCTTGATGACCTGGGTTAGCTGAGGTCAGCACAAATGTCAGCCATTCAATCATTGCAGTTCCCAACATTTTTGTTTCGAGATAAGATGATGATGGACAGGTTGAGGAGGAGGAGGAAGAGGAAAAGGTGCATCCAGCCATGAACCGTGAGGACCACTGGAGAAAAGATGGATGTGGACTGAAAAAAAGGCGTGAGCTCAGACACGACTGACTGCTCCGGTTTCCTCCTGCCAGCGTCCAACTGACAAAGGCAGCTGAGGCAAGAGGGGGAAAAAACATTTGCGATTGAGAGTAACAGTTGGAGAAAAGATGGTGAGGTGACCGAGAGGAGGTCAGGAGGTCACAGCATACACAAGGTCATGGCTCAGCTTTCTCCTGCTTCCTGAAGATCCTCAGAGCCGGGTCATGTCCAGAGCTCAAGGAGAAGGTCACGGCTCGTCGCTCCTCTTTCTCCACAATAAAGCATCTCCATGGGATAAAGGGAGGGGCAAGGAAAGGTCACAAATCACTACTCCTCTTCCTCTTTAACTCTGTCCCTTTGTCTGCAGGATTTCCTTATAAGACAATGATGAGGAGGAAGAGGGAGGTGAAAGGGCAGACACCTTTCTACTCCTCACTTTGATTCCTCGTTCAGTTCAACAAGCAGAGAAACATAGGTCACAGATGCTGAGTCATGACCTGTAGTCACGATACCAGAGTGCAGTGCAGAGCTTGCTCTGCCATGTTGCACTGTACACCTTTTTTATAAAACTATAACCAAACCTTTAAATGTATCTACATTTTATAGCATTAATTAATTAATATTAATATTAAAAAAGGCCCAATGTAATTATGAATATCTGAGCACAAAAAACGACACTTCCTCACACACTTCCAATACTCATGCTATGCTAACTCACTTGGTGCTAAGTTGCATTACTTACAAGGTGTAGTTGATTTAAGCTATGCCTATGGTCTCAGTCCTTCTGGGGAATCAGACTTCAGAAGACGGTAGGAAAGGAAGCAGTGAGGTGTGTCAGACACACACACCTCGGTTCACACACACAATGAGCCTGCTCTGATTGTCATGCTAAAACACGGCGGTGCTTTACTTTGCCTCCAACTGTGTGAAATTTCAAACTTCTATTTCATCATTATTTTGCTTCGGTCACATGACCTTATGACCTGTGACCTCTGTATTACAAGTCGCATAATATGCCCCGAGATCAGATCAGATTAAATGAAGAATGAATAACTTTGTAGGAAAAAAGTAGCTGGAGCTTTGAAGTAGAATTCATAGTGTGGTGACAGAGAAGGAGTGAAAATGGTTTGCCATGAAACATGGGAAGCAATCGAAACATTTTGGTAGAAATGTAAAAACTAAATATACTATATATATATGACAAATATTTGAGTCTGACTCAATTTATACACACTCTGAGTTCCTTTAGCATCATTAATTTAAAAAATAACGCATTAATTACATCACTTTGTGGAATAAAAAAGCTAATGTTCAGTTAACAAAGATACAAATAAATACAAACTAAGCTCAGTATTAAAACTCTACAAAATCAGTTCCAAACTGTTTAAGCTTTAGTTTGATTTCTTTTTTAATCTGCTTTAATGCTTATAACCAAAACTGCAATCTCAGTCATGTGCACACGCACGCACACATAGAATTGAACCAGCGTCTCGCTCATGGTCAGGGACAAAGGCAGAAGGCAGGGATCGGCCACGGCTCAGGAACTTGACTTTTACAGAGAAAAGAACAAAAGAAAGAAGAGGAAGACGGTGGAGGGGAAAAGGGTTATGGGGGTTGAGATAGAGAGAGATAGATAGATAGATAGAGAGAGAGAGAGAGAGATTGTGTGTGTGTGTGTTTGTATTGATTTCAGAGTCTGATCAGATTGAAGGTATTTCTCTTTGGTCTTAGGAGAACAAGAATAGACACGGATACGATGATAATGTTATGAGGGAATAGTCAGGAAGAAAAGGGTCAACTATCTTCCAGGTTAGAAAAACAAACACACACAGACTGTCAGATTGTAGAGATTTAAAAAGAAACTCACTGTCAGTCCTGAAGGTGACTGGTAACCTGCGACCTCCATCTGCATCAGACTGTACCTGGAAAAAAAAAAAAATCAGAAAAGCCAAAATATTTTTGTCACAAAGGAACCTGATTTCTGGTTTGTTTGTGAACTTCATATCTTAAAAATATGATCCTTGAGATCTGGGTTTTCTCAGTAAAATACAAGTACAAGTCACACCAGCCAAAAAATACATAAAGAAGAAAAAAAACATTCTGTATATAAGTTGCTTCAGAACACCAGCGCCCTCTAGCAGCTGTCAGTGTGAAAATAACAAACATGTGATAATATATATTTTAATATATAAGTCAAAGGTTGGAAATAAAATGCAACTTATATTCCGGAAAATACAATATATTTACAGCTAAGCTCCTTAACATTGACACCGACTAAACCACAGGCTGCAACAGAGGAGTGTTCTACTTTACTTTATTGTATGAACTCATTTCATTCATTTATTTTCTCTTTTCTCTGCTTTATTTTTCTCCTAAAGCAGTGATCATCAACTGATGGCCCGCAGGCTCAACCTGGCCCGCCAAAACATCCAATCCAATCTAGTGACTGGATTACAAAGAAAAAGAAACAATAATGTTTGTTAAAAAATGTGATTTTTAATTCATTTTATTTGCATATCCGGCCCCCAAGGTGTCTGTCCGGGAAAGTTCTGACCCTTCGACAAACAATCGGTGACCCCTGGTTTACAGGCACATCTGCGTAGCCAGACACACTGAAGTATTACTGTGTGGTGAGATATCATCACAAGTCGTCATAGGAGATGTATCTAGGCCGCAAGCTAACACCAGGTGTGGAGATAAATGTGAGACATGTTTTAGAGATTTTTACAGTTCTGGCCTGGTTTTCATGTCGCCCTGCAGTGTTGCACACCAACACAGAAAATACTCACAGGCTTGTTAGCGAGGTGTCGGACTGTCACACACAACAACGTCCCAAACACACAGGCACCTGAAGTCAATCACACAGACCCCCTACTGTGTGTGTGTGTGTGTGTGTGTGTGTGTGTGTGTTACACAGACGCCGCGCCGTGCTTGTTAGCAGCAAATGTACCCCAGCAACTCATCCACACGTGTTTGCACTTTAAACATGTGAAGACTCTCGTTGACATAATGCATTCCCAAGCAACTTAAAACAAACACCGGCACAGACCATAAAAAAAGAATGTGTGCATCAAACAAGTGTTTGAAGAAGTAATTAGAAGACAAAACTATATCGAACTAAACACAGTCCATAAATACTCACGCAGCTTCTCTTATCCTGCTCTTATTATTTAGACTTCTTGCCTCCATTTTTGTCCTTATTACTAACCTTTGACCCTCACAAGTTTACATGCTGCTATGTCCACACATGTCCCTGTGGCACCATGAAATGAGAGGCTAATTAAAATCATGGGAAGCTTTTCACTGACTGCACAGGCAAGCACAGACTTCCTGGCTGCTTTCACTGGAATACCCCCTCCCCTCCCCCAGAAGGGCAGGTTATGGTAAAACTTCTCAAAGAACATATGTAGATAAAAGAAAGAAAAAAACCCCGGCAGGAGCGTGTGAATGGAGGAGCAGTCTCCAGAACACCCACTGCCATTAAGGATGCTGCCAGCCATTCAACACACATCTAGAATGCCCCCTCACTTTGGCATATTAATAACATTTGCTTTTTATGTTTCAGTAGGAAAGACAAACCCGGACATAGGACGTTTCTTTAAACAAGTCTGATAAAAAGAAAAGTGGTAGAAAACATATGTTGCTGCAATAAACATTTAACATAGCAGAGAAGCTTCACTTTCTTTCAACTGACAACCAATGTTTACTTCTAACGTTCATTTATTTTACTTTAATTTACCTGCACTGCTGTAGTTTCTGACGTAAAGCATGCAATATTATTTTGTTCGCAACAGAAAACACATTTTCATCAAATCTTACTGCTTTTTTGCTGCTGTTCAAACAGACTGTGTGTCACCTGTGGCTAATGGAGTGTATGTTCTCACTATTTCGTGCCGCTGTCACAGACACTGTTCTACTAACCATTTTGTAAGACCGAAAAAGAACACACACCCACACACGCACACACCAACACCCCGGGGCCTGGGGCAAAGAAGTCACATCAGACAAGACACTTGATTATTAGCGGTTAAAAAACACAACAGCGCAGCAGTTAGCACGCACATCAAGTGTTTCAGCAATGTTGCAGGTTTAACCCTGTCCTTCAACTCACTTTTTGATTCTCACAACAAAGAACCAGCTTGAGCTGAACTTTGTGAACACACAAACAATAAAACTGAAACCTTGGAAATCTCGCCCCCCCCAACACCACCAATACACGTTCTGTTCCTGCAGTAACTGGATAGCTTCAATTAGCTGGAAATCAACAGTAATTAATCACAACACCAAAGAAGAAGGAAACTGGGATGCAAGGATGAAGGAAAGTATGTGGAGAGGGAGAACAGCACCAGGAGGAGTCCAGAAGAAGACGGGAGTGAAGGATGATGGGAAACATATAATCACACGGCCTGCAGGGAAGAAAGAAAGGAAGGAGGGAACAAGAGAATGAGGAATCTGATTAAACAGGAACTCCTTCAATTACAGCTTTCAAGGTTCATGTAGCAGATTTCTATTTCGCCTCATTTTGTTCGGGGGCTGGCAGAGCAGTTCCAGATGTGAGACGGAGAACATGGGACACACTTGCAGTTGACCTTTAATCAAAATACACTTACACAGTCAAAGTACAAACAGGCTGGACGGGTTCTGTTTAGATAACCAGGATTAGAACTGCGTTTGAACACAGTAGAATAAAACAGAATCTAATAGTGGTGTAAGAATGCAGTGATATGTCGATGTATCGCCGTGTTTCGGTTCACGATACCATATCCATATTCATGTAACTGCATTGCCCGTTCACTATGCTGACAGTTTTCCTACCTTGCTTAAAGTTAACTTAATATAAGCCCGTGCCGATAATATTGCTGTATATGGTATTGTTGCCCATGTATACATATCATATTGCCAGATTCTTGCCAATATACGCCCCTAGAATAATATAAAATAGAAGTTCTTCATCCTTGTGAGAATGCCTTAAAGATTCAATAACTAACACACTAACATAATTACCTCAAATAAACCTAAACAAATCTAAGTGTTGCTTTCTAAGCTTTGTCAAGATATTATATTTTACTAAAACACAGAGAGTTGTCAAGAAGAACCTGAAACAACTTTTAAAACATGAGAATGAAGGTGAACAGTCACAGTCTGTTGACTGCACGGCTCTGTGTTCAGTTGATGAGGGTCTTGTTGCTGCATAAGCCCAGGGGCTAAAAACTCTGCTCTGTTCCTCTTAATGCCTTCCTGTCACAAACACACAAAAACACCGCCCCACACACACACATACACACACATGCACCCACCTCCAAACACTACCAGATGGTACGCCATAGCTGCACTAAAGTCTACAAAGTGTGTGTATTTCAGGACAGCAACCTTGCCAGAGTTTCATTGGTTCATTTGAAGGTAACAGACTAGATCCAAGGTCCCTGGGTCAAATATGACTTACTTTTGGTTTGGTCCACTCTGATTGGATCGTGTCACAGTGTAACCGAGTTTATCTGGAATACATGGTGTAGAAATCAGGGCGATCTCCAGGAGTAGTCAAAAGCAGGAAAATTAAGTGAACATGAAAGTTGTCCCAGTTCGACTATAGTTTTATTACAGGTCGACGGATATTGTCAAGTTAGACAAGACAGGGAAGTGATCATTACAATGTGTCTGGAAAGAAGAAAGAAAGAAGTCTTTTTTTACTTAAAAAAAGCCTCTGATCATTTTTAAAACACATATTTAACTTTGACAAAGAAAATCGTACAATTATTTGTAAAGTAGTTCAGCAACATTTACACAGATTTCGGAGCTTAACTCCAGGGTCTGAAACATGGGACCAAATGTCAGGAGAAGACTTTAGCAGTTTACCAACATCTGAGGAACAGGACGAGGTGAGCTTTGTCTCTGTGCTTTCAGTGGAACTATAAATCACCAGAGGCTCACACTGATGGTAAAAACAGCTCCAGGGAAGGAGTGATGAAATCTGCAGCTTCACTTCAACAACAGACATGTAATTTACTGCGCCTACAACAGTTGTCCAGTATTAGTCTCTTGATATTCCAGCTGACTTTGTCGACCGCTCGTATAATATCGTAGTTAAAAAGATCTGAACACTGAGATTGAGAACTGTTTTCAATCATGTGATAGATCACAACATGATTAGGAGTTTGAGTCAGTTTGTTTGTGGTTTCTTAAAGATGCCAGGAAATGCATTCAATGTTTTTGATGATTTTTCTACAAATTAGAAGTCAATAATTATACATATTTGGATGCAGACGGAACAGTATCTAAAGGTGGCTCTCTTGAAAATAGAAAATAATCAGACAAAGTATGTAGTCTGCGTCTGACTTTTAAGTTTTTTCTTCAATTGTTGATTAAGCCTGACTTGAATCTGTCTAAATGGAGGAGTTGGGAGGAGGCCAGGGAGGCTTCAGGAGAAGCCTTTAATGTTTTAGGGCTGCATTCCAGCCACTGCCATTCAATCCTTGCAGTGCCACCTGGGAAGTGACTTCCTGGCAAAAGACTTTTCTTTTGTTAATTAATTAAATTAATTAAAAATAAAAACCAGAGCAAAGGAAAACATCCAGGAAGAAAAAAAACTGGAAACAAAAGTGAGGTGAAACAATGTGTGTGTGTGTGTGTGTGTGTGCAGCCAACCAAAGATTTCCCACCACAGGAACAAAACCTGCAGCTTCCTCCTCCTGCATGACTGCTCCTCAATGATCTCCTTACCACTGCTCTTCTTCATCACAACTCCTCCTCCTCCTCCCCTGCTAGGAGGAGTTATTCCACTCCTGCTGTGGCATTTTGTCCTTTAAAAGACTTTTTTTTACAGAGAAGGGAGAGGAACTCACCCTGACTTCTTTAGAGAAGACAGGAACTCTAGAAATCTGGATCTACTAAATTTCCAAGGACTGCAGCCAGTCTGTGACACAATAGTCAAATCAGAGCCATTAATAAAGTGATGGTCAGTCCACAACTTAAAGTATTTGTTTTTTGGGATTTTTTTTTGTCATTTGTCCAGAATTCCACTGTATCTCGGTTTTAAACTGGTGTAATTCCCCATCATGTCGAATGATGTTGCAAAGCACGGCGGTTTACTTCTACTGCAGCCACGCTCTGATTGGCTTTAACCTAAAGGCAATTTCTTGTATAATTCTCCAAAATGTCATTAGCAAAAACTCAAAGACGTCATGTGCTCACTGTGTTAATCAAATGAGGCTGGCGTGAGATAGATATATATGAATATGAAACCAAATGTAAGAACTCTGAGTGAAGACGGCTGTTGGATATTTGCCTCTGATTGTACTGGTGTTTACTGGTTAAGATGTAAAGCTAAAACTCAGACATTAGAAACCTGTGTGGACTAAGATTCTGTTGTTTGCCTTTGGACACAGTGAATCATTACATTTTCTAGAGCAGTTTCATCCTGGTCCAAAATTTAAAAAATGACATCGCTACAAATGATATGCAACTGTCCTCCAATGGACACACTCCATGTTAACTCTTGCAGAACCACAGCCGTCTTTGAGCTTTTACCAAGAAGTCGCAGATGAAATGTGATTATGTGATTAAAAATTAGTTAGAGGCAAGACTAGGACGAGCTAATAATTGAAATGCAGTACGACACAAAGCTACAAAGCAGCCAGCCATGGTTGTTGCTAACAAAGCACTTGTCAGCAACAGTTTGCACAATTTTTCAAAATACAACCCAATTGATAAAAAGAAAATCGAGACACGCTTGTTTACAAAGGAAATTTTGGCAAAAGAGTTTGAGAAATTATTCTCACATTTATGAATCAAATATGTTGTTTTTAATGCTGTCCATGTGAAAGTGAAGGCCCGGCATTAGAGCTTCATCGTCCTGATTTAGTCACCAGAAAAACACATTTCACACTGTGACGTCCACACAGCCATGACACCCTCTGAGGATCTCTGATGCCAAAAACACACGGAGGCCTCACAGGATGATGGGATGTGTGACATGACTGCAGAAAGGAAACCAGTGCTGGAATGACGGGCGGGTGAGTGGGAAAGAAAAGGATGAAAAATCCAGAGCAGAACAGAGAGAGGAGGAACCTGAATGATTTCCTAGTGTGTCTTCCTCCTCTGAGACAGCTGTGATGACTTCAGCAGATGTGTTTAACTACAGAAAAAAGTTTATACTGACCTAAAGCATTAACTGGGGACGTATGGTTAAGAAGAAAGTTTCCCAAGTAAGGACCGTTTCCAAAACACCTGAGAGATATGAACATGTGTCCATGTGGACACTTGGAGGGGATTTCTGCGGATTTTAAACATTACCGTTTGCTCAGAGGACTAGGGGAGTAATGTAGCATGTGTGCAAAACAAAGTGTTGAATGAAGCCTTTTGTGGCTCCAGGGGGAGATTTGTCCAGTCTGATAAAACGATCAACTGAGTGAGAACCAGTCTGAGAAATACAATTTGAAAAAAGAAATGACAATCTGTGGCTGAAGAGTTTGGAAAAAGTGAGCTCAAAGTGACTTTAAAGAGACCTTTGTGTCACTTTTTATAACAAATATCCAATTTAGAAGAAAACAGACAACAAAACATGATGGTAAATATCAAATTAGCATGAACCTCAAATGTCAAAACAGCTTAAAGTCCAAATAAAGTTTGGATTTCAAATTCAGTGGCATCCAGCTCTGGTGAATGGAATGATAATTTACAAAATCAACTGCATGTAGTATTGACCTACAGAGACTTAACATCAAGTGAATCAACTTAATATTTCAGTGAAAATAAATGTAAATTATTTATAGTGGCCCTGCTGTCAGATACAGTAACTACACCCAGGAAAATAAAAGGCTAACCCTTTGTTGAGATTTTTACAACCCACACAAGTACACAAAGTGCAGAACTACAACTGTGATTACTGCCAGCCAGCATGCTAACAGTTAAAAGGCCAAATGAAACAGTCAATGATAACAAGCTAAAGGATTTATCTTAGCATCTATGTCAGCTGACAATTTCAAGTTTATGTCAGTCTATGACATCAAAGACTGTAACCAAAGTCATTTTTTTATGTTCTGCCACCTGACCATTCCCAGTTGTCACCAAACGAGGGCAGTGATCTCACTGCACAGCCCGTCAGTCCAACAACCATTCAAAGTCACACTATAAACCAAGGTCAATCAAGAGAGAACAATTAACACAACCCTGTATAAACACACAGGGAGAACATGCAAACTCCACACAGAATTACTGCAGTTTGAACCAGTGTAGTGATGCCTACCACTCTCCAACTATGTTTCCCAGCAGTCTAATTAAATTAAACCTATTAAGTCCAATCTAATCTAATCTGACAAAAAAGATTTAAAAAGAGACAGATGCAGTAACTTCGATTAGATTTCATTGTATAAAACTGAGGAGCAATACGTTGTCAGATGATGTAAAGCTGTTAGGATTGATTTATAAAAAAAAAGAAAGAAGAAAGCACAGCGTTCCCAGGTTTTCTGACAGAGGCGAACTGCTAGAAAAGACAGCTCAAAGCAAATGTCAGCACTGCTCTGAGATGTGTTTAAGCCTCTGCTGTTGACTCAGGAATTGAAATGTCGCAGAAACAGAAATGTCAAGGAGTAAATGTGACCCTTAGCGTGGATACTGTTCAGCATCTTTAACTTCTGAATCCATTTTACCACTTTACTGGGGAGTTCAAGTTTGATATCACTGCTTGAACACTGACAATTTATAAAACCACCTTGAGTTACTTAATTAACTAATAGCAGCTCAGATTTGGAAAAAAAGTACTCTCTGACTGCATATCGTGCCTTCATTTATGGACATAAAACAAATACCAGCTACCACATGAGTACTTTTTTCAAGACCACTCCCACCTCTTCTCCCTACGTCATTTGCCACAGTGAATTACTGAGGCTGTCTAAAGCTATAACAAGGAGGTTTCACCTCATGTTTTGGTAAACAAACTTATTTACAGAGAAAGACAATCATTTATTATAGCTTTGCACCTAAAGTAAAGAAACACTTGATTTAAGGCAGAGCCAATGAACACCCATGTCTATTGTTATGTAAAATGTTCAGATTGGCGTTGATTAAACTTAAATTTGGGTGAGAATTTTCAGCAGCTTAAAGAGGTTTAAGTTCGTTGGCTCTTCTTCTGTCCTGAGATCAGGACCATTGTCACTGTACACCTTGGGCGAGCTGTAACTGTAGCCCAACTCAAATGTACATGTAAAGGTCTCTCTCACTCAAGGACACACACATACACACACACACACACACACACACACACACAAAGCTCCAGTAACTTCACACCTGTAGAATAGAGGTCCTCACACCCCCACCAAGCTACCTTTGATGTGGGTGTTACTGAAAACAGAGGGGAAGTAGGGAGAGGGAGAAAGGGTGCAGTGGGGGTGGAGTGTGTGTGCTATTTGCCAATGTGTGTGTGTGTGTGTGTGTGTGTGTGGAGGGGGAAAATGAGTACAGGGGAGGTACCACAGGAAGGAATGTTTCTTCTGAGTAAACAGTGTGAAGCTTCCTGTAGAAAACACTTCAAAGGCTGGAGGAGGAAACAAGGATAGCACACACACACACACACACAGAGAGAGAGAGAGAGAGAGAGAGAGAAAACAGAGCGAACCTTGCAGGCAGGTAGGAGTCAGCTATCAACAAAGAAACATAAAAACCTGCAGAGCATGTGCGCTCGTACTCAGATGATCAGATAGTTGTACTTACCATATTACAGACATGAAAAGAGAATCATATCACTTACATTGTACACACATCTGTCTTACACACATACAGTACATACACCCAAGACGACACACACACACACACACACACACACTCTTTTACATAGAAACTTTTAAACTGTCAAAACATGTTTTCATTTAAAACACAACTGTGTCAATGTCCAAATCCTTTGTTTTTACCAACAATTACTTAATACAAAAGTTAGTGCAGAGACTATTGTGTTGGTATTTTGAAATCCTGCTATATACTTTTGAGTACTACTTAACATTGGTTTATTTTTTCACATATAAAATATGACTGTATATTAAGTTTTAATTGATTTGATATAATATTTCTATTCTATTCAAATTCTTCAAAGTAAACCAAATGGGGCTTTTTGTACAGGAAGAAAGAAAGAAAGAAAAAACAATCACTACTACTGTATGTATTTCATGATATCAGTTATGGTGATTCACTACAGTCAGCTCATGAAGATTAGCCCACAAAATGCAACATTTTGAAGTGCATATTTAACTCTCAAAATTTAATTGATTCATATTTATAAAAAAATTGAGCTGGTTTAATTTATCTAGGTCTTTCTTACACTGAGTACTTTGAGTAAACCGAAACAACAACTTGATGCTTAAATACAACTGTTTTACATCTGACATGATCGATGATTATTAATTTATTAAGATTAAATGCTAAAAAAAACATCATTTATGTTTTGGCCAGGTTAACGATCTTCTCTGACTAAGAAGACAAGGACTGGCGTGAACATAGTAGAGGGATGTTTTTTTTTTTTGTCCCTTTCAGGTTTCATGTGAAATGTCAAAGTAAGTTCAGGAGTCAGTAAAACAGCTAGAATTTCAAGAAGGTTTGCTTTGAGTGCATGACATGCAAATTCGTGCTCTTGATAATGAGGTTTGGTTCGCTTGTGCGGGCTCCAGCTCTAGCTCCGCACCGACAGGTAAGCAAGGTGGCGTGAGTGGCTTTAAACCTTGTGCACTAAGTCTAGAACAAAAGAACGACGTCAAAAAACAAAACATAAGAAAATTTTACTCGCTACTGCGAGACAACAACACCAAGTAACAGAACCCGACTCAAATCCTCCGAACTGGAGTCGGTTGGAGACTCGAGATGAGGCAGAAACAGAAATGCAAACGTATTGACACCGTTCCGTCATGCAAAGTCAAAAATAAAACTTAAAGTTTCCCACCTTGAAACCACACCGCTCCTGGTTTGACCGTTTGCTGCCCGAGGTCGGAGTTCCGCAAGAAAAATAAAAAAATAGAAATAACCCGGAGAAAGGGATGAAGAAACTCCGAGGGGCCGCCATTCCTGTCCCAGGTCTGAGCAGCTCTGAGAGCTTCAGAGGAGAGCGGAGAAGAGGAGGCGTGGGTGTCTCCGCGCGCGTGCGCGCGTGTCCAAACAATATGTTAGGGGGACTTATAATTTTCAAAAGAGTGTTATTGAGGGAGATTTAATTATAGGGCAGGTATGTCCAAAGGCTGGTCTAGAGGCCAATACTGGCACACTACTCTTTTGAGATTAGGTGATCCTTGAAGGGATTAGATGATTTACCAAGTCTCAGCAGAGGCTGCTGTAAACAATACCGTTTTTTTTTGGGTAACTGTTCATAGCCTTTTTTATTTATTGACTTTGTATTATTTTATACAGCAGTATTAATTAAGGTAAAATACAGACCCATAAAAAAAGAAGTGATTTCCCTTTTTGGATCAATAATATAGATGTACCTATTTAGCGCTGAGGGCGCTATAATTACTTTGGCCAGGGGCCATAATCACTGCTGGTTTAAGAATGTTTTTTCCACTATGATTATGAACTTTTATAGTAAGTGGGCAATCACCAACACAAAGCGCTTAATCTATGCAAAATACTTTCACAGAGGTATATTCCTAATAACACAAAAAAAATTGAACCTTTTCACATTTCTCACATGACCACGGTATGCAATCAAAGTTGCAAACCTATCAACAACTGGGTACTTCATGCCCAGTAAAATGTGTACTAAAATAACACATGGCACAGAGGGCAAAATTCAATATTAAAAGACACGCGTAAATCATTTTATCACGAAGCTCTTTACACCCCTCTTGTGGTGAAATCCTATGAAGACCACTTATTTTTACTGCTGAAGTTATATTTTTGAGTCTTATCAAATAATTTACTAGTAACAGGGTAACCTTTAGGAGTGTAGAATATTTTTGTTTGTCAATTGTCAACGAGAATTAATAAGCGCTATTTAATTTAAAGGTTGTTGTTGTAATTTTATTACGTATACATCATTTTGTATTGTGTGTTTTAATAGGTAGGGACGAGTACCGTAAATAGAATAAATTGCATTGGTTATTGGTGCCAATAAATATTAAGAAAAAAAAGTATTGTTACGTGCGGTGAACTCGCCATTATGGCTCTAATAACTATGAAAGTAGATGGTGAAAGGGTGCTCCTTTTCAGAACCAATATGGCGCCTATTCCCCTTTAAATCATACACCAATCATTTCCGCCAACGACCTTTTCTAGCCAATCAAACATCACACTCTAAGGCGGGCCATGAGCAGCTGGGTGGATCTGTTTTGGGGTGGTGGAAATTTGTGTAGCCAAGAAATCTTGAGTGGGAGTTGTCGAAGCTATTCGTTGTGTGTTTTATCTATCGTTTTTTCCCCTTTTCTTAAGAGCACCAGACATAGCCATGCCTGGGATAGAAAAGCTGCCGATAGAGGAGACTCTGGAGGACAGCCCACAGGTAATAGTTCTCTTCTATTTACCCTGCTAGCATTAGCCACCGATGCTACGTGTCTTTGTAGGCTATGTGTTTGCCAACACACAGCAGCGAAGGGATACCGCTAACGGCCCAACCAACAGTGCTGTCAACACGAACTGCAACTGTCTGTCATCAGCCAAGTGACATCACCTGAGTGACATATTTGTTTATATCCTACATTAAAAAGTTTAAACCTTTCAGTCTTGGTTTGCAGTCAAATTATCCTGTAGTTTGGCAACTTCCGTAGCTACTTAGCTACGGATTTTCCTTGCAATTATTGCTGTTTGCGTCATATATGAGCAACCAGTTTCCGTCTATTAAACAGATGTTAAAAAAATCTGTAGCTTCAGACATACAGTCCAGTCAGAGCACAACACCTGCTGTGACGTCACTCTACCGGATGTAGGCAGAGGACCATCACCATCCCTGGCTTGTGGTTACCGTCATTACCTGGTCTAATTGATAGAACGCATATTAAGAAATTGATAAAGAAGTTACTAAAATATTACTTTTATTATAAACTTATTTTCTAATAGGAAATCAGCACGTCTTAACGTGATTTATAAAGTCAGTGAATATTCACTGGGTAATGTACAGTATGATGTCTGATCATTGACCACGTATACTAGTTCGAGGTTGAAGCTCATGTGCTTCATCAATCAACACAGAAAACCAGGTCAGGACACACCTTAAATTGCCTGTACTGTGTGGATGTATTTACACACTCACACACACATACACACACACACACACACACACACACACAGGCGTGTGCCCAACCATTTGTTCCTCAAATGATTCAGGCTGAGCTCACATTCTCCTCTTGTACTTGTGTTTTGTTATGCAGACCCGCTCTCTGCTGGCTGTGTTTGAGGAGGACACTGCAGCCATCTCTAACTACTGCAGTCAACTCTACCAAGCAATGCACAGGATCTATGATGCGCAGGTACACACCATCTCACACAAATATATTCACCAAATACACCAGCGTTGATAAGTCTCTCCAGCTCCTCTGCCTCTGCTCTTTGGTTTCCAGAATGAGCTCAGTGCTGCCACACATCTGACCTCCAGGCTGCTGAAAGAGTATGACAAACAGGTGGGAAACATTTATGTCAGCCCTGTGTCAGTGCTGCCACACCAGCTGACTTCATATCCTACAATTCTGCACCATCACGCTTCTAATATATAAACTGTAAAACTACACTAAATATATTTTTAATTTGTCTTAAATTTACATTTATATTTTCATTTATCCTTTGAGAAAATCTATATTTTCTATATATATATATAGTGTTATATATATATATATCTATATAGTCTTTAATAACAATACATTTTTGACCGTGTGAAGCATGTTTTATTTATCAGCCTGCCTAAAATTCACTACATTTTAAAATTTTCTCATGGAATAAATTGTAAAGGCGTGTTTTTGCTACTTGTCTTTCCACTGCAAAAATAAGTCTAATTCTCTTAGTCGCATTTGTCTCTGTTGTTGTTTTTGTTGTGTGCAGCGTTTTCCTCTAGGGGGTGATGATGAGGTTATGAGCTCCACACTGCAGCAGTTTGCAAAAGTTATTGACGAGGTGAGAGCGACTTAAGACAAAACGACTGACTATGACTATTAGTGATTAACTATTAAAGTCAGTTGATTTCACCATCTCCATTTCCTCCTTTGTTTTAGTTGAGTTCCTGTCACGCTGTCTTGTCCACTCAGCTTGCAGATGCCATGATGTTTCCTATCACTCAGTTCAAAGAGAGAGATCTGAAAGGTGGGATGAACAGATACACACAGAAGGGCAGAGGGGGCAAAAGCTGTTTTTTATTTTTCAATGACAGTGATATAAGAAGCTCATAGTCAGTGATGAAGTTCATGTCAGAGATAATGGTTTGATTTAAATTAATTTAAAAAATAATGAGAGAATATGACAATCATTTCTTTGTTTCTCTCTGTAGAGATCCTCACTCTTAAAGAAGTCTTCCAGATCGCCAGTGATGGTGAGTTATTAATAACTGTTTTTCCTCTTAAAACTCATTAAATCATAAATAGGCAATGGCTTTCATTTGAATGAATCTAAAATAACATTCCACCTGGTTTCACACAGATACACTTATTCCTACTTTAATAAACATTTTACTGCTGAAAAAATGGAGGAATGTGTCTGTTTCTGTGTGCAGACCATGACACCGCCATTAATCGTTACAGCCGATTGTCCAAGAAGAGGGACAATGACAGGGTGAGAACGTTTTGACTCATTCTATCTATCTTTTACATTCTTTTCTATTCTCAAGTCAGTCAAAAGGCTGCCGTAGAGATGATGAGTTGAAGTGACTCTTTAGGGTTATCCTGACATAAGAACTGAGTTGTTGACTTTGGTGGGCTGCAGGTGCGAGCAGAGGTTGTGGAGGACGTCTATACCTCCCGCAAGAAACAGCACCAGACCATGATGCACTACTTCTGTTCACTGAACACACTACAGTACAAGAAAAAAACAGCTATGCTGGAGCCACTGCTGGGCTACATGCAGGCCCAGGTACCGACACACACACACACAAATTCAAACTAGGGACTAGTTTTCATCACTCTGTTCAGTAGAGGATTTCCAAAACTGTTGCTCTGTTTTCTTGGTGCAGATTAGTTTTTTCAAACTAGGATCAGAAAATCTCACCCAGCAGTGGGAGGATTTCCTGGGAACCATAGGAACCAGTGTCCAGAAGTAAGAATTTCCAGTTCTGCATTTCTGTTTGACAACAACCCAGTTTCTGAGTAACTGAGCTGTGTGTGTGTGTATTTAGCGTACGACGTGAGATGGAGGAGGAGGTGCGGCAGATGCAGGACACCATTCAGGAGATGGAGAGATCATGTGACTCCATATACGCACCATGTGACCCAGACCCTGCCCACTCACCAGTTTGTCGCAACCTGACCAGGAAACAGGGCTACCTATACATCCGCAAGTAGGACACAAACAGAGCTTCACGCTAACCCATGTGCTGTATCTGTTAAACTGCTTTAGGTTTTCACCTGTGTGTTTTGCTGCTCTTCTTTGTGCATCTCAGTAAGACCGGTCTGGTCTCATCCTCCTGGGAACGTCAGTACTTTTTCACACAGGGCGGTAACCTGATGCAGCAGGGCCGGGGCGAGGTGGCAGGAGGGCTGGTCACAGACCTGGACAACTGCTCCGTCATGGCAGTGGACAGTGACGACCGACGCTTCTGCTTCCAGGTCACATCGTTTGATGGCAAGAAGTGAGAAACTTTTACTATTACACCAGATGGCGCCACTTGTCTAATATTTTCAGTACTAATCCCTCATTTGTTTACGCTTGTCCCATTAGAGTAGTGACACTGCAGGCAGAGAGCAGAAAAGACTGTGAAGAGGTGGGTTTTTTTTTTCTAATGCAATCTGTTTTATGTTCACTGAAATGATCGTTTTTCTCATTTCTCATATTTTATGCATCTCTCAACAGTGGATCGCCACCATTAACAACATTTCCAAGAGAATCTACTTAAGTGAGAATGCAGAGGTTTGTTTCCTCGTCTCAAGTTTAAAAAACCGTCAAAGTGTCCCAGTTCACTGTTGTTATAGAAATTCAAAGAGAAATGGAGGGAACTATAATTGGGAAGTAATCCAAGATTTATACACCAGAACACTCTCTGTAGCCTGGTAACATGCAATACACCATGAGTCACTTGTGTTGAGAAGTATTAGCAGTTAACTCAACAGCAACAGAACCTGAATATAATCAGGTGAACATGTCATGTGCAGCGAAGAAACATCTTTATGTCTTAACACTTTACTGTTATACCTTTGACAGGAGCTGGCAGCCAGAGTGAACCAAACAGCTATTGAAGCCGTGACGCCATCACCATCCTTCCAGCAGAGACACGAGAGCATGAGACCCAGCAGGTACCAAATACCAAATGTGATGAACACCTGGTAGGTGAAAGGATTTTGAGCTACATCTTTATCAGTCTTCCTCCACTTCCAGCAAAGGACACGTGGGCCGAACAAGCAGTATTAGCTCTGTGGGGTCTGATCCGTCGCCCGCACTCTCAGTACTCTCATTGGACGCCCTGGTGGCCCCAGACACACCCATCCAGTTTGACATCATTTCTCCTGTCAGTGAGGAAAACTCAGGACAGAGTAAATCATCTGCACAGAGTGGCAGGTGAGGTGATAATAATAATAATAATAATAATAATAATAGTTGTTGTTGTTCTAATTATCATGAAGTATTTGGTCAAATATGAACCTTTTTAGAGGTGTACTTTATTCAAACATTTCTTCTTTATGTGTGTGTATGTGTGCTTGTTTATCTACAGAAGGAGTAATCCATTTGGAGAGGGAGGAGACAGCACCTCAGAAGATGGTGAAGGTACCTAGTAATTCAAAGAGTGTACAGGTTGTTGGCATTAGACATGCTAACACGGATGTATTTAAAAAACATTTTTTATTGAATTATTGTGATTTTGTGTTGCCCAGAGTCGATCCTTCACCAGCTCTTCATCGTACGTTTCCTGGGCTCCATGGAAGTGAGGACTGCAGAGTCACCTGATGTCATCTCTGAGACCATGAGACAGATCCTGGCTGCCAGAGCCATTCACAACATCTTCAGGATGACAGAGTCTCATCTGTTGGTAACCTGTGACTGCCTCAAGTAAGAAACTCTGTGTGTTTGAGAAAACTATCAAAAATGGACAATCCAGGACCCAAGAGCGGCAGGTTGCAGACCCCTGGGTTAGGGTGAGGAGTTAGGAAAGGCTTTATGTCTCTGTGAAGTGCTTACAAACCTAAAAACCTGTGTGAAGCCAGAATAGTATTAGCTAAAGTTTTGATATGATAATTTGACAAAGCAGTGTACCTGAAAGAAGTAATAATGAAAAATAAATAATGTTTTTTTTCTTGTTTCTGTATTATTTTTTCAGGCTTATTGATCCTCAAACACAAGTGACTCGACTCAGGGTAAAACATCTGTGTGACTCATTTAACTGTCAAACATGTTCCTGATGATGTGGTTGATCCAGTCGTGGTGTTGTTTATCTTTCTCATTCTCTTTTATTGTCTTTTCCTCCTTCTACTGCAGTTTCCTCTGTCCACTGTTGTCCAGTGTTCGTCCCATCAGGACAACAAGAGGCTCTTTGGTTTTGTTTTGCAGTCGACGGGTGGGCGTGGAGATGGCCGGGCCGTCTGTTACATTTTTGAATCCAACAATGATGGAGAAAAGGTTTTCTCACCATTTAATTCTGATATCACTGTCCTCCACACTGAGTTGTCTGTCGGTCTGATGTCTCCGTGTCCATCTTTCATCTTTCAGATCTGTGACAGCATCGGTCTGGCCAAGCAGATAGCCTTCCACTCTGAGATGGTAAGAATCCTCTGAATGTAATTCACTGAAAGCTAAGGCGGAGAAGCTAACTGTTATGCTAACTGTAATGTGACCTATTTTCTGCTGTTATGGTTACGTAGGACCGTAAGGCTGTGGAGAAGAAGAAGGAGCAGGACAAAGCCAAAGAGAAACAGCAGGAAGAGCTCAGCAAACAAAGACAGATAGAGAAGGTGACACACACATACAAACACACATACAAATCTAAATATTATTTTTTTATGTATTTTTTTTTTTTATTTCATCTTTTCAGGATCTGGAGGAGCAGAGCCGTTTAATTGCTGCCTCAAGTCGTCCCGCCAACCCGTCCGCCTCCGATGGGCATGTCCTTGTTCTTAGCCACAGCCACTCCGAGGACAGCGATGCTGGCGATGAAGTAAAAAAGAGGGGAGAGTCTGACGCATAACAACATGTTTACCTCCCAGAGAAATCTCAGCCCTCACTGTTGAAGCAACAGCTCAGGAATCAGAGCAGAGGAGCAGCAGCCACCCGCTTCTGCTGCCTGGGAGTAGAAAACAAGTGCCCCACCCTCCACACTCAGCAATTGGGGCTCCTGAAGTCAAACCTGACGTACCCTCACTGTCTCTTCATGAACTTAAATTCTTAATATCAGCTTTGCTCTAAAATGAGACAGAAATTTGGACAAAGACGCTTATGCAATGTTTTTTGCTACTTCAAAATAATTGGAGGATAACTTGCCATGATTTGTTTTAAAAGTTTATTTTATATTTAAAAAAGTAACAATGAGAAGGGAAGGTACAAAAATTAAAAGGGGCAGGTGGGGGTAAAAAAACTGCTTTTAAGGAAGAGCAGAAACCATTGAGCAGAAAGACAGAAGCAGATTGGGACAGTTTAGGACACTTTTGTCAGCGTGGATCCCAAAAGGCACCATCGCATTTGACTGAAGGTTCAACCTGTTATAAAGCTACTGGTTGTCATTTCACTTAGCACTACCACTAAAAAAATCAGAATAATCAGATCAGATTTAATTCATTTTTATGCCTGTAGACCAGATTAATCCAGTTGAGTGACACACAAAAATTATAAGCCATTGTGTTTCTTTTAAACATTTGCCAAATCTTTTATTGGAGTGAGATTGTTTTGCCAAATTTGATTTTAACTGTGATTTTCCTCAAGTGAGTGATAAATCTGTGGTAGGCGTTTACTTGTGAAGAACTAGGAGTATGAAGAATCACGTTATTATTTAAAATATATATATTGTTTTCAGCGTACAGCTTACAATTACATTCTCTCACTTTTGCAGTTTTTCCAAGAGTTGAATGATGATTGCATATTTCAGCTTTTCAGTTTTTCCTGCTCATTTTATTCTCATAGTTAACATGCTTTATGCAGAGCCATGTTTCTGGACAGGTGGCCCTTTTAGTCATCTGTGCCTAATGTTCAGCTTTATATGGAAACTTTCCCAGAAGGTTATCTGGGTTGTTTTTGCCATGGATTATTTTTCGTTGTTCATTTATCCAATTCTATCCAGCATCCAGCGCTGCGATTGCTGAAAAATAACTGAACAAAGCTCAGTTTGACGGTGACAAATGTTACATGTACAACAGTTGAATGTCCTCAGCCAGCTGTGGGTGAAGAAATCCCTGAATCGGCCTAAATCAACAGTTATTAATGGTGACTTTAAGACGATTGTCTTTGTGGTTGTTGTCCTTTGGGACGCTGATGTCTTGGTGTTACTGCAGGTAAAGGAGGTGGCAGAGGTTCCAGTGTCTTGATGAACAAAATGTTTTACAGGTCAAATAAAACACTAACACCGCACGTCCGAGTTGAGTGAATGTTACGCAGACATGTATATCTATATACGTATATGTATATGCATATATATTAGCAGTGTTTGAAAGCTGGTCGGATCGTATGTGCATACATTTACCTTCAATATAAATTAGAAATAATATCGTAACTTGAAGATTTTCTGCAGCACAACTGTAATTATATTTAATACATACGTGTATGTAACAAATGAGGCTCAGAATACCTGTCTCTAACAGTATGAGAACTAATAGACGGCAACAAAGACATCAGTCTGCTGGATAGTCTCCTGATATCAGAGTCTGTTTCTCCAGATCCAGAAACGGCAGGGAGTCACGGTTGACAGCATACTCAGCTAGGTTGGGAATCCCAAACACCACACAGCAGCTCAGAGATCCATATTTCTTCTTCATGTCACAGGCTTCAATCCACTGATCAGCCATACTGTCATAGTACTCTACCTTGTTGGTGGTGTAGGTGCCGTTTAAGCCACCAACCACATAGATGCGGTTGTTGATCACACCGAGCCCGAAGTTGCTTCGGTTGGTGTGCATGGCTGGGGCCCAGTGCCAGGTGTTGGTCCTGGGGTTGTAAACCTCGACACTCCTGAGGTGTTGGTTCCCGTTAGAACCACCGATCTGTGGCAAGAAGAACAGACTGGGCTTAACGCTTCAAATGGAGATGGAACATAATTATTATCAGTCTTCAACCAGGTGTAGACGTCCTGGAGAGAACTTTTGGTCAATTAGGTCATTTATATATATTTTTAATTGAGTATATATTTTTAATTAAGTTGCATAGCTTCAAATGCTAATTTCCAGGGTGGGTTTATACAAACCCAATATATACTACAGGGTTCCAGCTCTAAATCTTCATCTGTTTGGAGAACTTGGCCTGGTGTATGTAGATATGCTTAGGTACAAAGTCAAAAGTGAATCTTAAAAGTGTGTGCATGTATTTTTCGAGTACATACTACATAGACCTGGTCTGCATGACCAACCACTCCGATTCCAGCTCGTCTGCTCAACATAGGGGCAATGACCGTCCACTGGTTGGTCTCTGGGTTATAACTTTCCGCTGTTTGCAGGACGACGTTACCATCGTATCCACCACAGATGTAAATCTGATGAAAAAAAGACAAGAGGAACATTTTGATTTTTGTTTTAGCCATATTTTCTCCCATACATTTTTAAGCACGGCTGTTGATATTTCGTTTCATTAAGGCCAGGGGCCAGGGACTTTTGTCCTGGGGCTAATTAACATGAGGTAAACACATTTGGGGTCTAGAGTTGTGATGCATTGTGGCTTACATGTTGCTAGGCTACAGAGAGTGTTGCATTCATGGTCTGCTCTACTTTAAAATACTCTCTTTATTTGAAAATTGTAATTCTCTCACTTTCCTCCATATTTCTCAAATGACTACAATTTTGGCCACTGAGGTTGGGTGTGGGCTGCATGTTGCACGTGGCTGACATGAAATAACAAATTAACATTTTATCATTATCATTGGTGTTGGCATTGTTGTTCAACATTTTAAATCATCTGATCCCTTTTTTATTCTATTCTCTTATTGTCTCTTACTGGTTATTATTTTTGGTATTTTCTTTTTTTTTAATATTCTCCCTGATGTTTTGTCACTAATTTTAATTTTAATTTTAATTTAACATTTAAATTTAAAATCTCCCCGACTCCACCAACCTTGTCAGACAGTGTGGTGCAGCTGGCATCGCTCCTTGAATGGTGCATGGATGCGATGCAGTTCCACTGGTTGCCTTCAGGACAGTAGCACTCTGCACTTTTCAGCCGTGTGTGTCCATCGAACCCCCCGATAGCATAGATGAGGCCGTTCAACACTGTCACACTCACGTAGCAGCGACCGTAATGCATTGGCGACAGCTCGGCCCAGAGGTGCGTGCTCAGGTCCAACCTGCTCACTCTGTTGAAAAGCCCCACGCGGTCCAAACCACCGAGGCAGTAGACGTACCCGTTGTGGAAGGCGGTACCATGAAAGGCCCATTGGCGCTGAGTTCTGTCGGCCACATTGACCCAGTGGTCAATGGAGACATCGTACGCTTCGATGTTTTCGCCACTCATGCCTCCAACTGCCAACAGGACGGCCACGGGGAGACGAGGACGAGCGAGGAGGTTGCGAAAAACAAGCTCCGAGGGTTTCTGTCGGATCATGTGCTGTATGGTTTGGATAGCGTCACTGGCCATTTGTTGACACATGCTGCTGTTCTTCACCAACTTGTAGGACATCACATGGATGAAGATGTATTGCATGGTTGTCAGAGCCATCCTGAACTACACAAAGACAAGAGCAGAGGTGGTTTCTGCTCAGTTCTGGTATCGTCCTAGACCATTCACTTTTTCTTATTTCTGTGGGTAATCTAAAAGCCAACTTTCCCCAGGGGGCCCATCAGTTCACTCTAGATCAAGTTGAAAACCCCTGATCTAGAGTGAACTAATCAACCCAATCCCAGATCTGTATGTAACCTACACTTTACACTTGCTAAACACCAAATCAACCCTTGTGGATCTTACACGGACATGCAGGCTTGACTGACAGTCACTGGGTGAACATACCTTAGACAAAAGCAGAACTATGTGCCTTTCTCGCTCCTTAGGTCGGTAGTCAATCCACCTACAGATTGCTGAAAAGACACTGCTCTCCTTGCTCACATAGAGGTCATCTCTACCAAGGATTTCTGCCAGCTCCTGCACCGAGAGCTGCAGAAACTCTTCACCTGCACAAACGTCTTCAAAGTGCTCAGTGATGAGTCGTTGGGCCCTGTGCTGCAGCTCGGAGCTGAAGTAGACATTAGTGAATTGCCAGATGCCAATGCAGTTCTTTTCACAGAGCTGCTCGCAGAGAAAATCGGAGCAGGCCTTTATGACGAAGAGTATGTTCAGCATGTCGGCCGCCACCATTAGGTCCTGCACGTTGTCCTCTGTCACTTTAACAGAGTCCGTGTAGGCAAACTCAATGATGAGCTGCATGATGTCAGGAGACAGCCCAGTGATTCCAAAAACGATGTTGTTCGCTGTTGACTGGCACTGGAACAGAGCTCTGGAGGTTGGAGGGCAAAGGTGAGGCAGAAATAAAAACGTCAGCATTCAAAATGATAAGACTTCATTTACAAGATGTGTAAAAACACAATTTTATTTGAATATTTTTCCTATCACCCTGTACAAAACGTATCAGATGATCAGGATCTCCTAGCGCTCACTGGTTGACTTACATTGGTATTCATTCATTCATTCATAAAATACTACATTGAAAGAATTACACGTCCATTGATCAAAAGATCAGAAACTTGAAGACTGACAACAGAAGGATTGATTATAAAGTGTATCAGAGTTCAGAATGAGGTACACGACTTACCTGAAATAGGAACTGCACTTACACAGGATGATCTTATGGATTTTGTATTCAGCATCGTCAACCTTGACGACTGCGTCCCAGTACGAACCATCCAGACGCAGTCCGTTAAACACTGAGAGTTTCTGTGCAGAGGAGTTATCTTGGAGACTCATCTTTCAACAAATTGTCCTTGACCTTGAACACCCAGGTCTAAGCGTTAATACACAAAGCTGTCAATCAAAACCATTACATCACCAAGCCTGCCTCCTGTCGTTGGAAATTGTTACAGTACTACTTTCTGTACTAACCTAATTACATCACTCCGATCCTTTCTTTGCTTTTAACATTCCACTTTTTCTAAAAAAAAAGAAAGAAAAAGAAAACATGAAAGTTTATTCCATCGTTCCATTTCACCTTTGAATTCAGTCATACTTTGGTTTGATTCTGCCTTTGATTTTATTTAACCAAACCTTTATTACATCACATGAGTGAAAGGTGACCTTTAATGGTTCAAGGGTTAACTGGCACCCAGGCACTACGGCAGGAAGCTGGGGTTGGACTGGCATCCAGGTGTGGCTGATCCTAAAAAAGGAATTTCAAGGTGTTCTGGAATGTAAAGGAGTGGTTAAAAAAATAAAGATTACTATGAGAACAAGTTTTATCTTTGTGTGTTCCTTTCTGGTTTCAGAAAAACACGAACACAGTAAATGGATAAAACAGAGTCAAGGAAACAAAGGGCAAACAATACACTCACTGGCTATATAAAAGGCATACAAAATGGGTATTTCACAAACCAAAGCAAGCTTACATAGATTTTAAACTGATTGAAATACAGTTTGGTTTAAGTTTGCAGCACTGTCAACAAATTCAGGACGTAAAAGGCATTTTTGGTCATTCTCTGACTACGTTGGTTAGTAGACCAATGTGAATGTTCTCTATTCTTATAAACCTGACCGCTTGTTTATCTTGTGAGATATGAAAAAGAGTTTATTTCAGAATGTTTGCCTGGTCAGGTGAGAAGATGATAATAATATCCTGATTACTGAAGAATTCACTTTTAACTTTCATTTACACACTTACAGCTAATTATCTATCTACTGCGTGTGTGTGTGTGTGTGTGTGTGTGTGTGTGTGTGTGTAGGTTTCATGGACAGATCCTACAATTGCACTTCAAGAATTTGAAGGTCAGGGGACCGATGTCCAGCTGTGGGATTATCCTCTAAGTTACAAAGAAGTTGCCAACTACATGAACTATGGGTACAGTATTCGTGTGAACATAAACTCTGTGAATACTGTTTGTATATGTGTTCCATGTGTGCCATGCTAGACCATCAACTCTTCAGGAGCTTAAAAGACTGGCCAAACAGCGGTCCCCAACCTTCATTGGACTGATAATAATATCGTCATTGTTGAGAGAGGATTAATCAAAATAAAACATCTTTTAGACTTTCTTCAGTTGTTTTGAAACATTGACACATTATCTTTGAATGAAAAAGGCAAAGGGACATGACTGGATTCTTTTAGAATAAGGTAAATTAATAAAACTGAAGTACATTTTTTACTGTGTCCCACTGAGGCCCAGTACCAAATGACCATTACTGGTCCCCGGACCAGGGGTTGGGGACCACTGGCCTAAAATACCTTAGTAAAGATGCACAAATATTACTCCAAATCATTAATACCAACGTGGTGCCCGGGGTCACCTGGTAGCCCCCCTGGACTACCTAAGGTGTCCGCAGGCTATGTTCTAAAATAAAACTAGTCAACAAGAGGGTCAACAATTGTACTGTTACTGTGCTTTTTGAACCAGTTCACCTGCAATGATATTCAAATGGGTGCAATGACGATGGTAAGAAGAGTGTCTACTGTTATATGTCCCAGAACTGATTATTATGACATTGTTCAGGAAGTCTGTATCAAATGGCAGCTGTATTATTGAACAGTAACAGTTTAGATTTTGGAATGACAACTCTCTATAAGCCCTTCAATACAGGTGATCAATTTATCTGGATTTTTTTTTGGAACCTGTATCTACCTGTCAAAGATATTTTCATGAACTAGGTAGGTTCTTTTATTGTTGCAATCCTATTCATCGTTACTCTGTCGACGGTGGTGTGCTGTTGGAAGACGGGTATAATTTTAGAGGCAAGCAGCAGCCAGTGAGCACAAGGGAGAAAGGACGCCGCCGCATCAAAGGAGTAAAGAAGGAGAGAAATCAGCTTTAAATTTCAATCAAAGTGATAGAAAATGCAGCTGATTTTAATCATCAATGGTTTAATTAATATTTTACATCGTCAGGTAAACTAACTCTATGCCATTCTAAACTATAGGCCAGTGGGCTGATCACAGGCCTCCTCATCATTTCATGTGGCCCAGCAGAGATTGACATGTCAAAGGTTTTATTTTTAATAAAATATATTTTAGTCTGTACTAATATGGATTGGATGTTTTAAATACAGTGGTCAAATTCTGAGTGGGTATAACAGTATGCATGGTGGGTAATTAACAATTCTTGTGAGTTCTGTCCGTCTCCCTTTCCTCCTGTAGGTGGAGTTGATTAGTGTGATCACTCTCACCTGTGTCACCTGGTGCCCTGGGTATATACCTATATATATATATTTACACACCCCTCCCTCTCACTCTGTCATTGTGTGTTCATTGTCAGTAGTCGATGTGGCTGTGGTTGTCTATGTGCTGCTGTTCATTCCTTAGTGCCTTGTTTGTGGTTCCAAGTTCCTGATTTATGCTCCGATTTCCAGTAAGTGTTTTTGATTTGCGCAACAATGAATAAACTTCCTGCAACTGAGAACTGTCACCAGAGTGCTGCATTTGGGTCTTGCCTGCTGTTATTCTTAGACTACGTCTCCACATGCACATTGGCTTTGCGGCCTGCCTCCTGGCATCTCAGCCATTGTAAATATCAAAAATGAATCCAACAGAAAACATGGGAAAAGCACCTTTAGCAACCCTAAAACTTGACTTGTGTTTTGAATTGAGCAGTGGTTAAATATCTGGGGCAGCAAGACCTTCTCAGCTGGCCTGAACTGTATCTGAATCAGTGACTTGTTTCAATATATTAATAATTAATATTCATTTAAAAAATAGTTTGTTCTCTTCATCTCGTAGCTTTTCCCTGGTTGCACTGGTTCCAGTCGAGTTTTTTTTAATCCAATCATTTCAGCCACCACGTGTTGCCAGGTTCAAAGAAATCTGCCTTACGACATTATTGTTGTTTTTTTAAACTATTGACAGGTGGCGACACCTTCTGGCAGGGCACGATTACCGTTGGCATTTTGAGTGCTTTGAATGGCTGATCAAAGGACACGAAACATTTTTCATTCGGAAAAATCCCACGGCACACCACCAAACGTATGTAATGAAATCTTTTCATTTAAATTTACTAAAACAAATGACTAACTCAGTGTAAATCCTCAGCCTGTTTAGTGAAAAACATTGCTGACATATTTGCATTTAGTTTTCTAATAATATTCTCATTTTATTATGTTTTTTAAATGTACATTATGTGGAACTGTAGCTGGTTTGAGCTATGAGGATTTGTTGCTTAAGAAAGGGCAGTGTTATAGTGTTTTGTTCCTTTTCAATTATAAATACAGCGCTGAGAATGATTGTGCAAAAACACCAAACAACTAACAAGCTTCATATACCTGTTGGCATCAAGGGTATGTGATGAATTTTAAGCAACACTTCTGACTCAGCAATCAGTTGTTACAAATACATGATTCTGAACCTTTTTCTGTTTTGCTCGGTTCAATTGATGGGCCTCTGTCTGCAGTTTTAATATTTTCCCTCTGGTTCTCACTTCTTTATTTAAACGTTTAGAAACATGACTGCAGTGACAGAAACCCTGCTTACCGCTAGAGGGAGCCAAAGTACCACTGGTGGTACACACCCTATAGTTACCACTGCTCTACATTATATTGTCTTTCTAACAAGAAAAGCCTGTTTCCTTTAGCAGCTTCTGCGTTTTGTTGTTTATTATCACTATTAGTTCCCTATTTTGTCATAGTTCAGGTCGAGTCAGATGTGTCTTGTGGTGGACCAAAGAAAAGATTAGTTTCTCCAGTAACTCTGGAGTTTATTTTAATTGTCTGTCAACTCCACTGTCAATATGCTGTATGGACCTGTTAGTGTGCACACAGTAAAGAGACAAGTTTAGGAGAAACTGTTATTGACAAATGGCGTCACCTTTAGTTTTAGTTTCACATTCACATCAACTGCTGGCAAATGAGCAACAAATTCAAAGGTGTTTCACAATGGTGTCATTTATACAAGGGAAGAACTAATTTCTCTGAATAGATATATCTGATATACCAAAATAATTCATGTACAACATTACATCAGAGCAACTTTGACTCAGCAGTTTAGAAAACTCTGCCCCCTACAGTGCAGTACTACTACAGGACAAGAACATGTCTTCAAAGTGTGAAATAGTGGTTTCCAAAATGGGGGGTGGGGCCCCCTTAGGAGGCATGGTGCTAAGTAGGAGAATTGAACTGATTTGAGAATTTCAGGTTTGTTATGAATTAGTGGTTTTAAAAAAAGAGCATTAGCTCTGTATGTGTTGATGTGAGCTTATTAATAAATTGGGGTGTTGCAGAAAAGCCTGGGAACCACTAACATAAAAACAGACACTGGAGCCCATAAAACCAAGTGTTAACCAGCAAATACAGTATTTTTTTTATCTGCTCGACAACAAAAAGCTAATTTAAAGCTTTATTAATAGCAGTGTCTGAAGACAAACGCCACCGTTATGACACAATTTGTGCAGTTTTTGACTATTGGTTTTTGACTGCGATAGAGTATATCATTACATGAACATGTGTGGAAGAAAACTGAAAAACTGAATTACATTACAAATGAATGACCTGTTTGTATTTTATTGCTTCAGTATCATAAATACATTAGATTGGAAAATGCATTGAGTATTGCATGTTTCAAACCCTTACCTACAAAATATGAAATATTGCTGGCAGCTGGTGTTTTGTTTTTGAAAAGAGAAACTAAATTTGTGGCAGAGGCAGATTAAAAACTAACTCCTATATAACTAATATTAAAAAGTATTGCAGTTCTGTGTGTGGATCCAGTATACATAAATACAATTTTGTGGCTTAAGGTTTGAAACATACAATATAATAACCGTAAAAAACTCCACCTCAAGGAGATTTTTCAAGGAGAGTTTTCTTAGAAACAATCATTCTACTGCTGAAAATGTACATGTTTCCTAAGTAATAATAATTTGAATTAGATTAAAATGTAGTAATTTAATGGCATGTGTGCCAGAAAAAAAAAAGATTAATAAAACACACTTAATAAAATGGAAATGTTTGTTTGTAAAATCAATAATTACTTGGTCAAAATTATAGGCTCACAATACTCAGACTTTATAAAAATGTCATTGTGTCAGTTTATATTTAGAGTTTTATATAAAATAAGAATTTTTAATGCCTAACCACCTTTATCTGTGTTTTATTGTTAAACCAAAGGGAGTTTATCAGTGAAGGTACTTGCCGTCTGTTGAGACAAAAACACAGGGACAGTTAAACCTCAGGCATTGACTGCTCTGACAGTTACTTGGTCGCTGGTGCAGAAAACTGTGCATTTGAAACACTGTGGTACAGTTATAAAGCACTCCTTGGCTCTGCTTGGTTCACTTTGTTTGCATAAAAGTATCGGTGAGAGTGTGTGTGTGTGTGTGTGTGTGAGGTCCGGATAAGCATTGAAGTGCACTTCTAATAAAACGATTCCACAGTCACTTCTGTTTGCAGCACCACATGCTCAGGATAATGAAATAAAAAATGGGGAGAAAAAGAATCTGGATCTGCTGGGGGTCAAAGTTCAGCCCGACAAGCCTTTTCTTTTCCACAATCAGCACCAATCCTGTGCAGCCTGAGGCAAATTTCTGCTAATCCACAAAAAAAAAGCTGAAAAATTGTAAGTGTAACAAACACTTCTTTCTTCGCGCCATTGTGTGTTGTCCAAAAAAAACCACAATCCTGAAGATCAGAGGGTCACACTTCCTTTTTGGTCCACAAAGTCAGTGTTGGATCAAAAGCAGTTGGAGGAGCATTTTTTTTTTTTCAATCTGTTTTTGGACACATGATGCATCCTCCTCTGGGATCCAAGCAGGTCCTGTGTGTGAGCGTGATCCAGACTGCGCTGGGAAGATATCCGTGAACCTCCAAATGTTAAAAACACAGTGGGAGTGCGACCCCACTCCCTCTGGTATCAAAGGTCAAGGTGTGGAGGGTTTGTGAAGGATACCTTGAAGGTCATCTGGTAATGCCTGGATGACGGCCTCGATGTGGGCCCTGAGTTTGGCCACAGTCCCAGGATGCACTGGGAGATGCTCCTTCTCAGCTTGAGTCTGACAGAACAAAGGAATGACAAAGATCTGAAACATGCATTCAGCAAAACCAGCTCTTGGCAAAGGTCACCTAAGGCGCCATCTACTGAAGGGGAATGTGCTGTACAATTATAAAGGGTAGTTTACCAGTTTATCCTTGAGCTTCAACACCAGGTCCACTGTTTCCACCTCTGTGTGCTTCTGGATTCTCTGCTGCAGGTCCTACAGAAACAGACGAAGGGTGTGGTGAGAGTCTTACTTCTGTCGAGCTTTTACGTTCAGGTAGGTTTAGTTTACACCACTGTGACTCACTGTGGTGTAAACTGAACCTGTGAATAGATGCATTCAGTGATATGACATCATACCTCCACATTCAGCCATTGCACATCAAACCCCAGTCCTCCATCCTTACCTCCTCACACAGTGCCTCCAGGTGCAGAGCCTCCAGTTTCTGAGTCATTTCTCTTCTCCTGCTGCGGAACCAGCCGTCAAAGTTGGGAGACTTGAGGAAATGCCTGAAGGTGCAGAGAAATGTCTTCATTATTTGCATTAAGTGGACAATAAATCTGAAGTAATACTTGGACGGAGCGACGGTAACACTAGTACAGTAATAAACAGTGAAAGTTTTTTGCACAGCAGTGAGATCTGCTATGATTTTTGGTGAAGAGACTGTGACTCTGTCTGAAAGCAAGAGCCCGAGTTTGAGGTGACAGAAATGAAGATGCTGAGATTTTCATGGGGAATGACCAGAATGGACAGGATTAGAAATGAAAGAACCAGAGGTAAAGATTGGAGAAGTGAAGATAAAAAAAATGTTGAAGAGGACAACTCCAGGAGACATGGAGATGGTTGTGGTAACAATAAAGGAGGCAATGAGTAGGATGAGATGGAGGGAGGTGACCGCTGAAGGGAGCTCCAGTTTGTGCATCAGAGACTCCGTACCTGTAGAGTCCAATCCAGTCTCCTTTTAGTCTGGAGGTAAGCTGAGGTCCAGCTTTCTCCAGTGTCTTCATGAAGTCCTGCTGGATGAACGGTCTGAGCGGAGGAGGACTCTTCCAGGGACTGATGGACTTCTGCAGGGGCATGAGACTGGCCACGTACCGCTCCTGTCACACAAACACACACACTGTAAGACACTTTCACCTCAACACTGAACCAGAGAGTAAAACAGAAAGTATTCCTTTTACCAGTGGAATGATGAAGCTCTGAGTCAGTTCTAAGAAGTAGCGTCGGAGAATTGCATTCTGGGCCGCCGAGGGTCTCTTTTGTTGAACACCCTGACAGGTTAAAGGACAGAACTTAGCTTGTCATGTATTCATGGAAACAGAGGGAAACATCTAAAGGAAAGGAATTCAAACTGGAGTCATTCCATCATTACCTTCTGGAGCTGTTTGAGGATTTCTTCGTCTTTGTTTAGATATGGTTTGTACGCCGTGTACACACCTGTACACACAGAACAGATTTACTGACTGTCCTATGAATAATGCTATCATAATCACAAAGGATTGTAATCTTACCAGGCTTAGAGTCCAGAGTTTTTAGATTTTTTAATTTTTTTACTTTCATCTGCTTGGCCATCTCACCTTAAAGAGGAGAAATGTAGAAAAAGATTCAGTCATGGTCAGTGGAACCCCGGACACTGTGGCCTTAGACACAGTATTATAACGACCCATGTCCCCCACTCTAAAGTGTCACTTGTATTCTATGACTTGTTTTTCTTATTTTTCCACTTTGTGCATGAACCCAAGAGGCCTGGAGGTGGCATCAACATCACTTTTTTTTGATGACATACAGAAATTCTCTGTTCCGATTCAACATATCATCTAAAAACCCCAGTGAATAAAACCAGGCACACAGGAGCAGTGGCTGGGATTCAAACCATCCATTATCTTACGAGCCTGAGTCTTAAATAGAGTTTTTTGTCACAAAAAGGAAACACGGAAATAAAGAAAATGTATAATTTGTTTTTACTTTGTTGTCGATCTATCAATACAAAAGTTCAACTTATATTAATAATCAGCTTTATTGATTACTGGCTACATTCACAACGTGTGTCCTCTGTATTTGGTGCTCAGTCAACACACCAAATCCTTAACAAGCCTGTTATGCTTACAGCTAGGCTAATGCTACCTGCATGTTTCATGTCTCCGATGCGAATGATGTGCGGCCAGTGTTGCAGGGTTTTAGCAAAAAATGGATTGGTCACCCCGAGAACGACTGATGGCCTGTGAAAATAGAGAAAGCGACAGAACAAAGCAGTGACATATCAACACACCAGTACAGAAATCGCAGCTCATGTGGTAATTCACTGTCGTACTCACGGAGCCTGTGTCCTAGTGGTGTACTCCTTAAACTCACTGTCGTGGATGGTGAAGTAGGGTCTAAAGTCACTGCAGTAGCGCAGAGGTGAGATACAGCTGCACAGAAACGGCCGTATGTCAGGAATGGGTCAATTCACAAAGCTCACATCTTTACACAAAAGTCAGTCCCAATTTTTTAAAAATTTACTCTATGTGGTATTATTTAAAAAAGTGCAAGTGTTGAGAAACCAAAGTGCTGAATCATGCCTTATGTAAAAGTTGGAACACACTCTGCTGACTCTAAAGCGGCAGAGATCCAAATCTTCTTTTTCATTAACATTACCACAAAGGGTTTGTGCCAGAAGCTTCACTTCACTGGTTTTAGTGGCTGTGCAGACTTGAATCAAGGCCTGCATCACCAAACCTAAAGTGTTGTACATGCTCTGCTGCACTTTCAGTTTGAATGTTTTGATGTTTTAATGACTGAATGAATGAAGTTTTGACTATTCACCTGACCAATGCCAGTACAGTATCTGATGACTCAGCAGGTGAAGGTGCCATCACCACCAGAGCCTCCCCCAGCAACACCAACTCCCACAACATCTGAATGTGGAAGAAGACTGGGTGGAAACATCTAGAAATAGAAAATAAACACATGTGGAATTTAATTTCCTGCCGTAATTATTACACGCCCACAAAAGTGACTTTAGGGGGTGCTGTTTAGCCATTTTTTTAAATTAGGTTTTTCTTTAAACAACCTTGATTGTTTGTGAACTCAAGTCAAGGTAAACTTTGAAATGTTATGAAAAGACCAACGTTACAACAGGAAGTTAAGGCATAATAATTATTTCAGTAAATCTTATTATAAAGCTGTTGTTCTCACCTGAACAGGTCGACTTCATGGATGGTTGGGAGGACGATGGACACCAGACTGTCACTCTGAAATACACAACAACAGAATTTTCCACATGCATCAAAGTGAGTGTAAATCTGAACTAAATCCCAGCATAGACATGTATTCTCACCTGAGCAGAATGAACCAGCTGTGACGTTCCCGGTTTGTCGTAACAGGTTGGGATACGGACCTGCAGCAGCAGCACAGGTGAAAAAAAAAGTTGAAGTACACCTGCTGTAATGTCTCATAATCCAATTACCCCTGTATGGAGCTCATTTGGTTAAACTGACCCCTTTTTAAAAATGTTTTTTTCCCAAACTACATTTGAATGCATGATTAATATCCATGAAAAAAAGGCCCAGACTATGACTAGTGTTGTTGTCTGTTATTTCTGAATAATATAAATTCATGATCATAGTTTATGTCCACATTCTTTTTATTCTTTAACTGCTCTAACTTGCAATTTTCACCTCTATGTTAATGACTCTGTTCCTCTTATATGGAAGGAGATTCGAAAAAGACACTCGCTCTGCAGGGAGACATTTGACAGCACACACGTTTGTGTGTGAATGTGTGTACCTTGATGACCACACCCATGATCGGCAGTGTGAGGATTCGTCCAGGATGGGGCGTGGGCCAACGGTCGATGTCATTGCAAGCTGTAAATGAATACATAAGGAGGAGTAAGATTACAGGGGCAACAGGTAGTGACAGACAGTCAGTTCGACTGACAGATATACAGAGAGACACTCCCTCAGACTGACCAGCCTCCAGACAGGGCTCCAGTTTCTCAAAATATTCTGGAGCCATGATCTTCAACAGGGAGTGAAAGAAGGTGACATAGGGCAGCTTACTGATCAGGACCAGGGACTGATGGAGGGAAAGGACAAAAATCATGTTCAAAATGTTGTCCTTGAAAAAACAGATCAATATTCACTTTTGAAGTTGTGGCTGTTGGTCTAAAAACTTTAATTCTATACTTGTTCTGTATGAAAACCCTATACATTGTCAAGTAACAGGGACAGGTTTCCTGTTGAGTAAAACTAGACTGATGTGAAGTGACACCGACCTTCTGAAAGTATCCTCTCTTCAGAGACTTATCCCGTTCCTGACGGAAGTACACATAACCGTAGTAATGGCCCTGTTCCCTCTGAAACACAGAGAAACAATTGAGCTGATGTGAATATAGGCTTTGTAAACAACCAACAACCAGTTCACTGATGTTTCACTTTGTACGTGTGTGTGTGTGTGTGTGTTGTACATGTGATTTTTAACCACCTTTAGACATGGTGGTGCATCCCTGTCAGTGGTTTCCAGGAAGCAGCTGAGTGATGACTTCCTGTTTGAACCTTGGCGGAAGCGGAAACAAAACTGGGTGTCACCAAGGCAACCTGCAAAAAAGGTCATACTGCAGATTAGCTTCATAGACACTCATTAGAACCACACTCAAATGGAGTGTTTTTCAACCTTGAGGTCACTTGGAATTCAAATGTGGTTGCCTGACTGACAAAAATATTTTTTTCAACTTATTATCATTCTTTTAAATTCTGATTAATAACACCACGCAAACATGATCAACAACTACTTCTAGAAAAAAAATGTTTACGGTTCATGGTTCTAACAGGTAATTTTTAGGTGAACATTTTCAAGACAATATAAACTTAATTTGTTTTGTAATAGATAAGGTGGAACCAGTACTCACCTGAGTTTGAGTCAGGCAAGGAAAGGTAGCAGATGCTCGTTTTCTAATTGTAACACACAGTTAACAGGGTTAGACTTGTTTGTTTTTGCAGCTGAAAGTCAGTGTCTATGGTTTTTAATGTTGCTTTAACTCACCTCTTTCTCTGACAATTTGGAATGATGGGGATAAATCACCTGGAAGAATCAGGATAAAGATACTTAACATCAACGCAGAAAATACTTACACAGATTTTTTTAAAGAGATCCACAATATTGTTTTTGTGTTCAGATTATTTTTATCCTCTAGACTAGATGTTGTAGTGTGTAGTACTTTTTCCTCATCAAACTTTTACATTTTTACTTCATATTGTTATATCTATTTACGGTACAACTAATGTCACAAAATATTAGGCCAACAAGTCCAATATAGAAGCCTACTGAAGTTCTGAACTGAATCCTCTTGGATAAGAGATATAGTGTCCTCCCAAAAGCCATGTCTAGTTCCCTCTGACCAAACTGAGGAGAGTCCTGTCTCGATGACTGAGAACCTTCATAGACACGAGTTTAAGGCCAGTGCCATTGAAGTCTTGGTTAAAATGGAACTGCAAACGGATTTCCATTAAGTGGTGGCTGCTTTACACAAGTTTTAACTTTCACTATAGCAATACTGGCTTACAGTATAACAAAGGGACTAACGAAAACGTCAGGATTACAGTGTTTAAACAAAAGAGTTCTAAAGACAAATACCCTTTAACCCACACCAAGGCTCAGTGACCATAGCTTTGTAATAGTAGGTTAAACAGTCCAAACCCTGGGCACCAGCTAACTTAAATGGTATATACGAGTTTCACATGACTCCATCTATCTCCACAGCGCCTTTTTCTGCCTTACCTCCACCGCCTGCCCCAGCTCCAGATCGAAGCCGACCACACAGATGCAGTGCAACCATGCATTGAAACGATCCCATGGAAGGAGGACAGTTCCCCCCGGCTCCTCGTCACCTCCGGGCCCGGAGGGCAACATTATCTCCTCGGCTGGAGAGATGCTGCTAGCGTCCTGGTCGTCCAGATCCTCCGGCTCTTCGAGCTGTTCTCCTAGCTCCTCCGGGCCTTCTAGAGCCATGGCAGGGGCCCGACCGACACTTACACACTCCGGTTTAACGTGGTGTGAATAGATTTACTCTTACTTATTGTTAAAGGCTCTCGCTGAACAACAGAGACAGCAGTAAAAACTGTTGTAGCCACTCAGCAGTAACTTAGCATTGCGGCGGCAGCGTAGGACGTTTTTGTGACGTAGATGCAACGTCATCACGTACACTTGTTTCAGAACGGCGGCCTACTGGATTGATTTATTTAGTTTTTTTATACTGCACAAGTATCCATTTGTGTAAAATGAAATGTAAAATTATCTTTAAATATTTTGTGAAAAGCCCATTTACAAATTAAATTATACAAAAACAGCTCTAACTAAACAGTCAAAGTGTCCTATTTTGGGTCAACTTCTATTATCTGTTCGTTTTTTAATATTGTACTACTGTAAACTAAAATGATTAAAAGTGAGTAAGTATAAAGTGTTTTTTTAATTATCTTATTTTAACAATGCATCCACATATACGTTTCATTATAAATATAGCCCTTTTGCTGAAAGTAATGTCATGTATGCAAAAACGTAATAGAATTGTGAGACCGTGTGTGATAATAACTAATCTTCTCACTCATTTTAAATGAGCAATGAGAGGCTTGCATGTTCATCTGCACTAATTGTGTTATACAGAGTTATTTTGCTTTTATTCGCAAGACAATGAGTAAAAAAATGTGGACTTTATATCGAAGATAGGACAGTAAACCAATTCATAGTGTGCCAGTGGGTTGAGCTGAATATTCTTTTTGGGAAAATTTGGTAAATCCAATTTCATTATCTTTTTTACAGTATTCCAGCCAAGACCAACACACGTACACTACTTTATCAAGTAAATTACATGGAAGGTAATAATAGGTCAATTGTGCCCTAAATGTAAAAAATCATCAGAACTACTAGAAATATTTTTTGAAATAGGACAACAAAGTTTGGTGGTTTGAAAATAAAATTACTGTTTTGATAGCAGTGATGCAGCAATGATGCAGCAAACAATGTTTAAGACCAGATACTGAACTCTGAATTCTGAATTTAAAGTCAGACGAAACTTAAGTTTTTTTTATTATTTTACTGGAATAAAAAAAATCCATTTTCTGTTTTTAGTACTTCTGACTTTAATGTCATAAATTGGTCTTTAATGTCATAAACGTTCTCTGCATTAGATGAACGAGTTTGTGTGGTTAAACTTTTTTCATAGAAAATCATTAATGTTTACAAAGAGACGCTCCCTCCTTAGAGATGCGTGGCTGCTGATTGGGCGATTGGGCCCTACGTACATACGTCACGCACGCAGCGTCAAATCAGTGCGGACCATGGCGGAATGTGGTGGAGGTGACAGCAGCACAAGTAGTCACACCATGGATAAAAGCATAACTCTTCCGCCTGACGAAATATTCCGCAATTTGGAAAACGCAAAGCGCTTTGCCATAGACATAGGTATCTAAAATCATCGGACTTTGCTTCTTTGCTTTTCGCACTTAAGCGCTAATGTTGCTAATCCCGGTGCCGCAGCCTGATACTACCATTACAAATGCCTTTAACTGAAAGTAAAACAGGATAAGCTAACTTTTGCCAAATTTGTTTTTCAGGTTTGTTTTTAAACCATTTATCTGTTAACCTTGTTGACAAGTCTTTCTGGTTGTTCTTCTGTCGTCGTATCGATTTGGAAAGCGCAACTTTATCTAACGGCACCTTTAGCTGTTGTTGACTTAACGTGTGTCGGTGTTTTTCCCCAGGTGTGTAAATGCTGGTTTGTTTTAACAGGTGGCTCGCTGACAAAGCTCGCCTACTATTCTACTGTGCAACACAAAGTGGCCAAAGTTCGATCCTTCGAGCACCACACAGAGGTAAGTATTGATGTCCTTCCGTTAGTCGTATGGACACTTTCCATTCATTGCTTTCACATGATGTGTATGTAATGCTTTTATGGGGCCACAGTCCAGGCTGCAGTTACTGTGGGTTAAAACATTAGAGTCAAAAGATCGTTAATGGGGTGTTTTTCAAACGCTGGTTCATGACCCCAAAGTAGAAATTGTTGTTAGGGTAAAAATAGCGGTATGTATAATAAAATATATTTTTGTGCTGTTCATGTCCTCAGTCATTGGCCAAGGTTTTTACCTTGGTTGTTGTAATGTTAGTGAAACGCTGCAATTACACAATATATAACAAACTGTAGATGTAGCTCAAACAGGTGTCTGTTAAGTTTTAGATTTAAACTAACAGTACTTAACATCTACTATGTTAAGTTTTTTAAGTCATAATAAACAAGAGTCAAGGTCTAACAAGGGCAATGGGAACCTGTGCAAAAATACAATAAAAATGATAATAAAGAAAATCTCTCACACGTAATAGGTCCATGGACCACTTTGTTGACTGAACTGAACTCTGAACATTTGATTAATGCTGAATTGATAGTAAACTCGAAAAAACCTGAACTGGTGTCAGAAGTTCTTTATCTCTTTATATTTTTCTCAATTTACTTTGGTAACTTGCACAAAGGGGTTTTTAAACCCTACACGGCGTCTCCATGAATAATATACACTCGAATGAACAATGAGGCTTTTGCCAAAAAAACAAACAAGGCTGCCATCCTCTCCAGCTTTATTTTGGTTAAATTGAGTTTTCAATGTTGACTGAACATGTGTGTCTCATTTGTTTCCTAGGATGCTGCCAGTGACAAGCTGTATGAGATATCTGTGCAGGAGGAGGTCACTGCACGCCTGCACTTCATCAAGTTTGAAAACGCTTACATTGAAACATGTTTGGACTTCATCAAAGACCACCTGGTCAACACGGAAACCAAAGTTATCAAAGCTACCGGCGGAGGAGCGCATAAGTTCAAGGAGCTCATTGAGAGGAAACTTGGACTCAAGTGAGTGGATGTCATTTTTGTCATCGATGTTCTGCTACTTAAACTTGAACAAATACACTACACTTATGTCTGATGGTTTAAAAAGTCAAATTTGTGACACAGTCATGTAAATGTGCCACAGTGCTCTGTTTTAATGATAAACCAAGTAGAAATAGAACTGCTGAGGTAACAAGTAACAGTGATATCAGCTGGACAAATTTGGCATTCAAATGCACAACCGTGTGCTGCAGCTCTAACCACGTGGCTGCAGGGAGCTGTAAAATGTCCTTATTGTAAAATGACCCTGTGGGTTTCTGCCAACTGACAAAGGTCATCTGTCTGGCTTTGACTCTATTACACATTTAGATGACGTATTTTAGATATTTTAGCTGAACCAACTCTTATTGTGTTGCATTACCACAGAGTGGACAAAGAGGATGAGATGACCTGCCTCATCAAAGGTTGTAACTTTGTTCTGAGGAACATTCCCCACGAGGTGTTTGTGTACGCCAAGCACGCAGACTCAGAGTTTCGTTTTCAGACCACCCACCCAGACATCTTCCCTTACCTGCTGGTTAACATCGGCTCCGGGGTCTCCATCGTTAAGGTAATAAACCAAAACGTATGCTTTGGCGTAAAACCTTATTTGTATGTGTCAATATTTCCTGTTTGTTCAGCATGTGTGAGGTGGAGGCTGTAAAGTTGTCAGCAAGTACCTACATTCTGTAGATGACGAAAAATGTCAGGAAAAATATATTTTATATATTTTCAGTAATTGAATTCACAACCGAAATGATTAAGTAATCAATCTCCACCAGGTGGAATCAGAGGACAAGTTTGAGAGAATAGGTGGAAGTTCCATAGGTGGAGGAACGTTCTGGGGCCTCGGTGCCCTGCTCACAAAAACAAAGGTATCTTTTATATCGGATTATTTGGCCATTTGTCAAAATGTGACACTGAACTACAACAACAACAACATCAGGAACTAAAATGTTCTTCTCTTTTGCTTTTGTAGAGATTTGACGAGTTGCTACAGCTGGCCTCAAGGGGGCAACACACAAACGTTGATATGCTTGTCAAAGACATCTATGGAGGATCTTACGGCTCTCTGGGCCTGACTGGAGATCTTATCGCCAGCAGCTTTGGGAAGTCCGCTACTGCTGACAAAGGTGACTTTACCAACATGGAATAGTCAAAGTAAACGTTACTACGTGATATCCGTCCTGGTATTCTAAATATACAGTGTTTTTGTGAATTTTCCTAAAAACGAAATATCTATTGATATTTTTCTTCTCATGTTCCTGCCTGTCTGAATGCCAACATTTGACCCACAATGAACGTAGCTTTCCTGCAGGTGCAGTAGGAGATCCAGATTGTCTGAGGATGTTTACATCTCCATTTCAAATTGCAGAGTTTTCTAAAGAAGACATGGCCAAAAGTTTACTCCACATGATCAGCAACGACATCGGCCAGCTGGCCTGCCTGTACGCCAAGCTCCATAACCTGTCCAGAGTCTACTTTGGAGGCTTCTTCATCCGAGGACACCCTGTAACGATGCACACCATCACCTACAGCATCAACTTCTTCACGAAGGCAAGGACTTTTCCTCCTCTGTGACCGTGAACTTCGTCAGTGTTGTGTCTCTGCGTAGCCCTGACTGTGTTTGGTTATCAGCTGCACCTACATCGACCTTCGTGTGTGTTCCAGGGTGAAGTTCAGGCGTTGTTCCTGAGACATGAGGGATATCTCGGAGCCATTGGGGCGTTTTTGAAAGGAGCAGAAGAAGATAGTAAGGGAAACATGGAGAGCTGCATGCGAGGAGTGACACCAGAATGAAATTTAGCCTGTCCTTGATAATCCGATATTAAAGAATATAAGTAAAAATTGATGGAGATTACATTTTCGTATTAATGCTATAAAAACTACCAAAACCATGAAGTAAACTCATGACATGATATTTAAATAAATTACTAGTGTGTATTTGCATCTTTTCTACGTCAGATCCAAACCAGTACAGTTGGGGGGAGAATTATGCTGGAAGCTCCGGACTGATGAGCGTTTCCCCAGATATGAACCCCCTTCAACGTGCTCGCAGTGGGACGGTGAGTTCACACAGGAACAATAAAGCCTGTTCACATTAAAAAAAGGTGCACAAGCTGCCTTTTATTTCACATCCTAGTACATTTTTGATTTGCCAGTGTCATGTCAAATGTTAGCGGGAATCCATTTTTTATTTTGTTGAAAACCACATGGCCACCTCTGTCCACCACAGCCCTCACATAAAGAACATTCATTCAGTCAGTGCTGTGAATCTCATCATCTTTCTTTTCATTTTCTCCTCCTCATATTGTTGTGCACCCCCCCACACACACACTCTTCCTTCAGTTTTCTGTAAGTACCTCCGCCCTTTTCTTGGACTTTTGTTTGATGATGTGTGCTCACTGGCTGGCTGTCGCTGTAAACACATTTTTACTAACGTCAGGCATCTATTTCTTCAACCACTCAGACGACAGACCAGGCCGGTCATGTCAGGAAGTGTTACCTGTCGACTCCGGAGAGTAGAGTTTTGCTTTGTTTCCCAGCTGTTGTGAGCTGATGAGCATTGCTATTTTTTTCGAGGCTTTACTCAGAATACACACTCTGGCTCATTGCACCAGTTATTATCAAGGCTCTGATGTTTGCAGTTGCTTTAAAGAAATTCCAGCTGGTTTTTGTCCGCCAGAACGCCTCCTTTATTTTCTTTTTTAGTTTTTCTTAATAAAAAGAAAAAGAGGAAAAGTGTGAAATATTGTCATTTAGACTGGTGCGAGTGATGCAATAAGCTCTTGAAATGTTAATAGAAACTGATGGTGAGATTGTCCTTGCTGACTGTTCTGTTTTGTCTGTGTCTAGTTTGACATGCTGGAGATGGACCGTCTGGAGAGACAACTAGTGAACCTGCCTCTGCTGCAGGACTCGTCGTCCTACATCCCTGACACGGTTGACCTCACAGAGGACGCACTGGCACGAGAATACTGGCTGGACTGCTTTGAGGAGGCTCTAGATGGGGTAGGACAGCTGTGGATCAGCTGTTGAACGCTTCCCTTTTTGAACAGTTCGGTTCATTAACAAAATCTTTAACCAAATATTTCTCCGGTTGTCGTACCAGCCCACACAGGAAATCCCAGCTGTGAACTTTTTCTGCTTCACCTCTCTCACCTTTATGGACATTAATTGTGGTTTTGACTGCATGCATTGTTACATTGCATTGGTTGTGACTGACATTAAATTGGTGAAATAGCACCTTTAGAAATATATTTACTGAGAAAAATAGTGACGTGTTCAATGCTTATTTTACCCGCTGTGTATATGGTCTGACAACATCTCTGCCATAGGTGAACCCTGGTTCTTGATAATTTTTCTTGTTGGGTCAGGTGGTTAAGAGAGCCATTGGGAGTCAGCCTGATATACCAGAGGTGACGGAACGAGCCGAGAAGTTCCGTCAGAAATACAGGAACAAACTTCAGACACTCCGCCACCAGCCATTGTAAGAATATCTCTTCTTTAGACTCACTGCCTACCTTTGCGGTCACTTGTGGATCATTTTGTCTTGAATGCAAATTTTAACTCCAGGTTATCACACAATAAGAAATGTTTATGCACTGGATTATTTTTTTAGATATAGAAATTCTTGTCATAATACACTCTGGGGACAATATAAGTAAAAGTCTGCAGTCCAGGTCAGGTTGTGTGTTTGTGTTTCCCTCTGTCTAATGTAGTGCTTCTCCTCTCACCTAGTGCTTATGGATCCCTCACTGTCAGAAGTCTTTTAGACACCAGGGAACACTGTTTAAACGAGTTCAACTTTCCTGATCCCTACTTGAAGGTCTGACTGAAATCTGCCAAAGCTTCTCATCTGTCTACTTTTCTTGTAACTCACAGCCAGTTTTTGGAGCGTCATCATGTTTTCATACAGTGCTGTGATGTTTCATCTGGTTGTACAGTTAAAAACTACTATATATGTATATATCATATATATTTAAATCTCATATATATGTACATATACACACACACACATATAAATCTCATATGTACATATACATACATATAGTGTGTATATATATATAATAATACATATATTATATATATATCACATGATATATCTCTTATACAGTAGTTTATAGTAGTCATCTCATGTCTCATATTAAGTATTGTATTTTCATCTAATTTCTAATGTTTTAATCTCATGTCTTATCTCGTACCTCATCCCAGATCTCATCTAATATCTGTTCTCATCTGGTGTCTCATCTCATACATGTCCTACTGTGTCTCTGTCTCTGTGACAGATTAAAGAGAAGGAGAACGACATGGCTCTGAAGTACTACCTGAAGGTAGTGAAGTCCCTGGAGGAGCTGGGCTGGGAGCAGAGACAGTTGGCACTGGTGCGGGGCGTCCTCGCTGGGAATGTCTTCGACTGGGGAGCCAAGGCTGTGTCAGAGTGAGGGGGACTCTTATTCTCTTTGTTTTCATTTAACAGAAGTGGCAGAGGCTGTGGCTCTTTATGAATGATGCTGCGGTGTCAAAGTCATGGAGGTTAAAACGCAAGAACCACATTAAATTTAGAGATGAGATGAAGTAGGTTTGGCCATGAATAATGAACATGATCTAAAGTAATAGAAACAGTGAGTGTATTTGTGGTCAGTGGTTTGATTTCCGTGGCGGTTTAACTGCAGCACATTAAGAAAATTATACTAAATACTTATCAGTCATAACATCACCAAGACAGAGAGACACAATTTTTTTTGCAACCCTAGAGTGATTGTAGTTGCTGTCAGTTGTGCAGTAATGTGATTCCAGCTGTCAATCAACATGCACCAGCTCAAGTATTTTTATATGCTGCATTTTAATTGAATTTAAATGTATATCCATGAAAGTGAATGAATTGTGTGTGGTGATTTTAATCACAATTAGAAAAATAACAAACATATTTTACCATATTTCTTTGTCTTTGTCTGTCCTGCAGTGTCCTGGAATCAGATCCAGAATTTGGTTTTGAAGAGGCTAAACGACAACTGGAAGGTATCAAAACAACTCTGTTTCAAAAATGCTGTTCATGGGCTGAACAGAGAGAAAAAAACACACCATGATCGTCTTCATGTCAAAGCTGCACAGTTTTTAATCCGGTTTTGTCAAAGGTTGAGCTTCACACTTTTCAGTGTTTATGAAACAACAGAAAGAAAAGAGACTTGTCTCATTATTAATTATTACATTTATCATTAATTTTTGTGCAGTTGTTGTGTGTTGCTGCACTCTGACTGTTCGGTTTGACTTGTTGTTGTGTCTCCATGTTTATCCCTTTCAGAGCGTCCATGGCTGGTTGATAGTTATGACCAGTGGCTACAGAGACTAAAGGTAAAAACAAATGACTTATTATTATTATTAATATTATTATTGGAAATAGTGACAAGAAGTTTAAATCACTGATAAAAAACTATTAAAGTCCTTTTAATTCAAAGAAGTTTGCAGTCATTTCACAGGCTAAGCAAAGATTTTTCTGTCACATGCCTTTTTTTCCCCTCCTCACCTTCTGAACTCCATGTGTTGGTTTTCTCCAGCAGGGTCCTCCACACAAGTGTGCTTTGTTTTTCGTAGACAACAGTGGAATGGACATCATTTTAGGGGTGATGCCTTTTGTCAGGGAACTTCTCTCTCGAGGAACAGAGGTGAGAAATGGAAAATGTCACATCTGGTGCCTGACGGCGAGATGCTTTAACGTTCCAATCCGTCTGTTGTCTGTTGGTTTAAGGTGGTGTTAGCCAGCAACTCTGGTCCGGCCCTGAATGATGTAACAAATGGTGAACTGCAAATTCTGATTGAAAGAATCGCTGCCATGGACCCAGTCATCCAGTGAGTGCTTCAGTTTTGATGAGTCAAGTTTAGTTCAGCTGAACCAAACTAGTGTGATCAGATTTTGTTTGTGCGATTCCTTGACTTCTCATGTCTTGCGAAAGATTGTAGTCTAAAATATTCCTAAATTATCTCTTTAAAACATGTAAAAAAAAAACTTGAAGCATCTTTAGGGGTTGTTCAGTTTTTTGTGTTTTGTTTCAGGGCTGGTCTTATGGATGACAGACTGACCTTGGTCCAGAGTGGCTCCAGTTCTCCTTGCCTTGACCTCAGGTGGGTCTTAGGCTTTTATTATCTGTCATGGAGCAGCGTTCTGTCAAGACTGACGTATTAATAATGTTAATTAATTTGTGAAGATTCATCAGATTTCACTGTATATCCAGTTATTATATCTTCCATCCTTACTTACTGCAGTGTTCCCCAAGCTTTTTTGAGCCACCTATGGAGCACATACTGTATATATCATCAGAAAAAGCCCCACCAAACAACATTTTCACAGAAAGTATATGTAATGAAATATAATAATCATCTAGTTTAAATGACCTCAAAATTGACTAAAATCTCAGTCTGTTCAGTTGAAGACAATGCTGATATCCTGGCAGGAATTGAAGAAAGACACTCACAAAGATCTTCTTCAACAGCTGATTATCTTTTTTTGTTTTGTTTTCATGGCCATCTGCTGCCACCTAGCAGAAGAGTATTTAATTGTTCACTTTCACTTTGATCCTAAAATAGCACCTCAATGCCATGCATGCATTTTTGGAGGCTTCAGGTCAGACTGATTAATATTACAGGGAGGACGGTTTCACTGAAGTTCAACCCATTCTTTAAGATGGAGATTGCAGTTAATAAACTAAGGGACTTACCTTAAATAAACAAGTGCTCCTTCCTTAGGAAATATATGGCTTGACATTTATATTGCTGATATGTAGAGTTATACTTCCTGCTCTATACACACACCTGGCATCTGTATCAGTGACAATGTTTGCCTTTCTGTGCTTTACATTTATGTGCTGTGTTGTTGTGAAAAAGGAGTCTTTTAGAACTTCTTAGAAGAAGACAACCTGGAGTTGCCTTTTTCACTGTTGTAGATTTTAACTTGAACTCTGAACGCGACTTTAACTTTTTTCCCCATGAAATCCTCCAGCCGTTTGGACAAAGTGTTGGCGATGGTGGTGCGTGAGAGGCAGACTGATCTGATCGTCATCGAGGGTATGGGTCGAGCAATTCACACCAACTACTACGCCACGCTGAACTGCGAGAGCCTCAAGATGGCCGTCATCAAGAACTCGTGGCTGGCCGACCGGCTGGGGGGTAAGCTGTTCAGTGTGGTCTTCAAGTACGAGGTACCGGCAGGGAAACTGAGCCAGAACTCTTCAGCACTGACGCCATCATGAGAAGAGACTGCACTTAAGAGAAGTCCAGCGACGAGATGGGATTGTCAGGAGCTGTGAATGTAAGGATGGTGATCGTACGATGCCACTGATTGTAACGGGCTCGTGGCTGTACACGCAGCAGAGTTTTTAAGAAAGCAACCAGTGACAGGGATGTTTTACATTTACTTTTACAAGGCAGATTTTTTTTAGCATAATTCTATCATTATTTATGGGTGGATGGTTTTAATTTTCATCAACAGCCGACGTTTGTTTTCATGCTAGCACCTGTCTGTCATCCTCAACGTCACACATTTTGGTTTGGTCGGTGACATCACCGGCTGGCCTCAGTTATCAGCTTGTATTCAAATTAGGGCTGTCCGATAATAGCATAATATGTTATATCTTTAAGAATCGTAATCGGTTTTTCAAAATAGTTTTGGGGATAAATGGCTGTATATTAAAGTGAAAGTCAATAGATGGCAGCATTGCAGCTCATTTAATTAACCTCATATTCATACAGTGTACAGAAAAATAAATAAATATTACCAGGCCTATATCAGCTGATATCGGAATCGGAAATTAAGTGTTTGGACAATATCTGCATATCGGAAATCGGAACAGAGTTAATTTCGGATATCCCTAATTAAAATGAGTCGAAAAGAAAAACTGCATCCCTGACTTCACCACACTGTCCACTCTAGTTCTCTGTTGTCTGCTGAGACCAGTCACTGCCTGGCAACACATTTAACATAGAGCATTATTAATGTGCCTTGAGTTTGATGTGATCGACGCATCATCTGCTCGCACTGTTCTTTCACTTTCATTCACTCAGACTTGGAGGAGACCCATAGGGTCCTCTGTCGTTTTCACGACTGCCAGTGAAAAGGTTCCGATAGAGAAATCGTTCAATGGCACTGTCACGTGTTCAGGTTTTGAAGAGTCTTCAGGGAAAGTGTCCAAACAACGGTAGAAGTTGCACTTTATCACACGTAGACCGGTGTTTGTTTTGTGTTTCTCCACTAGGTGTCAGTGTTCTACCGTGTTGTATGTTTCAAAAGGTGCTCGGTGTCAGCGTTACCACTGTGTTCTCTTCTGGTACGTGTTCCGTGACTCTCATCATTTCTGAGCATCACATTTTCACAGTTTCATGACATCAAGTTGTTGATTCTGCTGTTAATGAACCTGATCAGTCAAAAAAGAAAAACGAAACAATCGCTTCAACAAAAATGCAACTGTTTAATGGCAATAACACAGCGACACCTGGATCTGTTCACACGGGTGACCTCCTCGAAGTGACAGTTTCTGAAGTAAAGTATTTACTTGACACTGCTGTGTTGTATGTAATCTGTACATATGTGATATACAAGCCTGTGTATACATATATACATATATGTACAGTATATGTCTTTGTATGAAAACATTTGCATCAGTTCATTTAAAGCACACCAAGCAATGTTTCGTGTAATACCTGTAAAATTCCTGACAATCAATTTTAATTAAACTGATAAATCCTGCTTTTATTTGTTCTTTTTTTGTGTTTTTTCTTTTTTTGTCACTTGTTTTTTTTGTGGTAAATTTGGTTGAATTTAGTTTAATGATGCTCATGTTAAAAAAAAAAAAGAAAATCCTCCCACTAGCGTTTTTTAAGAACCCAACACCCTGGTATTTGGTGTGTGATCCCTGCTGAGAAGCTGCAGGCTGCAGGGGGTCGTCCTGCTTTTCCTCGCTCATCTCTGCATCTGCCAGAATCCACCCATTCGGCAAAACATCCTCCAACATTTGCCGTTATCTACAGATAGAGCTGCTCTCTCGAACTGAGGCAGATTACTGTGTGTTTTTAAATCCTTTAGCATAAATTAATCATGATAAATTTATTTTAGGTATAAAGAAGCTGTCGGTTCAGTTTTAAAAATTGGGATTAAGACTAGTTTAATTTTTGACCAAAGCGTTCTGCTACAGCAGATCAACACCAGCAATGCTATACATGTATATATATTTAAAAATAACAGGCCTCTGCGTCTGATTACCTTACTGCCACTGGATTTAAGTTCTTTTGGTAATGATTTCCAACCAGACCTGTTGGAAAAAAGAGTCAACAGAACAGAAAGAAAGAAAAAAGGAAAACACATATGTAGATAAATAGAATGAACACATGTGCAAAGATGAAGAAACGTGACATTCTAGATTTTGTACCTGACGCTGACACCAGAGGAGCTGAGAAACTGCAGTGTTGACTGAAAACATTTACACAGCACTCTGAGCCTCAGTAAACAGCATAAACAGCCATTTGATTTTTTTTCTTTAAAAAGGCACCATTGTATTCTTGAGCTTTGAATGTTACACACAGTAAGTCACACTTCCACCAGTCTGCTGTAGGTATCAATTAAACAGGTCATGTGACCTGCAACATCAAACGATATATGAACCTTTGTTTCCCTTATTTTAAGATGGTGCATTTGAAAATGTGAAGGTTTTACTGAATTGGGGGTTAAATATATGCCCCTGTGTATGGTCAGAGAGCTTAGTTTCTCTCTATATTAGACAACTTGAATGTAAGAGACTCAGATTGAATCGATGTGTTTAAATATGATGGGATTCCAGTGACTGGAATGTAAAGGAGTTTAAAGTGAGTTCATCAAATGGCACTTTTTTATTGCCTTCAGTCTTCATTTATGACAAAGCTACGTATTTCTCTACATATCCTCTCACCTCCCATAAAAAGTCTTAGTTAAAACCTGATCACCCTTTTGAAGTGACAGCCTCTGCCTTTAAACTTTTTGACTCACCCTGTAGTTTTTAAAAACTAGCTTTTAGCCACCAGTTGACAAATAAGTATAATAAGTCTCCTTCAAGAGGGGAATGACAACATGTTTAATTTATGTGAAGAATCCCAAGGCCAGTGTTTCTTCGTAAATCCAGAAAATCCAGGCTGGTGAGAAAATGAGAGATGACCTGTTTCACAGCAACACGACAGAGGTCATATTCAGGCTGCCAGAATTGACCGTGTTATGCATTAATAAAAACTGGAGGACTGGTGCAATGTGCTGTAACACACGGTAATGTTTTATTTATCATTACAAGGGCCCTCTTGACTGAGTAAGATGTTTCGGCGTTCGATACAAACATTTCTGACGGCGTGTTTATTTCCTGCCTATTATCTTCCACCCACAGACTCAAGTCCCTCTCTGCTGCACCTCCACTGGCCCAAGTGGCTCGTCAGCAGTGTTTGGATTCAAACCCAAATGAATATAAAGCATGTTGTCCCCTGTCTTCAGTGATGTTAACAGACACGTCTCCAGGTCTGAGCCACAAACCGAAAAAAATGAAAGAAAGGAAATTCTAAATGTCAGCCGCTTCCCTTAAGTGATTCAACTCAATAATTTTCCACTTTGATGAATTAAATCTGTCCACACACACAAAAGGCTCCGAGAGGAGACTCTGTGGAATTAGTCACACTGCTGCTGCTGCTGCTGCTGCTGCTGCCGCTGCAGTCAGCTGAGTCTGTACGACTGTCAGGGAACAGACCTTTACCGGAGCGTTCTGCAGGGTGATTATTTAGCCGTGAATGTAAAGCTTGATTTCTTCTATAAAATGAGTTATTCACTCGTGAGCTTGGTTTGTTGCTTTCTAAATTAAGTCATTTTTGTTATCAGAACTGCACAGTTGACTTCCTAAAAAACAGGGACAGTAATAACGGTTCTAGAACTTTCTTACACCCAAAAGCTCAGGACACAGCGTTAAAACTATTTTTGACAGAGTAATGTCTGACTAGTCAGATATTAAAATGTAGTTTTAATTTTAATTTTTTTTTTTATTGTAAGTCACGTGAGGTGAGTTAAACCAGTCAGTGTGAATGTGAGAATACCAGAGTTTTAGGTGAAGCCAGGAAGAAAAGTACAGTTAAAGACAAACTGCGTCTTTGTTGTTTATACCAATGTGTACCATACTGCAGAGGTGTGTCTTTTTTAAAGTACTTCCAAATCCAAGGTCTTGAAGCTCATCCGAGGCAGCAGTGGATCACTAACGACTGTGCACCAGGATGTAAAATCAATGTCCAACCTCTAATGACCTTTTCAGCCTCCAGTCAGCAGTTGGTGAAGGGACACAAGAGATTCAAGTCAAAAAGAAAAAGAGAGAGTACTGTGTTTTGGGTGAGGGGTTGAGGGTTGGTGGTGGTGGTGGGGGGGGGCATCTCTGCTAAACTGTTTGGCACAAGACAGTGATGTGGTTTTCCAGCTCCGACGCTGGTTCTCTGTGGGTTCAGGTAGTGAGGTCTGGTCTGGTGCTCCTCAGGGTTCTGGACCAGTGGTGCTGAGGCAACTTACTAATGGTTTCAGATATGGGTGACAGAATCTTGGCTGTCCTGGGCATTTTGTCAAGAAGCAGCAGTGGTGCTCAAAAAAAGGTTCATTTAAACCCATTAGTTCTCACACAGGATGGGGTAAAGGGGGGCGGGGCACAGGTGATTACTGCCCCCTCCTGAGATTTATCTGGTGAAGGCACCAACGGGGCCGGAAGTTGCAGCGGGTCAAATTTGAATTTCAACTGTCATATTTTCTTCATTTGTGCCAGTTTTCTGGGCTCCCTCTTTGTTCTCTGCTCCTTTTCTGCAGCTGGTTGTACTGGTCTGGTGATGAGTCCCAGCTGCTGCTGATTATCAATCATCGAGCCACAGCAGCCTGGCTGCCACCTGTCTCTACAGTCACATTCTAGTCCTGTGTGGTTGGATTACAGCACCGCAGCTTCCTGTTGGGTTTGTGTCTTGTTGTTACTTACTGTTTTTTTTGTTGTTTTTTTTTACCTCCAGGCTCTGGTCTCTTTGCCTGGACCTTGACCTGCCATTATCCACACTCCAGCTACCACCACATACTGACAGGACATTACCGCGCCATTGTTTCAATTAGTAACTTGAACTTTCATCTTAGTCTTTACTTTTTTTAATTTAAAATTAAATTCTGTTAGTTTTAAGGAAATGGCTGTGAGTGGCTCAACAATTGTCCTTCCTACAACAGGGGGCGCTGCTGATTAAATACATCCTCTGCACCTGTGCATCTTCTTCTCAACTCATTTATTTAATCATTGTTTAAATCCGTGATAAATTAATCTAGAGAAATAAAGTCCAACCCAAAGCTAGGACCGCCCCTGCTCTCACGCTACACTTTCCATCTAATGCTGGGACAAACATGACCCTCTGACATACCGCGGCATCCTGGCGGGGACGCGCACAGAGGGAGCGCGCACACGGTGCCAGTGACTCTTCTCTCCATCAGCGACAGGATTCAGTCCGGATGCTGTGCTCGGAGAGCGGACTTCAGAGGAGCTGCAGTCGGTCCAACACTGTCGTCATATGAACCATCGCCGAGGAACAGACAGAAAACACATTCAAACCTCCTGAGGTAAGACCTCACCTTTGTTCTAGAGGCTTCTGTTCTCACGGTTTTGTGGATTTTACTCGAATCGGGAAGGGGACAAAAACATTAACGTGATTCCTTGTGGCGTTTATTTTTGTGACGCTGACTTCAGCTCTACGTCGACTTTGTTGTAATCTGCTACATCCTTGTTATTTCACCGATTCACCACCATACGTGGTCGGTATTATTTATTTCTGTTAAGTGATGAATTCAACTGTAGTCCATCACCATCACCAGGACCACCTGATCGAACTGCCGCGACTCCATCTGTGCGTAAAAGCGCACGGTACAAAAACACACTCAAAATCATATAAAGAACTAGATTTGGTTTCATAGCAGGAAAAGGAATTCCAACAGTTTAACTTTTTGTGATAAATATATTTTTTGTTTTGTTGTAAAATTCTGACTAACACAACTCGAACAAACCCTGAATTAAAAGGCAACGATTATCTCTGCTTGACCGTTCGGCTTTTTCACATTTTCTACATTTGTCATGTTTTGAATTTAATCTGCTTTTTTGTATCTGGGGTTCTGGTAGAAACTAAAACCTACTCTTAATTGTTTCAGCTGAAAGATAGATATTAAATGCTAGAGCAGCGTGTCTCAAACTGCCGTGCTACAGCTAGGGGGCGCTTTGCATTGTGGGAAATGCACTTATTTGACTTTTTCGTAGTTGAATGAGAATAGCATCTTTGTGGACATGTTGTTTCGAATAAAGTTTAGTGAAGTTTTGAACTTTTAGCTGTTTAGCCTTTCAGCTTTTAGCTGTGACTGTCTGGACGTTGGTTGAACTGCAGTTAGTCCTACCCACCATGGGTGGCACTGCAGCACAAGTCATTGAAGTTAAAGACAAACCTAAAAAAAAAAAGTAAAAATCCTTTTAAAAATATTTTTCAAGGTTTGCAACTTGAAACAAATGGACAGTTCTTTTAATGACATTTTTTGCATGTCGCGCAGGGTGTGTTGGTTGTTTTCTGTGGGAAGAAGTGTGAAGCGTTATATTTTTACTCCTTGGAGGGAGGCCCACGATGGTAGTCTTTGAAACCCCTGCCCTACAACAGTTCTCTTCTTCTATTTTAATCTGCATTACCGCCCCCTACTGGGTCTATTTACAACTGGGAAACAATTCCAAGTGGGCTTTTTGATCACTTGAGAAAGAAAGTAATAATTAGAAAATACTGACAGATGGTTGTGTTCCTGCAGAGGTATACAGTATGAAATAGTACCAGTGGTTTTGTGAAACTGACGTAAATATTATCATATGTACTCATCCTTTAACACGGCTTATAAGGCTGGACAAATGTTCATTTGACGATATTGTTGGAAGTGACGGAGTGAGAGTCAGCTTTGAGCCAAAGTGAATTTCAGATTCTGTGATGTGTAAAAATAGTATTCTCTGGACTTTAACCGAGCAGAATCTAAAGACAACCTCAGTGAACACATCGTATCGTCTCCTCCGACCAGTGGCGTCTGATGGCCACTCTTCATCACTGGCAGACACTCAGTGCTATTTGTTTCCACCACAGAAGAGAGAGTGAGGGAGGATGGGGTCATATAACATTTGTTTGATTCTCCAACCATGAAGACACATTTTAGAATTTTTTTTTTTTTTTTTTTTTTACCAAATAATTGTAGTTATTTTCCGGGCAGAGTCATCTGTGGTTGTTATCCCCCACTAAACAAAAGGAGTCACTGACACTTTGCTCTAATTAGAACGAGATGAAGCTCCTCTCGCTCTTCAATGCTCTCGTTTCACTCCCGGCCTCCCTCAGAGTTTGTGCCTCATTTCGTTCCTCACCCCTCTCTCCTCCCTCTTTAGCATTATGTCTTATTTTCTCTCTCCGCTCCCCTCGGTCGCTCCCCTCGTCCTCCTCCTCTCTTTTGTCTCCCGTTCCCTCTCCTCTCTGTGGGACACCTCTTTCTGCGCTTCTGGTGCTGTTTGCGTCTCACACCATTTTTGGATCGTGCCCATATGTGGGAGTCTGGAGGAGGCCTCCCCGCTGTGAGGGAGTTTGTGTGCACTGATTGCAGCAGAGAGCGAAAATCTTTGCGCTCTGTGTGTGTGTGTGTGTGTGTGTGTGTGTGTGTGTGTGTGTGTGTGTGGCCGAGGGCCCTGCTGATGTTACTGTGCATCGGTGACAATGTTCTGGTCTCACCCCACATCTGTTGTAGCTGCGACCAAATGACCCAAATTACCAGTGAATCATTCAGTGTCTTCCTGTTCGCTGCTTCTCACTTGCTGACAGATGGACCTTCCTTATGGCTCCTGTTTTCAACACCCTTCCAGGGGCCAGTGTTACTGTCCAATACTCACCTCCAATCTGCAATCAGTTGGTGCATCACAGCAACAACGACCACTGGGTTTTGTTTTGTTTTGTTTTCTTTTAGAGTCGAAGCACTTTTTAGAATGCTGAAGTCAGTGCTGCTGGCCTTTGAGGAAATTAAGTTTAATGTTGTTAAATGCACTCTGTCAGAGGTGTTTATAATGCAGAGGCCGCAGTTTGGACCATTGTTTTCCAGTTGATGTTTATGATATTTCCCTGGCATAAACAAGACTTTTTATGCCACCCACATATTCAGCTTCTATACTTTACGACACTAACTTTGTTTCTGGTGATTGTTGTGTATAATGGCGACATTACTAATGTGGGTTTTGTCTCTCTGAGCTGCAGCCGCTCAGGAAACCACGTCTTCAAGTCTGAATCTAAATGAATATTCAGACGCCTGCACTGTGTGGCTGAGTGTTTCTTGCTTTCTTTTTTTTTCTGACACCAACTATAGGGCACGTGTCATTAGCTGACAGACAAGTTTGAATCATTTTCCTCTCTGCGTGTGGCTTCGCCTTGACAGGACACTTCTGCCTCTGCCGTGTGCTTCTGATGCTTTTGTTTCCTGGATCCTTATGGCCCTGCTGGTTGCTATGACAGATAAAACAACAGGAGCAGATGGCTCCTGGAGGTTTGGTGTCACAGCAGGTGGAGCTAAAACATGCACACACACACACATGCACACACACCCACATGCACTGTACTCTAACACACACACACGCACACACATGCACTGTACTCTGTTTTTAAGGTTGATTTTGCTCCCTGTTCAGCAGCACAGTCATAGATCTGGATCCAGTCCTTGTTAAGTGTATTTTTCTAACGAGCGTGTTACGGAGTCGCTGCCCTGTGTGAGGGTCTGACCAGAGAGAGGTCTCCCATCTCATCACAGCTTAATCACACACTCTCTAATAGTTGGCTCCCCGCCTTTTGCAATTGCTTGCGATATTACCTATTATTTCATACATGCCCTGCAGTGCTCTGATGCAAGTCTCTCCAGTGACCACTTTACACTGTTTTCACTGTGCTCATAAAGGCTCCTGGCACACACACACACACACACACACACACACACACCTTTTATGCTCTACAGTATATGAAATGCTAACCATTAGAAACTAATTTTAGATTCTCTGCTCATTGGCTGCCTGTTAGTGTAGAATTGTTTCAGACATTTTGTTATATTTTATGTCGACGTCTTTTCTTCTCTACATACTGCTGTGTTCAGATGACCATGAACGGCCTGCATTAAACATCCAGAATAAGATGGAGTCGTGGGATTATATAGTGTCTGTCATCAGCTTGAATTTACAACAGATCAGATATTTAACCTTTCACTTCTTTCACTTCTTTTTCCTTGTCCAACTATTTTTTCAAATGTCAGTAAAAATGTGACCATACAAAATATATATTTTTATTTTAAACTAAAGAGGTTATAGCTCTAGATCACACATTAAATATTTGTATTTAATATATCTTAAATATATGTTTCCTTCCACTAATGTTGTAATGAAGGAAGGTGAACAAAGATGTGTTTCAACTGAAGATATCTTCACCTTTGAGTTCATGATTTCAGCTGATGATAATGAAAAGGTTAACGTAGTTGCATGTGGATAGAATGGCCAACAATAGTGACTGTCTACTGACGGAGAGAGACAGAGGGTCTTTCGGCATCTCACTATAGAGAGTGTAAATAAACCACTGATGACATCAGTATTTCTTTTTTTTTCATTCCTTTTTCTCAGGCGATCAGCCACAGTTAGACCCGCGCCCCTCAGTTTGGTGGATTATCCCATGTGAAAGTGACGTAAGGTTGTTTCCACGCTGCTTGTTTGCCCTCACATTCCTTCCCTGCTGTGCTCTACCTACAACACAGAGCCGTGGTCTAACACCGGCTCCAGTTGGAGGGCGCGATGTTCTGAGGAGCTGTTTATCACACACCAGAGACTGAGCATTAGCCCCGGGATGCCACCCAGAGCGCTCCATTATCATCCCCATCCTGTGTTCCCTCAAAGGACCACCTGTTAGCAGCCATGGAAGTCGGGGGCAGAGAGAGAGAGAGAGAGGGAGAGAGACAGAGAGAGAGACAACAACAGATCACTGCTGTGCCCAGATACTCGCTTTTGCTCCCATCACTTTTCACATGACAGGTCTATTCAGGCCTGCGGTCGGATGGAGCCGACACACAGCGCCCTCTGTTACTATGGAGCTGTTACATCTCTGTCTGTGTTGGCAGAATTATTTTTTTAAGGGTCATGTTGTTGCAGCGTTGCTCAACTTCTGCCTTGGGCCAAAGTTCAGGTGTTTCTGCACAGTGTGTACAAATAAGAAAATACCTCTGACCCCATGCAGGATACATGAGTCTGGTTAGGATTATCACATTAGAAACAATAATGTTGATCGTTAATATAGAAAATATAAATCTGACCTAATTATGTCCAATATAATTGATTTATTACATATACAGTATATACAGTGGAACCTCGCTTCCTGAAACACCAGTATTCCATGTTAGGAGTCTGCAACTGTTGCAAGATTTTCCTTGTGATACGTGAAAATATATCTAGTCACGAGTGCTCAACCGAGGACTGGCATCCATTCAGTGTGTGTGTGTGTATATATATATATATATATATATATAATCCTTCTCCTACACTTAGTCTCGCTCACTGTCCAAATAAAACCCTAATTACTAGACCTTTCAGGTGACCCCATTTGAATTCTAGTTGACTCAACATGGGGGTCTCGACCCCAAGATTGACAAACACTGATCTAACAGTAATTTTCAGTAGCTTGAGAGCAATTTAAAAAAAAAAAAGTAATTCCGTCTCCTCGACTAAAATGTTATCTATTCACACAGTACATGCAGTATATCAAGAAAATAATTCATGTTTGCCTTTGAATAAGTATATGTAACATGTACAGTGTTAATGAGCATCACTTTGGTCAGTAGCCTGAAGGCCAAAAAATGTGACTGATTTGTTTGACACTGCCACTTAAATATATTACTGATTACATTTAGTTTAAAAACACATAGGCCGGTCACTGTAGTATGTACCATGTGGTACTGTGTCCTACCCATACGCTCTTAATAAAATCACAGTCTTTCAAATTGTCAGTCAAATCTTTTTAGCCTTTGTTCCATTAACACCACCCCCACGGTGCAGCTCGGGGGAATCTCCTCAATCAATCTTTTTTTCCTTTTTTGCTCCAGGGTCCAGGCGACATGACACCTGCGGCACCTTGTGTGTAAAACACAGTTGGTCACACACACATTAATTATGACACAGCTGATTCCCTGGTCTCTGAGGGACCGTTGAGAACCAGAGGTCCCGCCTCTTGTTTGTAAAACTGCACAGCTGGTCAAGGAGGAGTCTACACGGTCGACTCTACAATCCCCTGAGGTGTGGCCTTCTGCTCTGTGACATCATCAGTATCTGGATGTAGTACGCCTGACACACACACACATTTATACACCTTGATAAGCCTCCATGAAGTTGATAATGTGAATCCAACATGTTCTGTTTGGATTGAGCTGAAAGATCCTACAACCCCCATGCACTGCAACCACTACCACACACACACACACACACACGCACACACACACGATCACCAGCAGCTCAATACATCTCCTCCATTGATTTTCTGTTGGCCCTGCTCTGCCGTTTGTCTTGAAACACAAAGGAAACGCCTGCCACTGCACCATAATGATGCTGCGTGTGAGCCACGGAGCTTTGTCTCTACTTAAGAAATGGAAAATGAATCCCATTTACCATAGTCCTCATCATGTTCTGAACTTCAAGTGCTGTGGAGAAAAATGTTGGTTCTGTCTGAACTAAAGGAACACACCAGCAGGGTGACGATATTTACCTCATTCAGCTCCAACCCATGAATATGAATCTAAATATACAGCAGATATACTGTGGTTAATGTCGACTTAGTGTATCTATGTTTACTTTCTCAATCTCAGTTTTTCTCAATTAGATGAAATTTAAATGTATAAAGCAAATCACAATTCACAAAACTTATTTTGCCTTAAAGATAATTATTTAAAGAATAATAATTACTTTAAATGTTGTATTATTATTATTATTATTAATATTAAATAGTTGTATTAGTCATTGTTTAAAATGTAACATTTCAGGCCTCCCCATTTGGGGCCACAACCCCAAGGATGAAATCACTGCCTTAAAAGTTTTACATTGAGTATAAATACTATATTAGTATAAATATGACAAATATCATGAATGTTATATTTATTTTGCTTTAATAAAATACAGTAAGTGGGAATAACAACATCTGCAGTTTTTATGTCTTGTCCTTCGTCATAGACGTTCAGACGTTTCTTCATTAGGAGAGTTCAGCATTTCAACATTAAAAACAACCATTTAAAGAACATTCCAGATGCTTCATGTGGCATCTACATGATATCACAAGGCTGCAGATGTTAAACAACATGTTATGTGAAAGTCTCCACACATTGAGAGCGTAGCCACACACCCACAGGCAGATAGAGACTTATAAAAACACACACAAAGACAAAAACATGGCTATAAAACTTTGACAATAACAGCTTTTACAGCTTGAAGCTTTTACAGTTTGAAACAAACGCCGGCCATCTTTATTTTAACCCCGGGTTCCGTTGAGCATCAGTGAGATGTAGGCTGGAAGTTATGACTCCAGGTGTTGGCTCTACTGACACCTCCTACAAATACCTCCTGGGTAGGACTCGTCCGTGTGCAACAGATACACACTCCGGGTTTTTTCCACACAGTCAGATGCAGTCAAACTTGCCTTCATTTTTGTTTTTGTTTAAAGAGAAGTATTCTTTGAAATTTCGTCATTTATTATTTTAATGTTATTTTGTGTTTGTATGCATTGTTAGCATGAGTCTGATGTTTGACATGACGTTTCTCATTTTTGGCCTTTTGGTGGTGCTAAGTGTACATGAAAAAACCCCAGTTCAGTTTTTCAAAGGTAAGGGCTGTTGTATTAATATAACTCTGCCTCTTCAAAAAACTAATAAAAATACACACGTAGAGTGTTAGCAGCTCCCTTGTGCCTAGCATAACAGGTTACAACACAGCCTGTTATGTTCAGAATAATTCTGTAATAGTGAGTATTTATTGGCTATTATATGTCTAGGTCTAGCTGTTCCTGCTAACACCCTTAGCCTCGCTGCTTCTGTGTGTTTTGCATTACGCCACCTATGGGTCAATTTAATACTAGTAAATATGACCGTATTATCTAAATTATGCCGCTTCCATTAGCAACAAAATAGAAACTAATTATACACAGGGAGAAGGTAAAAAACTTAGTCCTAATAGATGATTAAGGCCATTCATCAATAATTCTGTGAGAAACGTCCAATAAATGCTTCAGTATTTATATTTGAATTTGTATTTACCTTTATATTATTTTATAAACTATCTTAAACAAATTTGATGTATATTTGTTCCGGCAATTACTCCTTTCTGTGGGAAATGTGTCTGACCTTTCAGATAAACATCACTAAAGTCTGAAAACCTAAACTTTTAAAAATTATTTTAAAAAAAACTTGTTAATGTCCAAATATTTCATGTTCGCTTGTGGTTAACTGCTCAGGTAGTTTGTTATCAAAATCACTGAATAAAAGATTAAAAAAGATTGCACCACACTCCTTTGAATGCAACACCATATATTATTTTTTACTCTACTTTACTCTACTTTTTACTCTACTTTTTACTGTCTTAACTATGTGGCAGGCTGGTTATGCATATAGTTACAACCTCATATTTCATATTTCAATCCCAGCCCGCAGAGGTGTTGACTTTATTAATGGCATGTGTGGTTGAAAGACACTGGAGACCCCAGAAGTGGCAGCTGTGAATGATGGGTTATCCTAGAAAAGCAGAAAGACGTATGAGTCGAGGCGAAAGATGTCATTTTTTAAAGCAATCACAGGCATGTCTCCGTCTCTTTAAATCCTGCTCAAAGCTTTCCGGCCAAGATAAATGGTTCCACGCAGGAGACTGAAGAGGATGTAATATGAATTTAGATGATAGCTGAAAGGATGCTGCAGCCATGACAGTTTTTATCTACGTATGTTACCATTCTTTAATGTAACCCTTTCACTTAAATACAAAAAAAGATGAAATTGTAATTTAAACTTGTAGCAGTCTGACTATGGTGTACTTGACTGAGCAAATTCCTTTTTTTAACATTTCTACATTTTCTGTCTAATCACTGATTCAATTTTAAGATAATTTTCTCACACAGAAAAAAAACGATCTCGCTCATCTTTGTTATTGAAAAATGCAATGAATGGCCTTTTATTTCAGCTCAGCTTTTAATTACAGGCTGGTTGAAACCACAACCAGTGGTATCAATGTCTTTAAATAGGTAAGAATATCAATACAGCGATGACCCTACAGTTTAAACCATCTGTGGGAAAAGACAGGACTTAATTCCCAACAGAGAAAAGCACTGTGTAACTGCAGACTTTGTTTTATTAGTTTTAGACTTTCATTTTATTTGCTGCTTTTGTAACTTAGTTGTTTCCCTTTTTTTCTCTTCTCATCTATTGCTTTCTGCTTTCTAAAATCATCTTTTATTCAAAAATGTATGTACATATTTGATTAATTTAGCTGGTGTAATTATCGTTTTTACTTGTTTTCCTGACCTGGATAATTTGCCATTTTTTTGGTAATTTTTGTTTCACTTTTTAAAAAACAGTCTTTATTTTTTGCCCTTCTAATCCCATGTTATACCCACCTCCTCTAGGTGGCACTGTGCTGTGCAGACATGGCTCTCTACTGGATTCTGCTCACGGTGTTCCGGCTGACCGCCCTGACTTTTTCACACTCTTCAGAACATGGGGCACCACATGGTAGGAGGAGGCAGACACAAACCTCAGCAGGGGGCGCCAACGTCCTGCAACAGCCATTACAGAGTCCCAGAGTGCAGTCCCAAAGCAGGGACCAGGATCGACCTCGAGCCAGCCAGGGGTCCCGTACTGTCAAAAGTGGAGCCGGGCGTCTCTCCCACAGGGCTCTGCACCCTCTGGCCAGGCCTGAGGACGATGGCACAGGTCTGGAGGGTCTGAGCCCGGTGAGGCTGGAGATGGGCCACGCAGGTGATGTTCGGATAAAAACGAAGAGTCAGTCCCAGATCTGGGAAAACCAACTTGCGGGTACAAAAAAAGGGAGAGGACACAGGAGCAGACATGGACATCGCTTTGAGCACAGGAGGCATGGAGCAGGTCGGCGTGACAGGGGACGACATGGCAAAGGTGAGGTCATGTTTGAAGACAAAGTTGGCCATATAGTGGGGCAGTGGGTGACACTCCTGCCTTAGAACAGACAGCAAATAGATCACTACTTTTGTGCGTATAGTTTGAAAGTCACTCACACAGTGTAAGTGTGACTGGTTGTTTGTCTAGTGTCCCAGGCTGTTGTCCTGTCCTCTCCTGATGACTTCTGGGATTGGCTCCAGCTCCCCCACTAACCTAAAAAAAGGACAAAGAGTTTCCTTATCTGAAACCTTTTTCTGCAGCGCCCCCTTTTGTTGATAGGACTGCTGTTGAACCCCCATGTCAACAAATCCACAGCTGTTGTTTCCAGACTCCACTAGACTTAAAATACTTAAACATTACATATCTGTGCAGAAAACATATCACATTTGATCCAAGTATTGTGCATATCTTACCAGATAGACTGCGCCTCCTGCTGTCTGCTCTCCTGGCAAAGGCCTGAAGTTTGTTCTCTCAGACAACACAACACAACATTCACCATAAGATAAAACCCGTTCAGATGCCCTGAAGAGAGGTGGATGTTTAAACTTTTATCTGAGCATTTTAAAGATTTACTGTTCACCTTGGTTTTAAATAAGTCATAAAGGAACTCCTCCACATTTTGGGATCTGGATGATACTGCAGACCAACAATGACTGTGTCCTGGCCAGATAACTTTGTTTTATTAAACTTTACGACAGAGTTTATTGAGCTTTATTTTTTTTATTTGAAGGGAGAAAATAATTCTGTGGTTCAGGTGCAGCAGAAAATGAACACAAGTTCATTACTATAACAAAATTGAACCATGACATAGGGTTAAAGCTGCAGATCTGTTATGTAAGGTTGAAGCGTTGGTTCCTGAACTTTCAAATCACTAAACTCTATTGACGCTGTAATTCCTACAAATATAATATTTTCGCTGATCAAAGGAATCAAAGTAAAATTACAATCAGTTCCTACAAAGAATATATTCATATTTCACTTCTCCATGTCCTTGCAATAACTCTATGTACCCTTTAAGGGTCCCGCCCCCCATTTTGGGAGCCATTGCCTGAGATGAGGTCTGCGTCGAAGGACAGCGATCTTCTGGAGGACCCTTCATCCTCCTCCCTCAGTGTGACCCCACCCGGTGAACCCTCCTCCCCCCTCGCTGCCTCTGGCTCTGGCTCTGTTTCCACGGTGATGAACGAGCATCCTCCAACGCTGCCCCCGACCTCCACCAAACCCCAGGTAACCCCAACCAAGCCGGGGTTCTTATTGTAGACATCTGTTGTGCCTCAGTGTGATTCCAGATTGTGGGTGTGGGGGGGTCGGGGGGGCGGGGGGGATAATGGGCCCCA